CCCTTTGGAACACAGAGCTCCACTCCCCAACCCTTCTTTTGCAGTCAAGTGCAGGGTGTGGGTGTGGAAACAGGTGTGGCTGGTTCCTCTGGAGGCCCCAGGCCAGCACAGAGCAGTTGCTCCGAAGATCCAAGTGTGGACAGGACACTCCACTTGGATATGCATGAGACACAGTTGACTGTAGCCCTTGAGAGCTGCTGCTGAGACGCCCCTCACCTGGTATCACTGGGATTCTGGTTTTCACCTCTGCCCTTGGGGATGTTTCCAGGGGCAGAAAATTCTCCCAGGGACAAAGCAGGATGGGGAAGCAGCTCATAGAGCCTGACCCCTCACCTCATCTCTGGTCTGAGAAAACCCTCTTCCACAGGGCTGCAGTGACAGGTAGGGCCAGGAGAGGATCTAACCCACTAGCACTAGCCTGCCAAGTTTATGGTTTCACTCTTCAGTCTTTACCCTCCTTTCTCTTCCTTCGACCCCAGCTCCCTCACCTGCCCAAGGTACCAGATTCTGAAGCCAATTCCCCCCTGGTAGCCCTGGGACAGGCTTGTGGCTACCTTAGGGGCCCATCTTGTTCAATCCTCACTCCAACTCTATGAAGCAGTTGGTCTGGAGGAAAAAACTGAGCTTCAAGGAGGTGAAGTCACTTGCTTCAACCACCCAGCAGCAGGCAACAGAGTTGAGATGTGCACTCAGGCTGCACCACCTGCCTTAATCACTCTTCCCCTTAGCCTAGCCTTCCAGGGTCAACACATTGAGGACGGGTGGGGAGGAGGTGATGGTCTCTGCTTTCAGGGTAGGGGCTAGTCTTCGGCCTGGATCCCTGGCAGAGATTTTTGTTTGTTTGTGGTGCACTCTACAAACTGAGCTACATCCCCAGCCCCTCCTGGCAAAGTCTGCCCACAGGTGTTATGTCCAAGGTATACTGAATGCCCAGAGACTGCCCCAGAAGACCCAGTCAGAATGGGTTAGGATCAGGACCCCGAGGAACGAACTTGGCTTATTCTGGTGTTCACCATGACGTGAGTAGCAGTGACCTTGAACAAGAGGAACTTAGGGGGACATAAGGATAGGAAAATACAGGTGGGTCCTGGAGGGCAATGCCCAGGAGATCCCCTTCTTTCCTCCTCTGTCTTGGAGGCCACTCAGAGGGTCTTCTCTAGGTACAGGACAAAGACTTCTTAAACAACACTCTGGCATGCCAGTCCACAGAGATAGAGTCAGTCTTAGACCACCAGGGCTTCAGAACCACCACTCCACAGAGGGCCTAACCATTCTGTCTTCAGCTTGTCAAGAGAATAAGTTTGGATCACTCTCCAGGTATCCACAAGGCTGGACTAGAAATCCCTGTCCAGACAGTTGGAACACTCCAGACAGGGCCACTTTGTCTCACCAGACAATGAAAGCCATCTCACCCTTGGGGGTTCCTCCGGAAGCTCCCCTGCCCCTTCTTGGCTTGGTTCTTTCCAAGTCACCACAACACTATGTCAGAGACCCAGGGTTGTTTGTATCTGAGAAAACTGAAGGTCTTAGAGGTTGAGGCTTACTGAAGGCCACCCAGCTGGACAGTGATAGAGCCACTAGCCTGAACCACATCTGTTTGCTGCAGAGGCTGGATAGTGACCCACCCAGAGCAGTGGACATATGTCCTGCATTCTCACTGGTGGCCCCAGCCTGCCCTGAGAGGGGCCCTCCAGTCTCATCAGTCCATTTCACAGAGGGAGAGGGAAAGTGCCTGTGCAGCTTGGCCAACTGTAGCAACTCCTCAGGATTCCAGGCGACTGTGGGGACTTGAACTGTTTCCCCAATACCTTCCCGGCCCTTGCTGAGAGCGGGCCTGACCTCCAGCACCAAACCAAAAGGTGCCTGGAAAGTCCAGCCCGTATCAGCTTAGGTCGGGAGGTCGCCAGGAGCTTATTGGGCGAGCGCTACTTGCAGGCTTTGTCCTCAATACTCCCACCCCAACTAAGGGTCGACGGAGAACAAGGGATTGGGAGCACTCCCGGTAGCGGTTCCCTGCAGCAAGACCCGGGGACCGCACTTGCGGGCGGCCGCTCCAGGTGCTCCAAGCCCCTGCAGATAGAGCTGGGGAATAAACCCCCCACCCTCCCCCGGGCCATCTGGCCGAAGCCTCTATTGAAAAGCCCATTAGGTCTGGGTCCCCGCCAAACCCCACCGGGCGTAGAAGCAAGGAGCTGTGCCCGGGAAGGCTCGAGGGCTGCGCCCCGGCGCCCCGACAGTCCACAGCGCTGGAGGCGACCCCAGCACTCGGTTCACCCGGGCTCACCCACCGTGCACCAGTCTCCGCATGTCCTGGTAACGAGCCCACAGGTGCTCGCTGAGCTCGGTGCCGCCGGCCGGCGCCGGAGAGGGCGCAGAGCGTGGGGCTCCCGGGCAGTGAGGGCCAGGACCCGGCGGGCCGCAGCCAGGGCAGGAGGGTGAGGAGGAGGCGGCTCGCCGCCCGCCGTGGCTTCCGCACAGCAGCCCGCACCGAGCGACCGCCCGCAGCCCCACACCCGCCATGCCCCCTGCGCGCCGGCCGGGCTGCCCTCCGCCCGTCGGCCAGCCAGCCGCCCTCCGACTGCGCGCCCGCCACGGTGGCCGCGTGCTCCTCACGGCTGCGGGCCAATGGGCGCGGCGCGCGGAGCCCGACTGGCCAATGGGCGCGCCACTGGGCACAGGGGGCGGGAGGCGACGGGACGGGGCGGGGCGGGCCCGCGACCCCCTCCCCCAACTCTCCCGCGCGGCCGAGGGCTTTGCGCCCCCCTTCGGTCGCCACCGCGGCGATGGCGGCTCCTTCTCCTGTCCCCTGCCTGGGAAGTCCAAGAGCCTAAGACCCGCCATCCCCTCGAGGCTCCGGACCGCCGAGGCGCGGAGGGGAAAAGGCAGGCGCGCGCGAGTTTACGCTTGCTCCCGGGTTCTCCGTTCCTTTCCCCCGGCCTCTGGGTCCTTCTGACCCCAGCGCCTCCTCTACTTTCCCGAAGTCCCTGAGTCCTCCTGCCCCATGGCCTTGTTCCCCTGCTCCGATCCCAGACTGTCCGCTGACCGGAGCCCGGGCCACTTCACTCACTTATCTAGCGGATAAAGAGCCCTGCCCGCGCTCTCCCTGCTGCAGCCCCACGCTGGGTGAGACCGCTGGACCTACATGGCAGCCTCTTTGTGCCGCCGGTGCTCAACCCAGGTGACCCCTTTTAATTCGGAACCGGACTCCTGGGCGTGAGCTTCAGGACTGGGGCCAAGGATCACTGCACCCACCTGGTTCTGACCTTAGCTTGGTGTCACTGGCCCGCCCCACTCACCTTTGCCTGGAGAGGCCTCCTGTTGAGATGCCTGGTTGCTGGAGACTTTACAAAGAATTTCCTCCTTTTTCTTGCAAATACGCTCTTCTTGCATTTTTTCTACTCGTCTGTTTTCTGGGCCTGCAGGTGTACCTCATGGAGACCCACCCAGCACGCTGATGAGCCTGCCAGCTGGATACATATTGTTTCCCGGGGTGGCTTGCTGAGTTTAAGGTTGTGTTTATGTTATGACATTACTGCACTTGGGCTGAGGACCTAGTGTACCAGGTCCTGGGTTGGGTGCTGAAAGATATTGAGGCCTAAAGGTGAGCTTGGGGGCGGGAGAGGTGTCTGCACACGCCCCAGTGACCTAGGCAGGTGCTGGGAATCTACCCTCACGTGAACCTCTTCCATGCTGGTGGAGGTCCTGGGTGGTCCACCCCCACAGAACCGCTAAGAGAAACGTGAGCAGGTTCTGGGGATGTAGCTCGGTAGTAGAAAGCTTACCTAAGAATCAGGACCTTGAAAGAAAGGTGGGGGCAGGGGGGGAGAGAAGGAAGAGAGAGATAAAGAAAAGGAACAGGAGCAAGTGCTAAGCTTTTGTGCCCACTTTCTGGGTGGCCATCCAGGGTGCGTTGTACTATAGGCAGCTAGAGACCTTACTGCTGTCCTATAACCCTCTCTTGGGGCCCTGCTTGCACTTTCTCTTCTCATCACCAAGCTACCTTTTGGGATCTAAGTTTTCATTTGATTCTTTTAGATTGCCTAATATTTGACTGCCTTGTCAAAGCTGTTCCTCCAGTTTTATCCCTAGGTAACAGAGTGACAGCCTCTTAGGGTATTTTCAGAAAACAGTGATAAAGTGAGAGGATATAATGAGTGAAGGCTCTGGAGTCAGAGCTCTGCTTTTTTTGGCTTAATCTCTTAATTTCTCAGTTCAGGGAATACATGTGAAGTGGATCAGTAAATCATCATCATATTAATGTTAGCTAGAGCTAATGTTAGTTGATCAGTTACCGTGTTCCAGGCACTACATTCAGTGCTTATCATCTCACTAAATCTTCACAGCAGCAGAAAAAGTCCCCTGTTTCATGGGTTGGGGAACTGAAGTACAGCCCCAGCTAAGGGAATTCCTCAGACACGCTCATTAACCATCATGCTGAGCTGCGCTTATTGTGGATAAAGAGGTGATACAAGCACGTTTTCCCAGCTACTGGGAGGCTGAGACCAGCCAGGGCAACATAGCAGGACCCCTCCCTTTCTCCTTAATCCCAGCCCTCATCCTCCCCGCCCCAACCCTGTCAAAAGGTGATGCATAAAAACTTTCTATAAATGCCTGTATTATTGTAAGTGCCCATTCAGGACAGTTTTATTTTAGGGTTGTCACAGATGCTCAAACTTTTGTTGTGTAAAGTTCAGCTTTCAACAGTGCATATCAAATTCAGATATTTTAGAAGTTTGGTCACCAATCATGTCCCTGAAATAAAAGCAAGGCGTTTCGTAATTGCATTTTAGAGAATGGTGCAGCACACTATTAGTCCCTCATAGACTATCACTCTGTCAGGGTATTAGAAAAAAAAGATGGCGGTGCAGAGTAGGGGGCGCGGCGGGCTGCTCAGAGCTCTGGCCAACACTAGGGAGGCCGTAGGGCGGGGCCGAGTCCAAGCCACGTCGAAGGCTCCGCCCCATAGGGGCCGCCCCGCTTCCAGTGCCGAGGCGCATGCGCCGGATTTTTCAGGCTCCTTCTCAAGGAGCAAGCGCGTCTCAACAGCAGCAGTTTGATTGGCTGAGCTGCACAGGGATCTAGGCCTGGAGGTCAGCTTTAGCTCCCAAATTTTTGCAGCTGCCGGGCAGTGACTCGGCTGCGGTCACTCATCGCCTAGGTCGCCGAGCCCAGCGAGGACGGGCAGGGCGGCTTCAGCTTCAGTCGCACCTGGTTCCATCGCACCCAGAGCCACAACCTCAATCGAGCATGTTCTCCAGGGCCCAGGTGAGGCGAGTTCTGCAGTGGGTGCCCGGGAAGGAGCGACTCGGCCTCTACAGGTTCCTGCCCTTCTTTTTTATCCTGGGAGGAACAATGGAGTGGATCATGATTAACGTGCGCGTGGGCCAGGAGACCTTCTGTAAGTGGGGGGTGTAGTAGCCTCCCTTTCCCTTCAGGGAGGCATGAGATGGCAGGGATCCGTTTCCCGGGGGTATTAGATTGCAGACCGCTTTTTCTCCTTAGCGCGAGCTGCTTTTTATTCTTGTCGGGAGGGCTAGCACTGTTCCATTCACTTGGCAGTTGACCCCGCCTATGGCGCCGGCTCTTCTGTACGTCTTGCACATTGACGTCCAGCCTTGCGATCTTTCCTACACTTTTCAAGCTTGCCCTTCACCCTTGACTTTGAGCCGAGCCTAAGGAACAGGATAGCTCACAAACAACAGAAGAGGGGGTGGATCCTGAGGATTCATGGAAATCCCTATTAACTGTCCTCTCAGAACTCTTCAGCCCACACCCTAGAGGGAGCCGACCTGCCTGCCTAATCACCATTGTCTTAAGAGGGCAGTCACTGGCACCAGGTCTTTGGCCTGGGAGCAGATGCTCAGCACAGTGAAAAGAATGCCTGACATTGCTTAGCTGAGCACTATCTCTGGGCAGACTAGTTCCTTTCAGGAAGACTTCCCCAACCCCTAGGCCCTTTCTGCTTTGTCCCTCTTCTGAAATAATATATCACTTGTGAACTTTTTTTTTTTTTTTTTTTTTTTTTTTTGGTGGTGTGGGGGATGGAACACAGGGACTCACACTAGCTAGGTCATTGCTCTATTATTGAGCTATATGCTCCCAGCCCTACCGACTCTCATTTTTTAATTGGAACTTTAGTGCTTCCTTCTGTTCTACCATTCTATTTATTGAACATCCATGAGAGGATCTAATTAACAAGGCAGAGGTTTTTTACTGCCAGAGAGCTAATGGGAAAGAAAGACCAGAGTTGGCTGGGTGTGGTGGCTGAGATAGCAGAGTTCAAAGGCAGCCTCAGCAAAAGTGAGGTGCTAAGCAACTCAGACCCTGTCTCTAAATAAAATACAAAATAAGGCTGGGGATGTGGCTCAGTGGGCCAGTGTCCCTGAGTTCAATCCCTGGTACCAAACAGACAAAAAACCCAGTTACCATCAGGTCTGAGGATGTAGCTCTCAGTGGTACAGCACTTATCTAGCATGAAAGTTTAATCCCCAGTACCGGGGACTAGGGAAGGAAAAAAGGGAGATGGTTTACTATTGTGATCAGTGCTTAGAGGAGCACAGGAGTGTTGGGTGGGCACCTCCCTGGACTAGATGGTGCAGGGAAGGCTTCTGGAAGCAGTTACCAGGTATAGCAGGCTCTGAAGACTGTCAGCCAGATGCAAGTTCTGTAGAATTGAGTCTTCATGGGCAGTGCTGAGAACTGGAGGCCTTGTGTGTATTCTGTGTTTGAAAAATTGAAGCAGCAAGCAGAGGGAGGTGTAAAGTGGCTAGAGAGGTGTCTAGCAGAGCCACATAGGGACTGCAGAACCAAGAATATATCCCAAGGACTGAAGGGTTTGAAGCAGCTCCTTGTGGAGAGATTGGTAAGAACACCTAGGCTGTGTGGTTGTCCGGAGTTCAGATGGTAGCCAGGTCTACTTTGAGGCAGAAGGGATGCCAAGAAGTAGGTGGAGTTGAGACAGCCCAAAGGGTGACAAAGCCAGGTGATTAAGTGGGCTTAAGACATGAGACCTGGATGCTGGGGCAGGGGTAACTCTCCTGAAGGTGCTGAACACAGGCAGTGTGATCCCTGGGCCCCATTTGGAATGTGCTAAGGAGATGGTTATAAAAACCTGAAGGTCAGGAAGCAGATGTGGGCCAGAAACCTGTGAATGGCTTTGTGAACCATTCACAGGCAAATTGTGATGAAAAAGTCAAATAACCAACATGTTTAGGGTGACTGAGAGGCAAGGATGGACACCAGGAAGGTTTGTTATCACAGAAGAAAGGAGGTTAAGGAATTTTGACCCTGTAAAGGGAAGGTAACCCCCTGCTCTCAGAAAGACTAGAGGCTAGGCAAATGTTGATCAGAAAGGAGTGAGAGGATGGGATCAGTGCTTGGTGGGGCGAATAGCCCCTTGGAAGTTAGCTGCAAGAGTGTCTTATGATGAGTGGCTAGGTGGGGGTGAGGAAAGAATGGTGAGGGTCATGGCTGAGGACACTGGATTGTCACACATCTCAGTATACCCAGTCAAGAGGCACTGGCTGGCTTTGTAATACACTGCAAGAAGGGTGAAGCATGGAAAAGAGAGGAATTTGGATTAATGGCTGCTTGGGGCTTTGAGGGTGTGTGAAGCAGCTGATATTGAATCTGTCATCTCAGCTACTCTGGAAGCCAAGGCAGAAGGATCCATGTTCAAGGCCAACCTAGGCAACTGAGTGAGATCTTGTCTCAAACAAAAACCCCAAAGGGCTGGAGGTGTAGCTTAGTGGTAGAGTTTTTGCCTAGCATGCAGGGCCCCAGGTTCAATTTGCCGCAGTCCAGCTGCAGCAAAATAACCAGGGGGGTGATGAACAACTTGTGTAGATTGATACAGCAGGAGTAGGAGCCGTTTATTGCAGGACAGGAGCAGTATTTATACATTCCACACAGCTTATCTAATTAGCATAAACTAGATACATCAGTCAACCAATAAGGAATCTCCACACTTAATGGCTCGCTGGTGTTACTTCACAAACCACTCCCTCTGGCATTTTGCCAGGCACCATCCAGACTTGTTTACGAACCCTAACATTCCCCTGGCAAAATGCCAGGTGTTATTTTGACTTGTTTACAGACTCTAACATCAATTCCCATCACTTCCCCCCCCCCCCCCCAAAAAAAAAAAAAAGGTATTAATCATGATGCGGGTGGAGAAGGCACAAGATGAGGCAAGGAGCCTAAACCAGGGTTTTCAGATTGAAGGGACATGTGCAGGTGCCAGTGCAGAGAAGATGGTGGCTGTCAAATGGCATAAGCCTTACAGGAAGAGGATTTAAAACAGAACAAAAAAAAACATGGCACTAGAGATTGAACCTAGGGCCACTTTGCTACTGAGTTACATCCCGTTTTTTTTTTTTTTTTAAAGACAACAAAACTCAACAGCTGAACAACTGTTGAGGATCTTGCTGAGTTGCTGAGGCTGACCTCAAACTTGTGATCAACCTCCAGCTACCTGAGTAGCTGGGATGACAGGTGTGTGCCACCCACAGGAAGATTTTTTACTTGAAGAAGGATAATCAATAGTCTGGAGACATAGAGGCTGAGAACAAGGAAACTGACCTCCCTATCCCATCCTGAGGTCTGGAGTGTGGGAGAAGCAGCAGCCAAGAGCCTTTGAGGAGCTAGGTTTTAGTTAAGAATGATGTCAGAGAGCAGAACAGAAACCACAGGAGAGGGTTGGGGATGTAGCTCAGTAGTAGAACAAGTACTTGCTTAACATGCATGAGGCTTCAAGTTCAATCCCCAATACCACAGCAGAAAAACAAACAAATAAATAAAAAAAGGTGGGAGGGATGGGAATAAAGAAATGAGGAAACTCCTAAAACACTACTTAGAGATGGGCCAGGACATGACCCTATCTTTGAAGATACTGATATTTAGCTTGTTATTTTAAGTCTAGGACTCTTACATAGTAAAACAGTGGTCATTTAACTTATTTTGTTTTAAATTATATTTTGGCACTGGATTAAACATTAATGTTGAAATTCAGAAACAGGCAACAGACTTGAGACTACTGATTGAATTCTGAATATCTTTAATTCCTCGGTTTCTTAAAAATCTAAGCACAGTTTTTGTTTGATACAGATGATGTCTACCGAAGAAAAGCCTCAGAGAGACAGTATCAGAAAGGCCTGGATGACACATCTGAGACTGAACTTCAACAATCAATAAAATGAATATGAATTTTCACTAGTTTTTTTCCTCAAGAATGTACTCTTACAGGCCTGGGGTTGTGTCTCAGTGGTAGAGCACTTGCCTAGCATGTGTGAGGCACTGGGTCTGATTCACAGCACTGTATATAATAAAATAAAGGTCCATCAACAACTTAAAAAAAAAAAATGTACCCTTCCAAAGTCTTGTTCTCACAGCTGCACATTATCCTAAGAATTGCCTTTTTAAAGAATTTTCATAGTTTTGCAGTCTCTGCTTGAGTACTTCCCAAATTACTGTTGGATAGTACTTATATAAAGAATATTCCTCCTAAAACACCTACTTATCTATCCAATGAACCTAGTTCCTTTTTTTTTTTTGTACTGGGGATTGAACCCAGGGGTGCTTTGCCACTGAGCCACATTTACCCAAGCCCTTTTTATTTTGAGACAGGGTCTTGCTAAATTGCTGAGGCTGGCTTTGAACTTGTGATCTTCCTGCTTTAGCCTCCCCAAGTCACTGAGATCACATGCTTCTGTCACTGCCTCTGGCAACCCGGCCCTTTTTGAGACTGGGTCTTGCTAAATTGTTGAGGCTTGTGATCTGCCTGCTTCAGCCTCCTGAATAGGTGGGATTATTGGCATGTACCATAAAATATTTTTCTACTTTCTTTTTTTGCAGTGCTGAGGATCAAACCCAGGGCCTTACACATGCTAGAGGAAAGTATTATCACTGAGCTACATCCCCTGACCCTGTGAAATATTTCTTGAATACAGCAACCAGGATGCTTTTCAGTACAGTTTGAATTGTTTGTTTTTTAAACAAAACAAAACAAACAAAAAACCCCCCAATTCCCCACCTCCAGGGGTGCTACTGATCTACATCCCTAGCCCTTTTCATTTTTTATTTTGAGATAGGGTCTCATGGAGTTGCTGAGACTGGCCTTGAACTGTTGATCCTCCTGCCTCAGCTTCTGGAGTTGCTGATATTAGAGACCATGTTTGGTGGTAACCTTTCGTTGCAGAATTAAAATTAAGTCATGAACATAAAAGATCTTCATTGTTATGGTCACCTAAACTAGGAAAATTGTGCAGATTACATTTCTGTCTGCTACCAGCTTATAAACTCTTCAGGAGGGTAGTGGGAATTCCTGACACACTAATTCCTATTAGTGCTCTTGTGAACTCCCTTGCATAGGAGAGCAGGACTCCATGATTCATGCCCCTTGATGATCAAAGTGCTGTTCTTTCATTCAGCTGCTAAAGATAGAGAACTGCTCCCTCCCATAAGACAGGGAAACTACAGAGTTGAGCCAGATCAGAGGTGCAGTCTACTGAGTGAGAATATGGCAATGCCATCTAGCACAAGTTTGGGTCACTGGTGGAAAAAGCAAAGGCATATTTACATGCCTGGATAACTACATCCAATATCTCATCTTTGCAAATGAGAAAATACCTACATTCTAAAGAAGACTGAGTTTCAAAAGTTTCTAACTTTTGTGACAGAATAAAGAAGCTGACGCCAAGGGCCACAGGGAATAAAGTTAATTATCTCTGGCACAAATGTCTCCTGCATTTTTTTTTTTAAAGAGATTTTTTTCCTAGTCATGCTTGTCATCTTATATTGGAACAAATGTTGGGTAAATAAAGAATCACTACTCAGATCTCATCACAGATTACCTACGAGTTCAGCATTTCCACTGGGAGTTGGCTTAAGTGTGAAGGCCAGTAATGACCAACACTACCAGGTAGAGTATTGCATACAATCCCCTACCCAGTTGTGTCACCCAGAGTGTGATGAACCTGACACTAGTGATTGAACTGCATAAACTGTATGATTCTCAGCGACACAGCCACATTCTGTATTCCCTCTCACACACTCCCAGTTTTAGAAGTATATTTGATACATATAGAGAATATGTAACACTCAGTCTTTTACAAAGACCAATAAATGCCAATAAAACCATTCCTTAGCTTCTGTCTATAGTGATCCTTAACTGGCTTAACCCCTACTTTTCCCCCAATCATTAATTCTGTGCTATTCTTCTCAAGGGTTTTCCTAGAGAAGTGACTTCCTGTTGGAGTAATTTATTTTATTGTGGTGTTGGGATTGAATCCAGGGGTGTTTTACCAGAAGCTACATCCCCACTTTTACTTATTTTGAGACAGGTCCTTTATAAGTTACTTCAGATCTTGCTAAGTGGCCATGCCTGGCTTTGAACTTGCAGTCCTCCTGCCTCTAACTCCCAAGTCACTGACATCTGTGTGCCACCACACCCAACAGAATGCTGATTTATTAGAGGAAAATAAACTTTGAAAATGCCAGGATAATGACCAATTTCAAGGCAGGTAGACTAGTAAAGTAATGACTGCATTTAAGACCCATTTTCAGAGCACATTAGTTTGGATGCTATAAGAACTCACCTTTGTTGATCAAGATGCAAGCTTTTTACTCTTCAGCATTAGGGTGCTGGGGAGCAAACCCAGGGCCTTGTGCATAGGAAGCAAGCACTCACCTGAGCTACACCCCCAGTCACCCCAAAAAATCTTTTTAATACTCTTCCTAGGAATATTGACTCTACCCGACTTAAAGACATGTAAAACGAAAAGAAACCCAGTGTTCCTACATGCTGATTGTACAATGGTAGTACCCCCTAGTGTGTGAACTAGAAGGCCAAAAATTTTAAAAACTTATGTTTCAAACATTAAGAACTATAGTACTTTTTCTAGAATGATGAAAACCTAATAAGCATTTATTGCTAGAAATCTATCTCCATTGTTCCACTATGTTAAGGGGAAAAGATCATGAGCTTTAAAGCTTCACTTTATCATCTGAATTGATAAGGTGAATGGGTAAATAAAAAACGAGGGTTATTTTTGTCCATCTGGCAGTTCTATTTTGGAAGCCTTACCTAAATCTTTGATGTTTTGACTTAATCATCTTGGTCCTCTTTTTTTTTGTACAAATTCTTCACACTTAGTTACCTCTCTTTTTTTCTATTTTGGTGGTACTGGGGATTGAACCCTGGGGCACTTTACCACTGAGTTACATCCCTAGTCCTTTTTATTTTTTTGAGACAGGGCTTTGCTTTGTTGCTGAGGCTGGCCTCAAACTTGCAATGCCCTTGCCTCAGCATCATCAGTTGCTGAGAATATAGGTGTGTGCCACTGTGTCCAGCTGAGCTACCCATCTTGAGAAAAATTTAACTCTTTTACTATGGTGTTTTCTAAATCAATTTCTCTCCCAGTCAAGCAGTACCAGTACTTAGACTACATATATATTTTAAATTTGGAGTTTCTTGCCACATTTATGTGCAACCCCCAAGACACGAATACTACAAATACCCAAAATGGGAAAAAAGAACAGTCTTCGTTTGTTTAGTATTGAGTTTTCTTGCATTTAGCTGACCTGGCATACTTCTAAGCAAAAAAAAGGAAGAGTAATGTTTGAAACTTTTTGCTCACAGTGCTCAGCTGGGGTGTTTATACATCAGTGATCTTTCAAAATATGCTCATGGTCACAGACGGCAGTCCATTCTATACTCAGAACAGAAGGGATTTGCAAAGTGATACTGAGAGAATAGTTGATTTTTTTAACCAACATTTTCTATTAAAAGCACAGTCATATTTTTAGAACTTACAAACATTTTAAAGATATACCTGGGCCACTTTTCTCTGCTGACCACAAACAAGCTGCTAATAGTGGACAGGCTTCCCTCACCTTCTTGCTCTCAGAAACGTGCTCTTCAATTTCAATCTGCATTTCTGCCCATCCTGAGGAGTGCTAGGAATTCCTTGACTGCCAGCCAAAGGGTATGACATGGTATGGGGCACTTCATGCTGCAGTCTGAATACATCTGGCATCTGTGGAAATGCAGCCTGAACCCTGAACCAGGGGGTTGCATAATGACTTGCACTTCCACTTGGGGAGTTTTCTTCCCTTCAATTGGCAGTCATATCCTCATCAGCATGAAATTGGGGCTTGCAGGATTGCTTTTTCTTCAATCTGCTCAAAACTAACATGTGACACAGCTTTAACAGAACAACCAAACTTGGTTAATCCAAATCACTTTGCAAACTCCATTTTTATTTGGATTAAAAAGCTTTAAATGAACAAACATATGATACATACATGTTATAAGACTAGTAACCACTTAAACCTCAGATGATGATATGATACAGAAATTAGAATAAACCAAATTTTAATCAGGTCTGGAAAGGTTCAAGCTGAGAAGTTAATACCATCAATTTGGGGATTTTACACAAGTAACTGTCCTCCCCTCAATTCTTCCTCATCGGAAGAGGAGGGTGAGTTAAAAAACAAATCAATTAAAGGCCTTTTAAATCAGCTGACAAACATTCTATTTTAAATCTATAGGCCCCTCCCTCCAAATGAACAAAGTTCTTCTCCACAGGAACTTACATTTTAAAAACATTTAGGTCATTATGCTTTCTAAGCCACATTACTACAGTTCCTAAAACTCATGGGAGAAAAGATGTACTGTTTACCTGTACTTTCTTATGTCAGGACTTTTTTATTTTTCTTTTCTGGAAGATGGTTCACCTCAAATCTTATATTCTAAATATTAACTGATATTCTCCAAGTTAGTACATAGAAAGACATGATTCTAAAATAAATAGTTTATTTTATTTTTAAACTTAATTAGGGCCTGCCTATTGGCACCCTGGGCTGGCTCTGCACTGCCTTAAGGAGCTCCTAAGGTACTGGGAAGGAGCCTGGAGGAGGAGCGCTCTGCTTCTAAGTGCCCCTGTGGCCCACAGTGAAGAGTTTTTAGAAGTTCCCCCAAAAAGTCTCATCCAGACCTTAAAAAGGGAAATAAAATGAATGTATGAAATAAATAAATAATTTAACCAAAATTAAGTTTCAGGTTCTTTGGTGTAATTCAAGGATGTCTAAAAAGAAAAGAATCTGATTGCATTACACAGTCCATGATGATTCAATGGTCGAAATAACCAGGAATTGGAGATTTCTTTATCTGATTTAGTTTAACAATAAGGTACTGAAATACTACTGCAATACATTTTTTAAAATTCAAAATTACTTAAAATACTTGATGCAAACTGAGATCCAGTGGTTGACTAATGGCAATTAAATTACAAGGGCCTCCTTGTAATTATCTAGATACAACAGACTTTTTTCCATTCTATACTCTTTTGCCCTCATGATTTATTAAGTATGGTAATTAAACATCTGGGTATTGATTCAGAGCAGATTAAAAGGAAAAAAGTACCCTCTGCAAGTCACTCTCTCAACTTACAAACAGCAGTGTGGAAGCTTCACCTTGACAATGCAACCATCCTGTTACAATAAAGCAGGTTTCAGAAACACACCACCAAGTGAAGTAATGTTCCATGTTTGCAGTTTCCTACCATCTAAGCAGCATATGCTGCCTCCAAATGTTTATTCTAGGGCCATATAAGAAAGACAAGGTCACCAAACCCAAGTGTTTGGGATCCATAATGGTCTCTTTAGTGAGCATTTTTCTTAAATTATGATTCCCTTCTCCTATAATTCAAAAGCACAAGCTAAATTGAAAAACATATTTTAGGAAGAAATAAATTTCTGATTGAGAATTACAACCCTGAAACTTAGAAGAAAAAAAAAAATGCCACAACTGATAATAAAGAAATAATGACTATGAAACATTTGCAAGTGCAGGTAATCTACCGTATGTCACAATTATGCTCATGACACAGCTCAGATCCAATTACACACTTCCTTCCTTATGTTAAGTGTTATGCGTAAAAATAAATCACCTCCATGCATACCTCTATGCTTTCCTCAAGATGAACTTTGAAGTTTTCAATGTAATAGATTTGAAATTTCAAACTCATCTAACATATATAGGCATAAGTTGTGAATTCATTAGAAACAGATCAAAAGTACCCTTAAACTTACCTGCCAAGACTAGATATAATTCAGGGCTATGAACATGTTCTGCAAAACCACTTGACACCATAGATGTCTAACTCGGCACAAGAAAAACTGCATTCCCTCCAGGAATTTGGGAGGCACACAGGCTGTGGGTGGACACACAACATTGACCACAGATTTCTATAGTGAGCCTCTGAGTTAACAGAGCAAATGTGCCATGTCTCTCAAACACCCATAATCTAAACAACCTTTCAAAGAAAGCACTTCACTTTACCTGTAAGAAACAGCTTTTTGGGAAAGTGGCTTAAGATATTCAGGCACATGAAACATATACAAACACGCTACCCTCTCTAAGATGTAAACTAGGACCAACTTCACATTTCATTGTCAACTTAAACTAATCTGTAAACTCTTGTGTTTTTTTTTTTTCATTTTTTTCTTTTGTAAAAAAACAAAACAAAAAACCCCAAACGAAACAAAACAAAAACCCCCCAAAACCCCAAGCCAAGACAAAACCTTGGATGGTTTCAGTCCCATCGCAACAAGTAAAAAGATAAAACTCCAAGTCTACATATATAACCAATTATGAAACTGGTTTTAAACAAAGGAAACATATGCCAAAAAATCTTTGTGTATTTGATAAAGTCAACTTAATATAACAAAACCAAATTGAAATAGCTTATTAAAAGTGTCCTTATATAAAAATGGCCTTGTGATGTACAGTAAAATGCAATAAAAATCATCATCCTTTGTTCCTTCCCCCCACCCCCAGTAACTAAAATGGCTACTGTTCCACAACTCTTTATGCTTCTATAAAAAGAAAAACAAAAAACAAAACATAATGATGTTACTAAACGTTTTCTAGGTTGTACGCTTGGCGAATGTTGAGGGTGTCTCGAAGCATCAAATCCCGTAGACGCCAGAGGGCATCTGCCATGGTGGTGTGGGCCCCTTTACTTTTGAGCCAGTGAGAGGGGAGGCGGCTCTCCTGTTCTTTTGACAAATGGACATCACGTCTTCGAGCTGAAAATTAAAGTGTAAAGAAAACAGAAATTGGAATTTTAAGGTAACAAAAAGTCTCTTGGTTCTAAAGGCTAAAAGGCTGATGGTTTATTAAGCCACAAAACAAAAAATGTTTTTTATTTTTTTGTACAAGGGAATGAACCCAGGGCATTTAACCACTGAGCCATCTCACCAGCCCCCCTTTCTCTTTAATTTTGAGACAGGGTCTCGCCAAGTTGCTTAGGGCCTTGCTGAGTTATTGAGGCTGGCTTTGTAATCCTCCTGTCTCAGCTTCCTGAGCCACTGGGATTATAGGCATGTGCCACCATGCCTGGCCCACAAAACATTTAATATAAAAGTGCCTAAGAAGGTAAATATGTGAAGGGGAAATCATACCTTCTACTCTTAAATTATCAAATTTGGTTTAAAATAAAGAATAAGTAGAAACTGTATGTACTGAAAATACATTAAGTCTATTGAAGTAACTTACAGACTAATGGGAACATGTTTTTGATGTTTTTCTTTTAAAAAATCTGCCATCTACACTAATGCCTGAAAGATAATATACTTTAAAAGATAGTTGGGATGCTTATAAACAAAACTAAGCTTTGAAATTAGTTTAAAAACCCATTTTTAGAGTGTGATGTCAATGTGTAAAAAGAAGTTCTAGGCCATTCTAAGACATATAATTTATTGTACAGGTGTAAGAAAAAGGGATGTCTGCTAGCTGGGCACAGTGGCAGACACCTGTAATCCCAGTGGCTTGAGAATCTAAGGCAGGAGACTTGCAAGTTCAACGCCAGCCTCAGCAACTTGGTGAGGCCCTGTCTCAAAGGGCTGGGGATGTGGTTCAGAAGCTAAGCGCCCTTGAGTTGAATCCTTGGTACTCCCCTATGCCCCCCCAAAAAGGTGGAGGGTGTTTGTTAAGAGCTAACAGTATCATGAGGAGGAAGAACACACTTTGCAAAGGCTTATTTAGAAGGACTCTCCTTACCTGCTAGAGTTTGGTCCCATTTGCTAATGCTATTGGACTCAGCACTGAGTCCTTCAATGTATTTCAGGTAGGCCTCGGAGTGAAGAAGTCGCTGGGTCTTCGGTGGGGGAGCCACAAACATGGGTGTTGTTGGCTGCTGTATAACAGGAGGTCCAGTTGGATGTGGGCCAGGATATGGAGGTGGTGCCTGCTGTCCTGGAGGCCCCAAAACTCCCACCTGAAAGAATATGTGACCACATGGTGAGACAAAAAAATACTCTGCATTGTTGACAAGGAAGATGTCTAGAAATCTCTTGAGTCCTAGGAAAATCAAACTGGGGGCTCACCTGTTGTCCATATGGACTTCCACCTGGTGCTGGAGTCCCTACCATAGGGGCCACTCCTTGGTTCATCACACCTATAATTCAGAATGCAATGATACAATTAGAGGCTCTGGGTTGAGATGATGAAAAAAACTATTGTTTGATAAGAAATGATGTCATTTGATAATGCCAACCTATGCACCTCTGCCCTTGAGTGTGGATAGGAAACCTAAGTATCCAGAACAGGAGTCAAATAGAAAATCTGCATTCCTTGGTTTCTAGGTACCTAATGCACAATGCTAGTAGATCTTGTCAGATGTACATCCATTACTCATAGTTTAGAATTGATTTGAACACTGCATAAATTCTAGTATTTCAGTAAGTGAGTTATAGTCAGAATACACCTCTATTTTTAAGGTACATTTCTTGCGACAACTCATTATTCTCCAACTGCAGCCTGTGGAAATGGTATTGAAATCAGGCTCGGCAGTAAGCAAAGTGCTAACATAGGAGGGACATGATAGAAGAGGTTGTGGAAGTAGTTAACTGGGCTTTGTAGAGGTTGGAGGTGCTGCCTTGCTGTCTCCTTGCAGACCAGACCATCAGCATCTAGTTCTAACTGGAGTCACTAATGCTGGCAGATGAAACTTCCATGTGATAGAACAGTACTCTGAAAATGGAGATGTATTAGTGGAGTAGTCTTGCTGCTATTGCTTCAGATGCAAAATGACAAAAGAACAAAGACTTCATGACCCTACTATATTTGTTCTGTCTCTGGTAATAATTAAACTTCCCTTGCTGAATGTTCACTAGTAATTGTTTGCTGACAATTGTTAACAATGAGATATCCTAAATTTAGTGTCTGAGGCTATTTTTATCTCAGGGTCATCTATTTACTATTCAGGTAAAATATAAAAATTGGCAAGGGACCCAGTTCATTAAAAACTAACAAACCACAACTAAAACCTTGTTAAGCTGTTTTTTAAGTCCTGCTGGCTATGTAGAAGGAACTAACTTCAAAATCTATAGTTCCTCTGGATTAAAAATGCTGGCACTTGATCAGGCAGAATCAACCCATTATTCTAAGGTTCCGAGTTGTTAAATGCCACTTCCAGGAAGTATAGGCATCCTCTTATATGTTAAGAGAAAAAAAAAAATCAAGTAAAATCAAACTTCCATTTAAAAAGCAGGGATTTTTTATATTTCAAGTACTTAGAAGTGTACCTGGATCACCACAGTAGGATCCTGATGGTTATCTGTGAATGAATGAAGAGGTGGTGTTGGGTGAACTGCTGCTTCAGCAATATATTACTAGACCCAGCCCCTTCCCCAGGATACTCACCTACCTTAGACTCCACACATAAAGGGGCTCCCTAAGATGCCTACATCATTGCTTTGCAGGGCAGCACAAACAAATTAGCAAACCCCTCTTCTCCCTCTGTTTACAACTGCCATGCCAGGGGCAGCCAGTGACAATGTGAGCTGAGTGACCACAGGAATTTCCCTGAATCCTGGGTTCCTAAAAGCCTGATTAGACATGTGCATGTACATACCAAGGGGGTTCTTTCCTGTCTCCCTCACTATAACCAGGGGTGTTGTGCTTCCTTCAAATGTGATTTAGAATCTGAAAGAGGGGATGGGAGAACAGGTATGCCCCACACCCACCAAAAGACAGCTCCTACCCAGGGCCTTAGACATGGCTTCCCATTGAGTACATACATCTAGAAGGGACCAACTCCAACATGGTCTCACTGACTCAGATACCCTGTGCCAAGGTGAGAGGGCAGAGAATTAAGGCCAAGTCCACCCACCACACGGGTATACCTATTTTATGACTGACTCCTGCTGCCATAGCAATTCACGCAATAGGTCACCATTTCCAGAGAGAAACACCTACCTCCAAAAACATTTCCTCCTCTAGGAACATGTGGAAAAATACTTCAGTGGAGTTATAGCTGTTATCTAAGCAGTACTCACAAAGAGTGTGGCTGGAGGCTCCAGGTCAGGCCACCAGGTTTGTTAACCCAACACACTGCTGTATCTAACCTCTTCAGCATTGTTTGGACCCTGCAAAACTCTATGGTCTCTAGGTCCAAGACTGGTATAAGCAAACCTGATAAGTTTCCAACCACATTTTATCTGGGTTGGGCTCTTACCCGATTATCTTAGATAATGGAGCAAATACTATTCCAAGTTATCTAAAGGCCACATTCCTTCTAATAGATTATAGCCAAGAGTCAGTTCTTTTGCATATGATGGCAATTAATATGAGAAGCTACAATTTTCCTTTTTCTTTAAAATAATCAGCTTGCTAATTCATTATAAAGTGAAACTAAATGTAGCTACTTCTGGGCTCCATTTATATACTATACATGTAAGAACTTCTGCTGACAGACAAATCAGTGTTTACTAGGGTGGGCTAGGCTGTTCTTTAGTAGCAGGGTTGTTTGATGAGGAGATGAACTCTACACAGAAGACCATGTGAGGTAAGAATTGCACTAGATGAAAAAAATGCATTCAGATGAAAAAAGCATTTTAATATGATCCTGAGCTAGCAATCTGGGAAACTTCATTCCCTGATCAGAGGGTGCAAGATTTCTAGGCTGGCTGGCTTGCTTTTTGGCATATGTTGTATTATTTGAGTATTTGTCCTGCCTCTTGGTCTGCTGAGTCTGGCTTTTGCCTTCTTGCACCCTGTGCTACTGTCAGGCAGCCAGGTCCACAAGGGCACAGGTGCTGTGCCACCTGCTTAACACGTTCTAGGCCCTGTTGCTGACAGCTCTGGGGTACTCAGTGAGGGAACCCTGGCCATAGTGGGCAGCAGGTGTCTCCTGGAAGAACTGGCTGAGGGAGGAAAAAGAGAATACGAAGATGAGATTAATGAGTGAATGAGGATGAAGTTCTTACCCGGTGGTGGGATGCCCGGGAGGCCGGGCACACCTGGCGGAAGATGGTGGGGTGGAGGCCCCCCAGGGTGAAGTGGCTGCATGCTGCCCATGCTAACAAGGCCATCAACTGGGCCCTGCAAAGGTGGAAGGCCTGGCGGATAGCCACCCATCATGCCTTGAAGGACACAACAAATTTCAGACATGCATCATTAACATGCAACATGAGCTAAGTAATAACAACCCCCCACATGCACTATCAACGAATAAAGCACCCTTAGTACTGCATGATATAACAGTAATTAGTGCAATTATTTTGTTGCAATAATGAACAAAATAAAAAGCTACACATATGAAACCCCACATTTCTAGATGAATTAGTACTTAGTACATTATTGTTTGTAGTTATTTTCACTGGAATAAATATGCTATGTTTTCACTTAAATAATAATGAAGAGGAGTTCCAGTAACAGCCTTCCCAAAGTCCAAATTACTGCAAGCTGTTCAAGGAGAGTGACCAGTTCTGCTGACTGCAACTCTAATTGAACAGTACATACCCCATCATTCCACTCTGCCCACACTCATATGCCTATCATGGGTACCCATGAGGAGAAATCAGAATGGAGGGAAATGAAGTGCAGAGTCCTGATCAGAAAGCATGGTTCTCCAGCTTGGGGGCAAGAATTTTTCAAGGCTTTTACATCTACTCCTTCTCCCTTCTAGCCCCACCACTGCAGGTAAGAATGAATTGTGCTAGGGTTTGAGCTGGGGAACAGCTTCTAAGAGCCATCACAATGAATAATATTTCATCTTTAGATCTCAAAACTTGTTTAAAAAAAAAAATCTAAATCCTCCCAAGCCAACCAAAGCTCGGGGGCACTCAGAAACCTACATGCAGAGGTACAGCTGGAGAATCAGGCTCTGCTGACATGAGAAAATGCCAATTGTCATCACTGTCTCCAAGCTCACAAATGTCGTCATATAAACCTTCAGTTAACAGGGAGCATTTTAATCAAGGTATAGAATTTCTGTTCACAGAGGCTTTTATTTCTTTATTTTCAGAGCATACCTTCACAGAACAAATATCTTCTGCTGGCTAGGGAAGAGTTGCAGCAAACAAGTATTTTTGGCAAAAAGGGTGAAAATAAAATATTTTCAAATGTCAAGGACTCCCTATCAAAAGACCCTTTAAGATCACATAGCATTTTTTTTAAACAAGAAAAACAACTTGACTTTTCTGGGATTTGTAATGATCATGATGAACAGAATTTTGAAAAGCTTCCCATGAAGTGCAGTCACTTGATCATATCTTCTTGCAAAGGGAGAGTTAAGGGACTAGTGCCAAGCCTAGTTTTTATTCAATACTCTTTGTAGAGGCACTCTGGGAAACAGTGGAAAACTCCAGATTCTGAGAATTTCTTTCTGACTTTTCCTTAGGAATTATTCTAAAGTATTTATTTATAAAAAGTTTAGTCTTTTAAAGCTATGACATTACTGAAAATCCTGAGATTGACTACCTTGTTTCCTTAGTCATATATAAAACTGAAAAACTTACAATTATACAAACCAATAAAACAAACTTAAAATAATATTTCTATACATGAAACAGGACGAGTTTCATTTGTTAAAGAGTTCAGAGAGTAAAAAGTACTTCTGAATAGACGCCATCATCTAAACATGAGGAGATCCAATGCTACCAAACTGCCTTTTAACCACACCACAAGGTATAGCTTTTAGGGATAAGTAGGTGAGAAATTTAAGAATGTTAGGAGGCTTTGCTTTCAATTACAAAAGCCCATCTGAACGCAGCCTTCACAGGCTGTGATTGAAGATTAAGAACTGAACGACATGACAATTGTCTTCATTAAACTGTACTTTGGCATTTATTATCCCAGTCACATGTGTTCAAATGAGCTTCAATGCTTGTAAGCAAAGCTGGTTTCAGACACTGACAAGGCTAAGTCTCAGGCCCTAAGCAACCTGTAAACCCGTGAAAAATCACCCTCTTAGCTTCAAAGTTCCCACTGTGGACCAAAGACTGCTTACCATCCAGAATGCTTGCCCTTCACTCCCAACACCCAGAAATCTGGGCAGCACACCCTTAATAATGGAGTCGGGGCTTTCTAGAGGGACCAAGGTTCTCACCCACAGAGCTCTATGATGTTATTCCCTAACAGGGAGCTAAAATGCTGCAGCTGCTGTTTTTTTAAATGTTTTGAGCTGTTTGTATTCATTTTGTAAATATGTCCCTGGGTTTTGTAGTCAAGGGCACAGTGCCACAATATCACATCAAATAGAACAAAACAGGATGTCAATGAGGGAATTCTAACTTCCAAAGTCCCCATGTTCAAGGTCTGATTTATAAAAACTTCTGGAACCCCATTAACCAAAATGGGCCATGGAATAGAGCAGGCGATTATGAGATTTGTTAGATCAACATCAGTTACACTGAAAGTACTGACAGCCATGATTCAGATGTGCTTTGGCGAGTGCAACTGCTGATTTCAGCGACAGCGCATTTGAGAACTTGCCATCACAAAAGTTAGGAGCAACAATGGAAAAGTTATCCTATGCTACTCTTCCTTAAAAAGCAAAAACAAAAACAAAAACAACAAAAAAAAATAAAGCAAAACAAAAACAGCATCTCAATGAACCTGCCTTGAACAACACTGTCTTGGGCTCCCTAAGAGTTCAGACTACTTGAGAAGAAACACAGGTGGCACATACAGATCTCATCAGACTTGGAGAGATCACAAAGGAGGGGCCCGAGAGGTGGTCTACAGGCTTCTCATTGGAGACATGTCAGACAAAGATATTCAATCAAGAATAGTCAGATTTGCTAAGGCTACCAGAACCAAAGACAACACACACAAGCAAACCACATTCATCATTTTCTTTTTGCTTTTGGTTTAAATATGTGACTGGGATACTAACAGAAAATGCAGTTTAATGTAATTAAATAGAAAAGCATTACAGAGTGGGCACAATGAATTGAATAAGGACTTTGTATTCTATTTAGCAGTCATGCACATTGGTGACCAAGAAAGGATTTACAATTCATTGTCAAAAATCCTTTTAAATGGTCAGCCTTTAAAGGATGGCTGCAGCAGAACAACTCGAACTGAATACTGGCATGAGACAGAATATCAACACAACCTAAAGACTGGCTTTGTGTTTTCTCTTGGGAGTTCTCTAGAATATAACTTAGGGTCTATTTATATTTTCTACTGTAGTGTTCTATCAAGAACAGTCTAGGGTGAGAATATCACCAGACCATGCCCACAGCCAGGGAAGAGCTGCTCCCTACTAGGTCCCAGGGGTGGGCCCAGGGCCCATTTCTGGGGCAAAGGGAAAGCATTGCCCATATGGGAAAGGCAATACAGGACAACATGGATGATTTCAAACTTTGAATCTGTCATGAGAAAAGGCTACAGACTGCGGCCTACTCCTCTTGGAGAAAAAAAAAAAAAAAATGAAGGAATTTCTTAAAGTGGAAAAAAAAATGGTCTTAGCTCCTGTTTTTACCTGCAACAGGTGTCAACTGCTGATTGAGCATCCCCATTGGTGTTGGTGGTGGCACCACCCCCATGAGAGCCCCCACAGGGGTGCCTGCTCGGGGAGAAGCACTCGGCTGTTGTTGCTGTGCTGCTCGCTCTCTCTCCTGCTGCTCAGCAACTTTAGCTGCCCGCTCTGTAAAGGCATTTCAGATTTTCAATTCTGTTTTTAACCCAGGAATTCAAAATACCATCCATTGCATTCAACAGGACTAGTAAAAACACAGGCAACAGTTCTGTCTCAATGGAAGGAACAGTAGATGACTAGTCTCAACACAGGAGGAGTCGGGCCGATTTCACTTGGTAACCTAGAATCCAGCTTTCCTATCCCATCTTGAGAACTGGTCTGCAAAGATTTCAAGAATGTTAAGACTGCAACACACATTCAGAAAGCACAGATTTTATTTAAACACATCACCAGCGTAACCACCGTGGTTAATCTCACGAGGCACCCTGAAGATGAGAAGCGCTACCATTATTCTAGTATTAATAGCATTACAGATTATTTATAATTTCAACATGAAGCAATTCCATGGCCCATTATAATTTTTGGCACAATTGTTACTTACTATATTTTCCTGATTCCATTTTACTCAATTTTACTGAGATTGAGGACTCTTTATCATTAGTATCATAGGTTTAGCAGCTGAAGAAAATTAACTCTGTAAGGGAAAAGTAGCTTACTGCCTGTTTTAGGGAAAGTAAACAGCTAATTTCTATATTCTAATGAACCAAAGAGGTCACACTTAATAAATCCCAGGGAGAAAAAAATGTATGATACTCCAGGCTACAATAATCAGAAGCAGGTAATTAATATATAAATGTACATAGCAATGGACGATGTTCTAAAAGAATCAGGTTTCCTGAAGCTGAGTAGTTCAAAGCTGACCATAAATCATCCTAAATCAGCAAGAATTACAGAATCCACAATGCAAGAGAAGTATTTGCCTGTGGTATTTCTGGGCTGGACTGTTACCTGTCCCCCTATCCCCCACTTCTCTGCATCTCCAGAGCCAGCAAACCCAACAGTCATGTTCCTAGCCTAACAGGCTGGATCCTTCCTGGAGAAGTAGTCCCAAAGTTCCCACCACACTCAGTTTATTCTGTTTCACCATTCATAAATAGCAAATGCTCCCCACTCTTCAGATGGGCAAATGGAGGATGGGAGACAGGTAGTCACTTGTTCAAGGATACAGAGAACCAACAAACCATGACCCCCACTCCTGATAATCACAGTCAACTGCCACACACTAATACTCCAAAACATGGAATTCAAAAGGATACCACTGATCTGAGAAGGGGAAAAGAGCTCAAGGTCATATGGCTTTAAAGAGAAATTGAGAAGCAACAGCTCCAGTTTTCCTTTAGGGTAAAGAATGGGAAAGTCAAGCAAGTCAAAGGCTGCTGGCTGAGACAAGAGTTGCCTACAGAGACTTATTACCACTCACTGACACTCCCAATTTCACACACCCTCCACAAACTGAGAACACCAGCATGAGGTTGAGAACACCAGCATGAGGTTGATAAAGGCCATTCGAACAACCTATTTCCTTGAACTAGCAATAAAAAAAACCATTGATGATCTACACCTCCATGTTAAATTCTAGTATTTTCATTATACAAAGGACATGGTAAAATGGGAGAGCAAAATAAATAAACAACCAAACAAGCAAATAAATAAATAAATAAAAATTTAAAAAGTTTGAAAAACAAATCCAGGCCTGTGCATCAAATATTGTGACTATCTGTTGGATCTCTGTGGGAGAAGTTCATTTGGGCTGTCCTGGAAAAAAAAGAATCATTACAACTAAGCCAGTCAAACTCCTAACTCTGGGTTTTGAGTTCATTGGGTGGGGAGACCAAAAGTTCAGAGTCTTAGGTAAGACTCATAGTCACATAACTCACCTGCACTAGGTTCTTCCTAAACTTGAGATCCCTATTTGAGTGTAAGAGAACTTTCTAAAATCCATCAATCTCTCCCTCCCTGCACCAGTGTTTCTACCTTTACATTATCTCCACATCTTATTCACACCTAAGTAACCAGTCACTCAGTCCTGGCTTTATTTGCCTTGGAACTGGTTTTACATCCATATTAGCTTAATTTCCAACACTCCTTCATCTTAGTGATGTATTTGGTCTTGATTTGTACTAAGGCAGAAATATCAAAGTTCTAGATTCTTACAGAACTCACTAGGATTTAAAGAATAGTTCTTCAGGATATTAATAGGTAGGTACACAAATTCCTGGTCAAATTTCAGAAAATGCCAGATAATAAAAAACACGATCTTTAGAGACTAACTTAGGAAAATGGTCTTAGAGACTAACTAGGAAAATGCACTTTAAGTTTCGAAGATAAAGAGCTTGGAATGTTGCTCAAATTGGTTTTGCCACAAAATGCTTTCTGATTATCTTGCAGGATTAGGCTTCTGCAGAAGATCCTTAAAGAAGCCTGCCAGTTAATTTTATAATAATCAATTGTCACAAACGAAAGGAACAAAACTTTTTTAAAGAGTTTCTTTGAAGATTCATAAACTTCAATAAAGAGGGCAGCCTTAACAATTAATTTATATTTGCTGGAGTTAGCCAAAAAGACTAATGTTTGATCATTACAAGAGGATGGCTCTAAACTATCAAAATTCTATATAAAATTCTAAATGGAAAAAAATATAGCTCAAAGGTACAAAGTCCTGCCTAACCGAATGTTTAGTATTAATTTCTTTATCAAAGCCATGCCTAATATTAAAAACAATAATAATAACAAAACATCCAAAACACCAAAAATCTCTCAAATATTTGTTCCTAATGACTAAGAACCACCAAATCCTTGAATGATACATAGCTCATGGCTCAAAGTGATATAATTATAGAGTAAAAAGAAAATAAAGGCAGTGGAACTCAAAGAGATCCCAAATGCCTTAACGATAGCTATGAATACAGCACAGGTCACAAGTTGCCTAGCAAATTAAGTGCTTCAGTCAAGCCTTAGCAGAGAGTTTAAACATATCAAGAAACAGAAGATCACTTATTTCAAAAGTCCCCTTTCGGATAAATTTTAATCAAAATTATATTTAACATCATCATACAGTCATTCCCCAGCTCAACATATGTTGGGTGCTTACAGAGCTCAATGAAAGAAAATCATGCAATTTTTAACAGTAAAAATATTTTTTTTTGAGAAATTTGGGGAGGGGTCAATACTAGGATCAGAGGCCAAGTCAGGGGCAGCAATCTGCCTAGTCAGAACAAGACTGGCATCTATTCTGCTGGTTATCATCAGGAACAGTCCCCAATACAAGGTTCATGTGTGTGTGGCAAGAACAAGAGAGTAAAACCTGTCTATGCACGTGCATTCCTGAAAACACCCCCTTGCTTCAAAGGCTGAGACAGTTGTGCCTAGTCCCTATTTACCTTCATATTCTGCTTTCTTGGCTGTCTCAAGGTTTCTCCACTCTGTCCCCACCAGTCGGCTGAGCTCCCCAAAAGAGTAGTCTGGGTGCTGGGCCTTAATCACAGCTCTCATCTCACTGCTGAACAGGATGTAGCCACTCATGTTGATTTTCCGTTTGGAGCCTTCCTTCTTTGCACTGCCTTTGGCAGACTTTGGGGTAGACTGTAAGACAGAAAACTCTTATAGTGCATCAGAACATTGCATTTAATTAACCGCTCAGAGTTTCTGGAAGCCAGGAACATGTGATCCAAAAGTTACTGTTTTATAGCACAGTTTGTAGCTGGCCATTTTCTTGGTCAAAACATACCTCTTTCTTGCCTCTTACCGTGTAAGAAATAAATCAAAGTTTCACTGAATTCCATGACTGCAATCTCTAATGATGACCTCATAATTAAGCTTGAGAAAATTCTGAATGAGAAAAAAATACCAACAGGAATCACCTCAGCCAAAGATGAGGTTCTAAGGAGGGAGAGATTTAAAAGATTTGGGCAGTGGGCTAGGCACAGTGGCATATGCCTGTAATCCCAGCTCCTCCAGAGGCCAAGGCAGGAAGATCAAGGGTTCCAGGCCAGTCTGGGCAACGCAGTGAGACCCTATATTAAATAAAACTGAAAAAGGGCTGAGCATGCATCACAGTGGTAGCATCTTTGCCTAGTGCATGAGTCTCTGAGTTCAATTCCCAGAACTGTAAACAAACAAAACCCAAAAGAATAAGAACAATGAAAGCTTAAGAGTAACAGGATGATACCATTCCTTTACTGCTTTTCTTTAATAGAAAGCAAGGAGAGCCTTCTAATTAAACTTGCCATTAAACAAGTTAAATAAAACTCAAGAAGATTTAAATTATTAACAGCTTAATCACATGATAAATACAAATGTTCTGTCAATTAAAAATAAAATATATAAACAATTAAATACAAGGCATTGATAAAGAAAAAAATCTGGGGCTGGGGTTGTGGCTCAGCGGTAGAGTGCTCGCCTAGCACATGTGAGGCCCTGGGTTCGGTCCTCAGCACCACATAAAAATAAATAAAATAAAGGTATTGTGTTTGACTACTTCTAATAAACAAAACAAACAAATAAATAAATAAATAAAAGAAAAAAAATCTCTCCCCCCCCGCCCCCGTAGAATTCTAGGTAGAGGTTCATATATGGAAGGGCTGGATGTCTCCTTAATTTGGTTTGTGCCAGCTGCAAACCAAACTTGAGAACAAGACAAGTAAAAGGAATGTGTCACCTTTACCTGTGGGGGTGTGTAGGGCATGAGGTCCAGTTCACTGGACAGGGGAGTCTGAAGCTGAGGTAGAGAAGGAGGTTCAATGACCTCACTATCTTCTTCTCCCATCTCTTCAACATCCTCATCTCCACCTTCTAACTCAGCAAATTTAGCTTCTAGCAATTGGATCTTCTTTTCCAACAAAGGTGAGGGCTCTTTCTGAGGAACAATTGGTTTTCTGAAAGAAGTGACATTAAAAAAAATAAAACAGTCAGGTGGGCACAGTGATGCTCACCTATAATCACAGCTACTCAGGAGGCCAGGCAGGAAGATTTTAAGTTTGAGGCCAGCCTGGGCAAGACTCTGACTCAAAGTAAAAAATAAAACAGGCTAAGTATATGGTTCAGTATAGGGTGTCCCTGAGTTTGATCTCTAGTACTTCAATCAATCAATTTTTAATAAGTAAGTCACTTATTGTGACTTGTGCAATCTGCAGTGTATACTTTAAAGGCAGTAAAGGAATTTAATAGGCATTTATGAAGTCACTTCTACTTAGAAAAGCTTGTTTTTGAAAGATCCCATGGAACACCCACAGAAGCATTTTGCTCAAAGTCAGAACCAGTTTTCTATACATGGCAGAAAAAGTTCTCATAATCTGTGGAATGGAGCACTCTCCTCAGAGAGCATATGAAGCAACTACTTCTGTCTTCATTTTATAAATACTGGCAGCTACAAGGACACTGTTAGAGCAGTTAATGGGTCCTAGCAGATTATAAAGCTTTTCTTTTCATATTTAACTGAATTAATATTTTCTATTTGAAATGTATACTGCTCTAGTTTAAGACCAAATTTTAAGAAACTCAAAACACTGGGCTATACTATTTTGATATGAATTAAGTTTTTTCTTTTTTTTTTTTTAGTTGTAGTTGGACACAATACCTTTGTTTTTATTTATTTATTTTTATGTGGTGCTGAGGATCAAACCCAGCACCTCACACTTGCTAGGCAAGTGCTCTACTGCTTAGCCACAATCCCAGCCCCTGAAATATTCTTTTTCCCTTAGTTTTTTAAGATCTACCAGGCTGGGAATGGTGGCAGATTCCTGTAATCCCACCGGCTCAGGAGGCTGAGGCAGGAGGATCGAAAGTTCAAAGCCAGCCTCAGCAACTTAGCAAGACCCCATCTCAAAATAATAAAAAGGGCTGGGGATGTGGCTCAGTGGTTATGCACCCCTGAGCCATTAGGTTTAATCCCTAGTACCAAAAAAAAAAAAAAAAAAAAAAAAATCACCTGAAGTAGTAAATTTCATCATCTACCACTTTAGCAGAGAGCGAAAACCTCTTCAGTCCCTTGAATTTCTTCATCTGCTTGTCACTCTCATTGTAGCGACTCTCACAAAGCAGAATGTCATTTTCTGGTATTTCAGTTGGCCTGCAGGAGAGGAAGTCCTTGAATGACAACACAGCACACTTTCCTGAAAGAACAAGTTGGAAAGAAATTAAAGGAATAAATTGTAGACATAGTTTACAATTTTTAAAAAATTTTATTAATTGTTTTTTTTTTTTGGATACTAGAAATTGAACTCAAGGGCACTCAATCCTTGAGCCACATCCCCAGCCCTATTTTGTATTTTATTTAGAGACAGGGTCTAAATAAATTAGTACCTTGCTTTTGCTGAGGCTGGCTTTGAACTTGTGATCCTCCTACCTCAGGCTTCCAAGCTGTAATTTTTTAAAAATGTAGCTGGACACAACACATGGTATTTATTTTTATGTGGTGCTGAGGATCGGACCCAGTGCCTCACCCATGCTAGGCAAGCACTCTATCACTGAGCCACAACCCCAGCCCCTAAGCTGTAATTTTTAATTAATATATTCATACTGAGATATGTGTAGGTGGGCTTTTGGGAAAAGAAAAAGAACAAGAACGCCTTAGTATGGAGACTTGGATCTATGAGTATGACCAGTCATACTTGTCCCTTCAGTCAGATGAACGAACCCTCCAGTTTATGCTTAGGCCAACAAGAACAAATACAAAATTAATTTAAATGTCATGAGATTCAAAGACTTATACAATATGCCTATAAATTATTTATGGCTTGATTACATAATAACAGAGAAACATTCTGATCTCCAAATAGCAAATGATTGTCATAGGCCTTAATTTTCAAAAGAGTTTTGTCTGAGAACCTCCATGCTTGTTCCCAGAAAAATTTTATATATATATATATTATTGGAGAGCTTGACTCAGGATGTAGCATTCATCTCTGAGAAGTGAGGGGCACCCTACTCTGGAATGTGTACACCTCTGATGTTCTTATATAAATTTCTGTGCCTTGCTTTTAGTGCATCCTGGAATGTTTTTCAGTAACAAAATTAAGAACCACCCAGACTGAGCTGAGGTCTCTTTCCAATGACAACATGACACAAAATTATTAATTGTTTTCTTGGGGTACTACACACAGACAGTAGAACTGACAGTCTACAAATAAACCCATACAATTGGGTTTTTTTGGCAACTCATTTTCAACAAAGATGCCAAAGACAATTCAATGGGGCGGAAAGAATAATTTCTTCAATAGATGGTTCTGAGACAACTGGATTTCCACATGCTAAAAATGAAGTTGGAGTCTTATATCAAGCCACATACAAAAATTAATTCAGAATCAAAGACATGAATGTGAGACCTACAACTACAAAACTCTTAGAAGAAAACCTAGATGTACATCTTTATGACATTTGATTAGGCAATAATTTCTCAGATGTGACACTGAAATAGCACCAGAAACTATAGAAAATGAAGGATAAACTAGACTTCACAAAATTAAAAACTTTTGTTTTCTATAGGATACTATTAAGAAAGTGAAAAGACAACCTATACAACAAAATATATGTGAATCATATATCTAGTAAAAGGCTACCGACTGGGGTTGTGCCTCAGCACTTGCCTAGCACACGTGAGGCCCTGGGTTCGATCCTCAGTATCACACAAAAATAAATAAAATAAAGGTATTGTGTCTAACGACAACTAAAAAGTAAATATTAAAAGAAAAGGCTAGCACCAGAATATAAAGAACTCCTACAACTTAACAATTAGAAGACCAATAACCCAATTAAAAAATGAGCAAAGGATCTCAACAGACATTTCTCCAAAAAAGATATACTGAGTGGTAGACAAGTACATTAAGTAATGTTCAACATCATTAATCATTAGGGAAATGCAAATCAAAACCACAGTGAGCTGGGCACAAGAGCTCATGCCTATAATTCCAGCAACTGAGGAGGCTAGGGAAGGAGGATTATAAGTTTGAAGTCAGCTTGAGCAACTTAGGAAGATCCAAGCAACTTAGCAAGACCTTATCTCAAAAAGACTTGGGGATGTAGCCCATTGGTAAAAGCAACTCTGGGTTTAATCCCTAGTACCAAAAAAAAAAAAAAAAAAGACAACGGTAAAATAAATAAATGTGTCAGGAAGGATAATGCAGAAAAAATGGAACCCTTGTACATTGGTGGAGGGAATGTAAATGATGTAGCTGCTGTGTAAAATAGTTTGGCAGTCCTCAAAAAATTAAACATAGGGGGCTGGGCTGTAGCTCAGTGGTAGTGCACTTGCCTAGAATGTATGAGGCACTGGGTTCGATCCTGAGCAACACATAAAATAAATAAATACAGAATTACTGTATTACCCAGTAATTATGCTTCTAGGTATATATCAAAAATAATTGAGGGGCTGGGGTTATGGCTCAGTAGTAATGCACTCGCCTAGCATGTAGGAGGTGCTGAGTTTGATTCTCAGCACCACATAAAAATAAATAAAATAAAGGTATTGTGTCCAACTACAACTAGAAAGAAAATAATAATTGAAATCAGAAGCTCAAACAGAGACTTGTACACCAATAATCACAGCAACATTACTCAGGACAGAAAAAACTCACACGTCCATCAACAGATAAATGGATAAATAAAAAGGTGGTTTATATCTACTATGGAATATTACTCAGACTTAAAATGGAATAGAATTCTGATACCTGCTACAGTATGAATGAAAATTTTATGCAAAGTGAAATAAGCCAGACACAAAAAGACAAACATTGCATGATTTCACTTATACAAGTACTGCAAATATGCAATATTTACAGAGAGTAGAATAGAGACCACTAGGGGTAGAGGGGTAGTGGGATATAGAGAATTGTTGTTTAATGGACAGAGTTTCTATTTGGCATGCTGAAATTCTAGAAATAGACAGTGGCATTGAGGATACAACTGTTCAACTTCTCAGAACAACAATTACTTTTTTTTTTTTTTTTTTAATAAACAATCACTGGATGCCAAAAAACATGGCCTTACAAACTACTGCCACAGAAGTTTACAAAGCAAGAGGTCAGAGAATGAGAATGGATGCTAAAGGCAGATTTCCAGGTAAGGTCCACTCTGGCCCCTCTCTGTTCCACTCCTAAGGAGGTTGCTGTGGCCAGTCAAATGGGGCAGTGCAGCCTAGGAGCAGTTCAGCAACTGAGAGATTCTAGAGATCTGTAGCACAGATTGGCTCTATTTCTAGATTGTTTATTCACTTGGGGACCTTTAGAGGGTCTATAGCATGTCTTCAATTAGGGTTGGTCATACTCAGCTGTACCACTAGGTTGTTCAGGTCAACTGGTCTGGAGCAGGGCCTGGTGGCGCACACCTGCAATCCCAGCAATCTGGGAGGCTGAGGCAGGAGCATCAGAAGCTTGAGGCCAGCCTCAACAACTTAGCAAGGTCCTCAGCAACTTAACAAGATCCTGTCTCAAAATAAAAAAATAGAAAGGATTGGTAATGTGGCTCAGTGGGTGGCAAAACTCCCTTGGGTTTAATCTACAGAACAGGTGTTAGGGGGAAGACTAGAGGAGATACTGGTCTCTCAGCCACTTTGCTGGCTGTTGTTCATTCTGAGGGTATCTATCACTTCCTTTTCATTGAATTTCATCTCCATCAGGGAAATGAAAACCTGAGCATCAGCTCCAAATTCTCTTTCCTCTGAATCTTCTTGAAGATTTTTGTTGGCTTATCTCTGGCCTCTTTGTTTACTGTATTAGTCTCAGTAGCAGTCTTGGAGGGTTCCCTGTCTTGTCTAGTGGGCCTTTGCTTGATTAGAGATGTCTACAGTTGGGCCTTCTGAAAGCTCAATTAACTACTCCATGGTACAGAGTAATTCAGTCAAAGGGATCTTGTGGCTCTGCTCTCAGGAAAGTCCATCACCATGAGATGCTACCATGGAGCTTCATCCACTTGTTCATCTTCCTCTTTGTTCAATATAACATCTTCCTTCCTTCTATTTTTTCCCCCTTTTCCAGTAGTGGGGATTAAACCCAAGGGCACTTTACCACTAAGTTACATATCCAGCCCATTTTATTTTTATTTAATACTTTTTTTTAGTTGTTAATGGACCTTTTTATTTTATTCATTTATATGTGGTGCTGAGAATCGAACCCAGTGCCTCACACATGCTAGGCAAGTGCTCTATCTGAGCCACAACCCAGCCCCATCCAGACCATTTTATTTTGAGATAGGGTCTTGCTATGTTGCTGAGGCTAGTCTCAAAATTGAAATCCTCCTGCCTCAGCCTCCTGAGTACCTGGGATTAAAGATGTGTACCACCATGCCTGGCTACATTTTTTTCCCCGTTTTTAAATTTTTCATTTTGCGAAAGGGTCTTGCTAAATTGCTAAGGTTGGCCCTGAATTTATGATCCTCCTGCCTCAGCCTCTGAAGTTGCTGGGATTACATGGCTCTTCTATTATTTTTGAGAAAAGGTCTCATTATGTTGCTCAGACTAGTTTCAAACTCCTAGGCTCAAGTGATCCTCTGGACTGGGTAGACTTGGGACTATAGGAATAAGTCACCATGCCTGGCTCAACATTTGCCTTCTAAACATAATTCAAACATGCCAGAGTTCATTGTTAATAACATTTGTTCCACCTTCAATAAGTTCACACCAAGATTTTCCAGAATTCTGTCTATAAGTCTTTCATGTTGGTCTAGACCACAATCCACTCCATACAGTAGGAGAGCAAGATGGCTACTGCTGGGAATATTGCATCTCTATGTTTTAGAATAACTGGGACATCTTTATCTTGGCTATTCTCTCCAGAGATTGTTTCAGTATCATTCTTGGAATAAGCAGATATTAATTTGTGATGGGTTACTAACACTTTGGGGATCTTCTTATTCTTTTCTTTCTTTTTTTTTTTTGGTGTGTGTATGTGTGTGTGTGGTGTGCTGGGGATCCAACCCAGGACCTCACACAGGCCAGGCAAGCGCACTACCACTGAGCCACACCTCAAGCCCACTTTTAGGGTCTTTTAAACTCCTATAAACACAGTGCTAGAAGCAGCACAGTCCTTTGAGCTCTATGGAGGGATTGGTAGTTGCTTTCTCCATCACTTGACATCACTGGCTACGTTGGTGGGCAGCTGCAGTACTTTGCCTACAAAGATCTTTTCTTCCTGTGGCAATACCATAATGCCTCCACTGGGCCCTGCACCTGTCACCTTGGCTCTTAAGGTCCCCAGGAAGGTGGGTAGAGTGTCACCTTCTGCCCACATGTGCCATTGTTGGGACACTTCTACCCCTGTCACTTGCAGCAGTGTAGGCAGTTTCCTTGCTTCTGCCACTTGGAAATAAGGATTCTGAGTTTCTATAGTTATCTAGGAACCTAGAAGGCCATGCATATGCAAACGGTAGGGTTCATGATCAGAAAAGACCTGAGAAGTCCCTAAACTCTCACCTGTGGCTGACCTTCGAGCTTTGTGCAAGCAGGAAATAAAGGCAGAGATGTAAACTGCATGGCTAAATGCTGAATGTTGGTGTGCTCCAACACACAGAGGGAATCCAGCTGCAAATACTGGGAGTTTTTGGCTCTAGGCATTTAAGAAAACCTTTGTCAAATCACTATCTGATCACTAAGCTGAGAGAACAGAGACTTCAGTGACCACACACAATAAAGACACAATTTAGGGCTGGGGATGTGGCTCAAGTGGTAGCGCGCTCGTCTGGCATGCGTGCGGCCCAGGTTCGATCCTCAGCACCACATTCCAACAAAAGATGTTGTGTCTGCCGATAACTTAAAAAAATAAATATTAAAAAAAAAAAGACACAATTTAAAAAATGTTACTGAACAAAGAATTACAATCCATAAAAAGCAATAACAACAAAGCCTAAGAAGAAAGGAGAATTTGATTTTCAGAGTTACCACACTGTATATTCAAAATGTCCAGTTTCTTTCTTTCTTTCTTCTTCTTCTTTTTTTTTTTTTTGTACCAGGGATTGAACTCAGGGGCACTTGACTACTGAGTCACATCCCCATCCTTATTTTGTATTTTATTTAGAGACAGGATCTCACTGAGTTGCTTAGTACCTTGCTTTTGCTGAGGCTGGCTTTGAACTCGCCATCCTCCTGCCTCAGCCTCCTGAGCTGCTGGGATTACATCTTCTCTTTACCCTCTGCCAGTAGTAGGGAATGAACCCAGGACCTCATCATGCATACTATGCAAAGTATTCTACAACTTAGCTATATCCCCAGCCCTTTTTATTTTTTAATTTTGAGACACAGTTTCTCTAAATTGCCTAGATTGGCCTCAAACTTGCAACCCTCCTGCCTCAGCCTCTTGAGTAGTTGGCATTAGAGGTATGGGTCTTTGTGCTGACATAATATACTTCCCAACTACTCAGGAGGCTAAAGCAAATGGACTCAAAGTTTGAGGCCAGCTTAGTCAACTGAATGAAAGCCTGTCTCAAATAAACATAAAACAGGACGGGGAAGTAGCTCAGTGGTAGAGTACTTGCCTAGCATGCACAAGTCCCTGGGTTCAATCCTGCAAAAACAAAACAAACAAACAAAAATCAAAACAACCAAACTATGAGCAATCAGAGGTTGGGGGTACAGCTCACTATAAGAATATATGCTTAGCTTTCATGAGGTCCTGGGTCAGTTTCCAGAACAAGAAAACAAAAAGCACAAGTCATCAATATAAAACTTGTGAGACTAATAATCTTTTAGGAAACCATTACAAAAGATGTAAAAACTCGTGTAAGTAAGCTCTAGAGGTGACTCAGGGTCAAGAGAACACAATAACTGAAAACAAAATATGATGATGGATACAACCAGATGTAGGAAACAGAATATAACTGTGAACACTCAGTAGATGATAGAACAAAAACCAAAACATGCAACAGCTACAATAAGATTACCAGGATTTAGAGTCCAACACAGACCATGAGTTTCTTTTCTTTCTTTCTTTCTTTTTTTTTTAAGAGATACACAGGAGAGTTTATTTGTCAGAGCTGACAAATAAGAGCCATCTCTCCATAGACAGAGAGGCCCCATGAGGTTTTTTTGGTACTGGGTATTGAACTTGGGACGCTTTACCACTGAGCTGCATCCCCAGCTCTTTTTATTTTGAGAGTCTTGCTAAATTGTTTAGGACCTCACTGAGCTGCTGAGGCTGGCCTCAAACTTGCGATTCTTCTACTGCTTTAGCCTCCCAAGTCACTGGGCTTATAGGCAGGCATGCACCACTGTGCCCAGCGGACTATGCCTTTTTTTGTTTGTTTTGTTTTTTTGGTGACACTGGATATTGAACCCGGGGCACTCTAACACTGAGCTACATATCCTCAACCCTGTTATTTTGCAGTACTGGGGAGGGAACCCAGGATCTTGCGCATGCTAGTGAAGCACTCTACTATTGAGCTACATCCCTATCCCCATTTTTATTTTGAGACAGAGTCTTGCTAGTTGCCCAGGTTGGCTTGAACTTGTGATCCTCCTGCCTCAGCCTCCCAAGAGGCTAGGAACACAGACATGTACACTGTGTCAAGCTCCTGCTTTATTCTTACAAGAGCCACAGTGATTCCTCCTTCTAATGTTCGTACCAGCTTATACCACCACTGTGCTCAAACCCCTCCCAGGACTTCCTATCCACTCCAAGCTCAACCACTCCATTGTTTACAAAGCCTACTATGACTGGATGCCCAGCTTCCTCAGAGGGCTCATTCCCTTATATACCACTGCTCTGTTCCAGTCACCCAATTTTCATACTATATGTCTGGAACATGCTCAGATACTCTACTTTAAGGCTTTTAGCTGTGCCTATAAGAGAGCAAAACCTGATATTCAAATGGGCTTTTTCCTTACTTCTCTAGGGTTCTGTTCACATGTCACCTAGCAGCAAGGCATTTACTGAACAAAGGACCTTGTCTCAACACTACCCTCAATCCTTTTACTTTATTTTCATTTATAGCTCTAACCATGGCTTGATATTCTACACATCTGTTCTTCAATTTATTTATGGACTCACCAATCTTTGCCCCAATGTAAGTCTTTTAGAGGGCACAGACTTTGTTTTGCTTATTGCTATATACCTAACATCTAGAATAGTACCTAGCACAAAAGTAGTATTCAATCGAATTTTAAGCAGTTAATGGATTAAATGAAAAAATATAAATACCTACCCAGAATACATGTCATGGGACAGGTTTCTTCCAGATTACTCAGAAACACTTCTTTTTTGTAGAACATTTTTGTGGGCTCATGCTCTGTTTCTTCTGGGTGAATGAAAATGGGGCCATAAAAATATGCAGCTCCATCTCGGACCCACACTTTTTCAATTCTTGGGGGGAAAATGGAGAAATTACATGATAATTCCATTCTTGAAGGATTAATCTAGTAAAAATTCTATTAGCCAAAACTTAAAGAGTATGTGCCATTCAACAGTATTTGTCTTACTGAAATTTATATAACTTCATTAATTGCCCTCCTCCTTTAAGCATACAAGATACTTAAAAAGAAAAGAACACAGGGTCCCACTTATTTGAAAAAAAATAACCATAATATCAAGAAATGTAATTTAATAGTTTTATCTGACTCTCAGATTTTCTTCCTGAAATATGCATATAAAACTAGAACTAAGCATCTTTTATTGGGCCTGTAAGTCCAATGAAGACTCACAATTTCAATATTTGGAGTTGAATCACATGCATGGCAGACATTCCTTCAACACAATGGTTCATAACCTTTTTGAAAGTCAAGATCCAGTCGGGTTCACCCCTTGAGAAACTGATGAATGCCAATTAACACCTCCTTAGGAACAACAACAAAACATTAACATTGGCTACTATGTACCAGATACTGTACTATTTCTCACAACCAATAAAGTTGATATTATTGTCCCATATTCTGTGGTTCCTGGCATGAAGCAGCATCTTCTCTTCAGCTAATAGTAACTCTAACCTTCCAGTTCCTCAGGCCCAACACACAAGTCACCCTGCCTCTCAGACCTCACATTCCATTTATTAAGTAAATTATTAATTTGACCTTCAAGGTAGTACACTTTGCAACACTCTGGTCTGAGACACCATTATTCTTGCTTGGATTATTTCAACGGCCTGAAAGATCTCCTTGTCCCTACTCTTGATAGTCTATTCTTAAAAACCAGCAGGCAGAATAATCCTCTTACAACCTAAGTCAAATGTCACTCTGTGCTTGAAACAATACAATGTTACTCCATTTAACTCCATAAAAGTATAAGTCCCTACAATGGTTTTTGAAGCCCTACATGATTTGCTCACTACCACTGGCCCTTACTTCCCAACTAACTCTTCCCTGGCTCACTCTGCTAGTTGTAACTTCTGCTGGTTTGAACAGGCCTGGCATACTTCTCTCTCAGGCCTTTACACAATCTGTTCAACTTCTCCCTGGAATGCTTTTCCCCTGTACTTTCAGAATTCTTACCCTTCTGTTTCTTCAAGCATTGGCTCAAATGCCAGCTTCTTACTGAAGCCTGTGCTCTAGACCATCCTCCCTGCTCTCACTGTACACATCTCTCTTCACCCAGCTCTATTTTTTCAACAGCATATATCATGATCCACTGCACTACAATTCTACTTATTAAAGATGTTTATTGTTTATCTTCTCACCAGAACAAAGTTCCATGGGACTAAGAACATCTGTTTTATAAACTAATGTATTCTCAGAGCCTGGCAAATAATATAGTAAATGGTTACTGATTGATGTACAATGAGGAAGAAACAGAAATAGAGGCAACTCATGTACTTAAGAACATGCAACTAGCAGAGCTTAACCAAGATCTCCTAGAACCAACTACTGGGTTTTTTGTTTTGTTTTCCTGTTTGTACACTAGGAATCAAAGCCAGGGCCTCTAGCATGCTAGGGAAGTACTCTACTACTGAGTTTCATCTCTAGCCTTCAAATACCATTGTTCTTAACCATTATCATAATGATCAACTGAGTACCTGACTCCTTGAACTTTTGCCATCTAACATTCCTTACATTAATTTACTTGTTCATAAATATATGAGCCCCTACTATGTTTCATGCACTGATTTCAGCAGAGAATACAAAGTTGAGCAAAAACAGAGAGTTCCTATTTGCAGGGTATTTGGAAATTCAAGGTATGGAAACTAGACAATATAAATATCCATGTGTGATACTCTTCTTTCTTTTTTTTAATATTTATTTTTAATTTTGGGTAGACACAATATCTTTATTGTACACTTCTGTGGTGCTAAGGATCGAACCCAGTGCCTCATGCATGCTAGGTGAGTGCTCTGCCACTGAGCCACTAAACCCCAGCCCCATGACACTCTTATTTCTAACAAGGAAAAACATAGTGCCTGGGGGAATGGGAAACAGGGAGACAAGCCAGTATACAGGTAAAGGAAAGGGTTCTTTAAGGAAGTACTATTTCAAATTTAAGCTTAGAATTACCATACAAAATGGGCAGGGAGATTTTTGAGCTGAGAGTTAAGTAAATGGTGGGAAGAATGTAAAAAATGTGTTTTTAGAGGTGAAAGCAGGGGAAGCACGGTGTGAAAAGCAGCTAGACAAATTGCCAGGGGAGGGACTTATGTCTTAATTATTCATGTCTACTAGCCCCAAACCTCAGAGTCAACTTTATCTTCCCTATTTCAAGGACATTCACCTGCCCACGCGGGGGCGCACCAGACCATGGGACTTGATGAAGACACAGTCGCCAACCTTCAGCCACATGTCATTGTAACGAAGCTGCTCAAAGTAGTGGCAACCTGGTTCACCGTTGGACATTTCCACAGGGACATCTTCTTTTTCCTGTGGTAAAGGAAACTGGCTAAAGAAAAGCAGCTAACCATGAAGGACAGGACAGAGAAGAAAAGAAAGCAGGACTTTCCTTCACATCAATGTAAGGAAAAAAAAAAACAACTTAAGTAGAAGTTTTGATGAAGGTTAAGAAACCAAAAAATTAGGTGGTTGAAATTAAACTGCTGTAATCACTAAAATTTCTAGATAATTTTCATAAAATAACGTTAGCCTAAAATGCTTTTATCCCCTCTCCCTCTTTCCAATTTCTGTATCTTTGAGTCTGGCAAGGACTTATTAGCATTCAGAATTGGAAAATTTCACATACTTTTATAGATAGAGTGTATAAGAAGCAAACTTCATATAAGCTCCCCATTTATTGTACTTACTTGAGCTCCCTCAATTCCTTTTATTGGTTTTTAAACTTTTTTTTAAAAATATAAATTCAGCCATTCAATTTTTAGGGTGGCAAAGTTCATTTACTGTCCATTCTGAAAAGTAATACTTCCTTTTTGTCACCTCCAAGAACGAGAAATCAAGTAAGTTGGTAGTTGCCCAGCCTTTGTGACTTATTTGTGTACAGAAAGAGTCTGTCTCCCTCTACATCTTTTCAGTTTTAACCACTGATTAAGTCTTTGAAGAAACAAGACAACTGGGAACTCCTTTGACCAGGGGATTCACTCATCAGGACAACAGGAGGACTCCCTCCTCACACCACAGAAGTGCCCAGCAAACTCATCCCAGACAAAGTAGGAAAGAGGAGAACAGACTAATTTTAGGAGATGCACCAGAGTGACAGGGTAAGATTGGCTTTGAAAAACTTGATACAACCCTCTCTTCTCGAGGCTAGTTAAACATCCCTGGAAAGGTAGGTAAGAACAGACCAGGAACGTGGAAGGTGCAGAAGCCACAGGAACCCACACCACCCAGAGTGGAAAGGAAGAGAGGCCACGTTAGAAGCCTTCCTTCCCTGTCAGGACTCCTCCTTTTGCCACTCTGCCCTTAAGGGCCCATTAATCCTCCCAATCTGGTCTCTTATCACCCAACCCAAGGAGTACACTTCTACTATAGGAAAAAAATACAGAAGAAAGAAGAGAGCTAAAGCTAGAAGCCTGGCACTCTCTGCTGCCACTTAGTTTCTTCACATTAACAACTGACAGACTATTTTACTATTTATGCCAACATGGAAAGGAATAGTAGAACCTGTGTCATAAACACTCATAATGTTTTTGAATAAACTGCTGGATCTGTTATCTACTAGCTGCTGTGAGGGTGGGCAAGTTACTTGACCTCTTGTGCCTTAGTTTCCCCATCTATAATATAAAGATCACCGACAGTGTGCCCACCAAACAGAATTGTTCAGAAGCTTAAATGATATAATTCATGCTTACCTACACAGAATTATTAACATAATGACATGTAAAGACTTTTGTAATTTGAACAATGCTTGCATTCCTAGAATGTACTCCTCTTTCTTTGGTCAAATTTTCTAAAAAAATAATTTGATTTCACTTAAAAAATAATTTCCCCTAAGAAATTTTTGTCCTGGTATTCATAAATGAGACTGAGCAGTAATTTTTATTTTCAAATTGTGGAATCCAGATTGTTTTGGTTTTATAACACAACTGGGGAGTTTTCTTTTTCTCCATGCTCTGAAACAGTTCAAATAGCATTTAAATTATAGGCCCCTCAATTAAATAAAGGAAAGCTCAGTACTATTTGGGATTAGCTTTTTGACATTTTCAGTTTCTTCATGTTGTTCACTTGTGCTGTATCTCTTCCTGATTCCACTTTGACAATTCATATCCTTGAAAATTATTCATTTTATTTTCCAAATTTATTTAAAATGTACTGACTAAATTTCTTCCACCTTTTGTCTGTCTGAGCTTACTACCCTCCCTACCTTCTTTTACCTTTTTTGTACTTTTTGGGGATTGAACCCAGGGTGCTTTACCACTGAGCCACATCCCCAGTCCTTTTTATTTTTAGACAGGGTCTTGCTAAATTGCTGAGGCTGGTCTCAAACTTGCAATCCTCCTGCCTTAGCCTCCTAAGTTGTTGGGATTACAAGTGTACACCAACATACTCGGCCTCTTTTACCTTTATTAAGAGAGTTGATAGTTTATTTCATTGGACTTGTCAAAGAATTAGCTCTTAAATTTACTTTTATTTATTTAAAGATTATTGGTCTTATGGTACTGGGAAATGAATCCAGGGCCTCAAGAATTCTACACAAGTACTCTACCAGTGACTACATCTCCAGTCTCTGGATTTACTTTTTAAACTCTATTTTTTGCTTCTACTCTTTTGTTTAAATTTTTAAGTACTAAGTCCCCCCCCCCCCCCCCGAGTTTCCTCCTCTCTGTTCGGCTAAGGTTTCATACTGTCAATCATTTTCTGAGTTTGAATACTTTAATCACTTGTCTTCTGGAACAGATATTTGGAGGTGTAAAATTCTTTTTTGTGTGTTTGCTATCTACATACCTTTTCCAAGTTAAAATTATCTTCAACTCGACTGTCCTCTGAGTTATCTGTATTCTTCTCATCATCCCCTTTATCTGCATTTGCAAATACAGAGGCAACTCGAACCACAGGCAGAGGTACATCTCGAGGGACAAATCTAACTGAACTGATGGGCATAGTCCACAATTTAATTTTCTTAAAAGATTTGGTTTTAGCAGAATACCGTGATTCACAGACAAAAACATCCTCATCTCGAAAGCTTTCTGGGCATAATTTAAAGTATTCCTATGGGACATAAAACGAGACAAGTCAGGTAAATTTTCTGAACAAAAACAAAAAAGTAATAATAATCAACCAAATAAAGGTTAAACTATGAAGACTTTCTAGCAACAAACAGTAAATGACTAGAGATCTAGGAATATTTCCTTGCCTACTGAAATGATTAAACATATACCCTTTAACTTATAATGTGAACAATTCCATTTAGCTTATCGATTATCCTTTGAGAATATATTAATATTTCATAGAGTTAGAAGTCAACAGCTTTGGACAGGACTCATGTACCTCTATCAGACAGATATACAAAAAGTACATCTTATTACCTAAAAACCAAACTAATAATGTATAGTGATTATTTTCAGAAAATATCACTCTTAAAATTAGCCTGGCAATAAGTTAACTTCACACAGTTAACAAGTGTAGGCAGGAAATGGTCTTTTGCAACCATATTCTGGTTAATTTCTCCCCAAATCTCCACATAGAGCTATACAGATACAGCTTAAAAACAGTTTAAATTTTATCCCGAGCAAATGATTGATATTTTTAGAACTAATTGATTTTCTTACCTTGACAAACATGACCACACATTTGCCTAGAATTTTACTAACAGGAACTTTATTGTAATAGTCACTCTTAAAAACTTCTTTTTCTAGAAATTTTCGCGTAGCCAGATGGAATGTTTCATTTGGCCGATAAAACCAACAGCCATACAACCATTTTTCACCTCAAAAACAGAGAGAGAATCATCATTAACAGAAACCACACATTCTTGTCAAAATGAGGAAACAGGGGCTGGCTAAGTGGTAGATTGTTTGCCTAGCACGTGTGGGGCACTGAGTTCAATCCTCAGCATCACATAAAATAAATAAATAAATAAAGGTATTGTGCCATCTACAACTAAAAAAAAAAAAAAATCTAAAAAATATATTTTAAGGGCTAGGGATGTAGCTCAGTGGCAGAGTGCTTGTCTAGCACGTGAGGCGCACTGCATTCGATCCTCAGCACCACATAAAAATAAACAAAATTAAGCCATGATGTCCATCTACAACTACAAAAAAAACTGTTTAAAAAAATAAATAAAAATAAAAAATATATTTTTAAAAAATGAGGAAATAATCCATCAAGTCATTATGCCATGGTCTAAACATATAGCACTGGGCTTTTTCAGAAGACAATTTCCTAATTTCTTAATATAATTACCTTATAAGGAATTATACTTTAAAATTGTGAAGTAGAAGGAGGACTAAAAAAAAAAAATGCTACTTTTCCACTTACATTCAAAGACATGCATTATGTAGAAAAAGAAAGGTAATGAGATCTGTTGGGGTCAACACACACTTAAGTTCTGTGGTTTAGTAAGGATATATACAGATATACCAAAGGACATAGCATACAGCTGAAGGAATTAAAAAATATCTCAGGATGGGCAGTTGACAAAACTAGATTGCCTGGATTACATTTTCCCCTGTTTTTGGTTCCATTAACTTTTTTTTTTTTCTTTTTTTGGTACCAGGGATTGAATCTAGGGTGCTTGACCATTGAACCATATCCCCAGCCCTTTTTATTTTGAGAGAGGGTCTCATTAAATTGCATAGGGCCTTGCTAGTTTGTTGAGACTGGCTTTGAACTTGTGATTCTCCTGCCTCAGCCTCTTGAGTTGCACTTGGCTGGTTTAATTAACTTCTCTTCATTCTCCATGTCTCAAAGGCCATTTTTCTAGAAAGACTTATCAATGACAAATTCTAAGTCACAGCACAGTGTCTTTCTATAATAATTTATTTTTCTTATCTCCAGCCCAAACCTTTCTGTTCTGAATCTCTGCCATCCTACATAGAGTTTGGTTCAAAATGTGTTTTTAATAGGTTATCAGTTGAATGAATAAATTTCAACTAAATTTTAAAAAACTTATTTTTCTCATTCAACTATGACACTGATGCTGCCCAACAGTGTTATACTCTGGGTTTATAAGGAGGGTATGTATTCACATTTACTGATATGATTACATTTATTGAGACAAGAGAAAAACTATAATTGGAAGGCATAAAATATCTGAATTAAAATTTCTTTCTTGAGGAGCAAGAAGAAATAAAAGAGCCACATCTTCCCAATGTACCTTTGATTTAAAATAAACTTACCAGCTGAATCTTCCCACAGTCTCTCAATACAGACTATATGTGGTTGTAGGTTGGCTTCTGCAGGTTCCACATAGACATAATCTCCAACATGGTACATGCTGTTCTTAAAGCTGCAGTCCTGGCTGTATGTGCGATGTAAGCCTGACAGGCCAGTAGCACCTGACGAATCTTCACTCTTTTCAGCTTCTTGTGTTAAAAAAAAAAAAAAAAAAAAAAGGTACTTACTAAAAGAATGCTGCAATCAGATGCAGGATTCAAACAACATACAATAATACATTTAAATCTGTTTGTCACATTCAAAGGGAATAGTCAGAAAAAACAGTATGATCTTTACATTTTCAATATTGCCTTATTGGGGGTGTGGGGGGGTGTAGGGGTCCTGCAATGTTGCTCAAGCTTTTTTTTTGTTTTTTTAATTGGTCTCAAGCTGGTCTTAAATTCATGGGCTCCAATGATCCTCCTGCCTTCCAAGTAGCTAGGACTACATGTGTGCACCACCACACACAACCTCAAAATTGCATTTTTGAATTATAATCAACTGCCATTAATTTCAATAAACCCATGAGATTCTATACATTAAAAATAATCACCTTAGTAATATATGCCATAGTCATTTTCAGTAATTCTGAAAGGTATAAGGAAGAAAATAAGTCACTTTTAGATCATGGAATCCTAGAGAAAACATCTGATGTACTTCTACTCTATCCTAATGTTCCTGAAAAAGTTTTTCCTAACAATTACTATATGGTTATGTCACAAATAATGGAGTTTTAGAATTGAGAAAATATGGAATATGTGTATTCTGTAAACCATGTATATGTGTGTGTGTGTGTGTATGGACGTACATATACACAATATATCATTAATATTTTCTGAAATAAAATGCTTTTGTTCAATAAAGACTTTTATTTTTGTTAAATAAAACCTTTTCATAGTTCCAGTATAAGCTATCATTTGCAAATACCACAGAGTTTTTTGTTGTTGTTGTTGGTGGTGAGGATAATGCTTCGCCTACCTAATTGATAACTTCCTTAGGATAATTTTACATAAATAAAAGAACTGGGAATAAGCATTTAAAATGATTTTTAATGCACATTCCAAATTAATCTCCAAAAAGAGTACATCAATTTAAGTTCCTTACTGATTGGCTACAAGGGGCCTCTGTCTCCATTCTCTAATACTGGCATTACAATAAAAAAAAATAGTTTTGCCATTTTTTTTTTAAAGAGAGAGAGAGAGAGAGAGAGAGAGAATTTTTAAATATTTATTTTTCAGTTTTCGGTGGACACAACATCTTTATTTTATTTTATGTGGTGCTGAGGATCAACCCAGTGCCCTGTGCATGCTAGATGAGAGTGTTACCGCTTGAGCCACATTCCCAGCTCCAGTTTTGTCAATTTTGATGAAACGTTATTTACCAGCAGAATAAGCAAATCCCTTGACATACAAAGTAGACCAAAAGGTTCTTGAGAATTTTACACCAGCAAAAACAATATATGGACAGACAGGGGCACAGAGTACAAAAAGTCTGAACAACCCCCAAATTCTAGATACAGGAAACAGGCTGATAAAACTAGTTGCAAGCATTTTTCATGAAAAAGGAGGATTTCAAGGGCTGAGTACTAAGCCAGAGGATGTTCTCAGTCCTAGAAACCCACTGGGATTTGTTTAGATGCATTTAAAAATTCCTTGAAATCAGTAATACTTTTTTCCATCTCCCTGTTTTTGAACAGAAATATCTATACATGTCTCACTGCCTTCAAGAGCAGAGAAACTGGCTCCCTCCCAGAGTTGTATAGGTCTACAGATAGAAAGGAACTGTGTACCATGATGTTTTATATCTACAGCCTCATTTGGGACTTCTGAGCTGAGGATATTTAGATGAGGTTTTGGTACCTCTTAGAAGGGCACTACTAGTAACAAGTACCTAAAAATATGTTAGTGGTTTTGAAATTGTGCAACAAACAGACTGGAAAATTTCTCAGAAGTATGCATGGTGGCTCACAAATTTGAGGCCAGCCCCAGCAAGTTAGTGAGACTGTATCAAAATTAAAACAGTAAAAAATAAAAAAGAGAGATGTAGCTCACTGGAAATGCTGGGGAGCTAGCTCAGTAGAGAATAGCCCTGGGTTCAATCCCAAACAAACAAAACCCAAAAAACAAAACAACAACAAAGAATTCTCTTTTTCGGGGAAGCATGATGACAAAAGTCTAAATTGCCTTGGATAGACTGTTAATAGAAAAATGGCAACTTTTTTTTTTTTTTAATTGCTGGGTATGATAGCACAAGCCTGTAATCTCAGGTACAGTTACTTGGGAAAATGGAGCAGCAGGAGAACAAGTTCCATTCCAGCCTAGGCATCTCTCTAGACCTTGACTCAAAAAGAGCTAAGGATGTAACGCAGTGGTAGAGAGTCCCTGGGTTCAATTTCCAGTACTACACACACACACCAAAAAAAAAAAAAAGAAAGAAAGGAAAAAGAGATGGACAGCATGCTAAGAGCTAAACAGCTAGAAGGGCCAAAGGGGTTCCCTATTTAGTATAAATCCTTTTACTCCTTTTACTCTTCACCCTTACCCTCAGATTTGTCTGGAATCTGAAGTCTTGGGAAGGGCTGAGGTGGGGAACTGAAGGCTCAACTGCTTTTAGACTTTCAACCAGTCCTCCTGTTTTCAGACCCACATGTATTTCCACTTTTAGAAGTACCTAGTGTTCTACTCCCTGTGCAATTCTGAGACAGGAACTGGCCTGTTTGAAGGACTTATCTACTATAGACACTGAAACCAGTATTGCAACTTACACATCAATTTTCCAGCCTCCAAATTTTAATTACCACCATCTCCTTGTCCATTAATTTCTTTTTTAAAGGGATGGAAATACTTGTGTTTGTCTTTTTTATGCTTTTTAAAAATTCCTTTTCCATCCTTTTAGAGGTGTTTTAAGAAGGAAGAGCAGTAGGCATTTGTGAATAATCTGCCGTACTTAACCATAAGTTCTGTTTCTTTTTCTTTGCTTACTTACCCTTGTATGAGACATTCTGGGAGTTAACACAAAACAGGGTAAAATCTTCTAGATTCCCTTGTTTTTTAATCTGGTTGTTGCTAACAATCCTCCTCTCATGGCTTAAAGACAAAGAGGGCTGATATACATGACCATTATTCAACTTTCTGGTGTGCTGCATCTTCTAATGTTCATAAAGTAACCACAGATAATCTGAAGCAGACTGTAGTTCTTTTATGGCAAGAAATAAGTTGTTAAAATAGCTCTCAGAGTATACTGCTTTTATAGCCTTTCCTAGTCAGTTCTTCTTACTATTGACTCTGCATACTGTTTCTTACCTACTTCTACCACCCAATCACACTGCTGGGAAATATAGTCTTTGAGTTAGTACAAGAAAAAAGGTAAAGTGGCCACACTTCGAGAAATGTCTTAGAGTAACTCCAGAAGAAGCTGTTTCTGATTTTATATTGCTGGGAAAAGAGTCAGCTAAACTTAAAAACACACAAAAAAATTCCAAGTATTCAAAACTTGGCAGGTAGAAATAACTCAGATCGTCCAAATATCTTCCCAGCATTAGCACTGGCATTTCCTGTTTTCTCTTTATGGCTTTCTGCTGTTTTTTATTATTTCTTCTCCTCCTACCTACATTGTGGCATGCTTGTGTCTCTTTTAATAATTTTATATCTTTCTTCCTTTCTAATATAAGTATTTAAAGCTATAAAGTTCCTTCTAAGAAAAGTGTTAGCTTTATTCCATAAATTTTAAAACATTGTTTTCATTTCAAGATTGTTCTGACTGCACCTGTAATGTCTTCTTTAATCATGGGTTATTTACAATTTCTAAGCACTGCCTCCCCATTTCTTTCTGTTGCTAAATTACAATCTAATTCCATTGCATTTGGAGAACAAACTTGGTATGATTTCAATCTTTTGGTTTTAAAACTTGTTTTATGACCTAGTATATGGCCTATTCTAGATAATATTCCACATGTAATTGAAAAGAATATGTATTCTATAGTAATTTGGTGTAGTGTTTGACAGGTCAAGGTGGTTCACACTGCTATTCGAGTCTTCCATATGTTTACTGATTTTTGACCTAGTAGTTCTATCAATCACTATATTCTTGTTAAATTCTGTTTCTTCTTTCAATTCTGATACTTTTTTCTTCATGTATTTTGGAGCTCCATTGTTAGGTGTATATACATTTAAGAATATTCTGTTCCTAATATGTTAAGCCCCATCCCTCCCTTTTTTGGTGGTACTGGGGATTGAAGACAGGGACACTCTACCACTGAGCTATGGCCCCAGCCCTTTTTATTTCTGAGACAGGCTAAGTTGCTGAGGCTGGCCTCCAACCTGGCAATCCTTCTGTCTCAGCCTCATGAGTAGCTGGAATTACAGGAGGGAAACACTATGCTTGACATATACGTTGACTCTTTTATATGTATTAAATATCCTTCTTTGTCTTTAGTATTATTTCTTTTCTTAAAATCTACTTTTTCCGCTAACAGCTATTCCAACTCTGGTTACAGTCTGCATTTTTCTCTCCTTTTCAACTTATTTGTGTTTCTGAATATAAGGGAATCTCTTGCAAAAAGTATATAGTTGAATCTTACATTTTAAATTCCGTTTGATTGGAAAGCTTAGTTTATTTACATTTAATGGAATTACTGCTGCTACTATGTTTGTCATTTTGCTTTGTTATCTGTGAGTCTTATGTTTTTTTTGTTCTTCTTTTCCTCCTTTTATTACCTTGTTTTATAACTGTTAAGATTTTTTTTTTTTGCAATTCATTTTAATTCCTATAGTTGGTTTCATGGATATTGAGGCATTTCCATATGCCTAAATGTAGCACCATCTCCTTAATTTTATAAACACTGAATTTTCAAATTATATGGCTTAATTATATTTTTTCTTTTGGCACCTGAGATTGAACCCAGGGGCACTTAACCACTGAGTCACATCCCCAGACCTTTTCATTTTTTTTTTACTTTGAGACAGGGCCTCACTAAGTTGCTGAGGCTAGTTTTGAACTTGCAATCCTCCTGCCTCAGCCTCTAGAGTTGCTGGAATTGCAGTCTTGCACCAGTGTGTGCAGCTTATGACTTAATTTCATTAAATGTTACAACTTTGCTCCAACATAGTTACATTTCTCTTCCTTTGTGCCTTTTATTTATTTTTGGGTGAGGCTGGGGAGGGAAGCCAGGACATTCCACATACAAAGTAAGTGTTCTACCACTGATCTATATCCCCAGCCCCCTTCCTTTGTGCTTCCTGTCATACATATGACTTCTATAAATGTTATAATAATAACCTTATAGTGTTGTAATTACTGCTTTAGACAATCCAATGTTTTAGACAGAAATTTTAAAAAATGATACACAGAGTCTTTTACATTTATCCTCATATTTTCCATTTCCATTGCTCTTCAGTTTTTGCGGTTTTGAGTTATCATCTGGTATCACTTTTCTGGGATTGAAGCTCTTTTTTTATGTCTCATAGTATAGGTCTGCCAGCAGCAAAGTCTCTTAGTTTTTATTTATCTGGGAACATCTTTATTGCAACTTCATTTTCAAAAAATATACAAATCTTGATTTAGTTTTATCTTTCTTCTCTGTATTTTTTGAATATCATACCATCGCCTTCTGGCCTCCATTATTTTATATGAGAAGGCAGCCATTAATCAGATTATTCTTTTCTTGTATGTAATGAGTCATTTTGTTGCTTTCAAGATTTTCTCCCAGCAGTTTGACTATGATGTTCTAAATGTCGTTCTTTTTGTGTTTAGTTTACTTGGGGTCTTTGGAGCTTGTGAACTTGTGATGTTCTTCATCAAAAAACATCATTATGTCTTCAAATATTTCTTCTTCCCCCTTTTTTCTCTTCTTTCCTCTGAGATTACTATTTAGGCATACCAAGGGACTTGACACTAGGGGTTGCTGCTATGTCTCGATAGTTAGGGGTCAGCTAATGATTTAGATGAAGGCTGTGCTCAAATACTTCAAACCCATAAGGTTTTACCCTTTGCTGATTATGGGGCAGGGGTGGGGGTATGCATCTAAAGTTGCAGTGATTTTCAAGCATCCCATGGATTTTGCTCTTAACCAACCAGGTTCTTGCATCTCCCTCACACATACATAGTTTTTTAGTTAGTCACAAATGTGTGACAGCTTATCTCAGCTCTTCTGTGGGTTTCAAACTTCTAGGACATTCCTTAATATGGATCATAACCTCAGGCAGCAAAGCTGCAAAGACTCCTTTCATTTCTGTATCATCCATTTTTAGCTGGCAAAGATAAAGATTCTACCTCTACCCTCATTTTATCATCCTGAGTGAGTATATCCTTCTGGAAGCAAAACTGCCCTAAACTAGCAAAATTACTATTCTCAACAATCAGGTTCTTTTCTTTTCTGGATATGCCATCGCTTACTAGAGTTTGCTTCAAATCAATTCGTTTTGTTTTCTTGCCTAAGGGGTGGGGGGTATCTAAGGAGGAGGAGTAATGCTGATAGCTAACTAAACGTTTAGAAAATCTAAATATCTATATGAATGGAAATATTAAAAATGACGAAATTTCTAATCAAACGGCCGAGGCAGGAGAATTACAAGTTTGATGCCAGCTCTGGCAACTTAATAAGTTTGATGCCAGCTCTAGCAACTTAATGAGACCCTGCCTCAAAATAAAAAACAAAAAGGGATGGAGGTGTAGGTGGGGTGTCCCTGGGTGGTTCAATTCTCAGTACCAGAAAAAAAATTATAATTAAAAACTCCTCATTATCAAAATATTTGTTAATTCTGGCAACCAACTCAAAGTAACATTTTAGGTTGATATAATTATAATTAAAATAAAACTTTCAACAAAAATACCATCTAGCTGTCTGGCCCAAAGGACTTACCAGGAAAGCCACACTACTGAATGATGTTGAGAATGCATTTGAGTTCCAGCCATACCCCTTGGGTTTTATCTTCCAGTAGTATGAAGAGACATTAGGCTCTCACACTTGTAAACCAACTGCTCCTGGATACACAGGTAACTTTCAATCTGATTAATCTGAATACCCAAACTGATAAAAACATTTTCATCTCATGCTTAATGTGAAATAGTCAATACTAATTCACACAGACAGGACTCTTCTCAACAGCTAATTATGAGGACAGCTAAAATAGAGTATAATATTTCTTCATATTTAATATAACGAAAAGAAACCAACCTCTTTTTTCTTCTTCTCGTTTTAGTTTATCTTCCTCTATTTCTTTTGGTAATTTTTCCTTTTTTTCTTTCTCCACATCATTATGCAAATGCTTTGTGGTATAGCTGAGTGCTGGAGAAAGAAGGATCTCTCCATTTTTGCAGAGTTCATCACGAATTCTAATAAAAAACTGCTGAAGTTCTACTGCATCCTCATATATTTCGGAATCTGTCCTATAACGGCATCAAGAGCATTCATTAACATATAAGCTGTTTCTTTCAAACACCTCACTTGAATGTGAGAGTCTACTAAATGCTTCCTTACTTTGTTCACTATTATAATGGTATATTCTTGAGGTTTGTTAGAACAGAATCTAAGGTGTCACTTTACGGGAAGCCTCATGCTGTTCCCTGTTCAGCTTACATAAAAAGAAAGGCCTCAGCATTTTTCCTTGAAGATACATGGCATATGCATCAATCAGTTGTAGTAGAAGATAGCTGCAAGGATTATACCAAGGCTCCAGACCAAGTCTAACACTTATATTTAATCTCTGAAACATATATTTAATCTCTGGATTAGCTTTTTCATTCCCTTAATTGCGAATAACGTATTATAGAAAGTATTAACAAAAGATTTAGGTTATGTGTCTACTTCTTTTTGGTCCTCCATCTTGGCTGCCTAGGCTAGTAGGGTTTGGTATATAAGTGAACCTAAACTGAAAAGCCATGAGGGCATTCTTTAACAGTTATAGGCCTGAGAGTTAGTGTAATTTTAGTTTCTCGGAAACAGTAATTCTGGGGATTCAGGAAAGGCAACATAGTGAAAGATGAAAAAAAAAATCTGTCATATGCAGAATTTTTCTAAGCATCTTTCCTCATTTATAAAGTAAATGGAATGGGCAAAACAAATTTTAGAATTTAGACTAGAAGAAATTATATTATTATCTCTAATTCACTGGGCTCTGAGGAAGGCAGTTACTGTGCCTACTAAGAACATCAAGGACTGAAAAATTATTCACCAAACTAATCATAGATGAATGTCTCGTCAGCAGTCACAGAGATATTCTGGTTGGGGGTGTATGAGAGGTGAAGTAAACATAGTCACCCATCTGCTGACATATGCCACTAGACTATGAGACTCCATTGAGGTTTCCTGATGCCTCACCCCAACAGCAAAGGGAGTAGTAAACAATTAAAAACATAGTCAAGCTGGGAAAGTATATTTCTGGATAGGTTTTTAGATGATGATATAGAAATGCTAATACCTGTAGAAAAGAAATAAAAACAAAACTTACCAAAGGAAGAAAACCCTAACATGCTATTTTGACATCACACCTGTTTTTTTGACTAGATATATATGTGAAGCTTGTTTTTCTGAAATTAAATTCACTTTATAATAGTTTACGATTTTAAGCGTAAAATTATAAGAGGCCAAGTGTTCAGTAAATGTGCAAGAACAAAAAACTCAAGATGAAAAAAGAACTCTAATTGTCCTCAACGATAAATAATCTTTTAACATAAGGCAGATATTCAGCAAAATGAAAGAATTAAGTGTGTAAGAGGCTTGTGATGTTTCCCTGGGTTCTTCTTATACCTGTAAGGAACTCAGAGCACTTAATCCAGGAATACTGCCAGCAGATTAGAAAAGCCAGGGTCAACTAGCATGAGACAGCACTATGGTATTACTGAATGTGCTAATAGACAAACCACTGTCAAGTCACCTGAGTGAACTTTTCTGTTCTGTCACACCATTCAGATTCTACTACAAATAGACTTCATTGAATTAATGAATGCCTACATTATCTGGGATGCCCATCTTTGTTACTAGCTGACACATTTCCACCGATCTTTTTCTTTTTTTGCAACGAGTCTCACTGTGTTGCCTAGGTGGGGCTCAAACTAGCCATCCTGCCTCCTCAGCCCTGCCCCAGTAGCTGGTATTCCAGGTGTGCCATGGCACCTGACTCTATCAATTCTCATTAGGTTATTCTTAATTTTTATTAAGTACTATAAGCAGTCACAATATTATCTTCATTCACAAATATAAAAATGGCATCCCTTAGGTTTTTCCACAAGCTTTGGGTATGACAGAAACTGTATTACCATCTCATATAAATAAGAACCAGGTGTGGTGCTGCATGCCTTTGATCCCAGTTACTCAGAAGACTGAGGTAGGGGGATGGGCAAGTTTGAGGCCAGGCTGGGCAACTTATCAAAACTCTATCTCAAAATAAAAAATAAAAAGGGCTGGGGATGCAGCTCAGAAGATAAGTGCCCCTGGATTCAATCCTCAAGGGGGCAGGAAGTAGGGGATGCACCTTGGGATCTATCTTCTAGTCCTTAAAAACAAAAGCTAATCATGTCAACAACTAGAGAAAGAAAAGAGCTCAATTCCTAGAGATAGAAGTCCACTTAATTCTTAAAACAAACATGTCATCTATACAATTTAAACAGAATTCCTAATAATTTAGGAGAAAAATGCTCTTTAGAAGACTCACAGAACTACTCCCATGATATAAATGAGTTTAGGGAAAAAGGGATGGAGCAGAGTGGTTTTAGACTTAATGACTCCTTAAAATAAACCGAGAGCAGAAATGGAAGTCTATATTCCATGAAAGCAGGGTTTATCTGTTTGGTCCACTAATATACCCAAAACATTTAAACATGTTTATTAACTGGTAATTACTCAACAAAAATTTGTTGAGTTAAAAACGACTTCAGATTTTAAATGTGAATGTCCCCCTTTCATGTCTCTCCCTATTGTCAAAAGAATGAGGACCACTCCTAAACACATCACTCAAGGGCCCCTCCAATCTAGTCCTAACTCCTGTCTCTCAAATGTAACATATTCATTTCCTAACCCTTCTTTACCTTTGTTCAAACCACTCACTGTATCTGAAAATCCACTTCTCTTTTCACTTGAATTCCAGCCATCTTTACACTCCCAGATGCCTTATTCCTTCTTTGGAGAACTTTAGCCCACAGTTCCTTATCCCATCATCTTTTCTAAATCAGTTGTTATATGCTGTCTCAGTCTGGATATTTTTTCCTTAAGCAAAAGTCGTGTCTCATCCATCAGACTTCAAGGTTTTAGAACACAGAGCTCAAGGCTTATCATCCATGGCTCACTCCACTGACTATTCATGACTGGTAACCATCACTAGCAGCCCTCTGCAGTGAGAAACAAGATAAGCCACACCACCTACTAGTGTACAACTCTGGGCAATTTTTCTGCCCATGCCTCTAAATCTTCACATGTGAACTAGGAAGATGATCCCTTACCTAGAAAGACTACTAGAAATTAGAGTTAGAGATTATCCACAGGGAATGCTTTATATGGTGTTTCCCAAAGAGTAGGTGCTCAACAGGAAGAGTGAACGTTACTTTTTTTCTTTTTTAAAGTTCAGAGCAAATGCTGGCTTCACAAATTTCCCAGTTGTAAAGACACTGACTGCTAAAAGCTCTAGCTAAAGGTCTGTAAACTCCAAGAAGACAGAGTTTATATCTTTAACATTTTATATTCTCCCAAGTGCTTTAAAGACTACAGGGAAGATACACTAATTACTGATTGAATTGAACAGCTGCTGGAACAGAAAAAACACAGACTAAAATTGGAATGAAATTTAAAATTGACTGTTTTTCTTACGAGCATTTAATGTCTATAGCAGGCTCTCTAAGAAATCTTGAAGATTAGTTTTTTAAAAAAGCCATTTTTTGGGGTACTTAAATGGTAACCAAATTTATATATGTTTAACCTCAAAACAATAATTTGGTGCTGTTTAATTCTTTGTTAAAAGAAAAATCCTATTACTATTTCTAATTCTTATTTCAACTCCTAAGCACTTGTCCTTTAAGAAATGTGTTCTGTGAAAGGCCATATGCTTTTCACAAGATCTTCAATTCTGTCTTCTATCCTCTCATTGACTCTCTAATCTAGATAACTCAGTAGGGTATCCTCTCCTCCTCAAAGAATATACTTACTCTTTTGAAGTTTTGGCTTACTTAGAATTCAGAATAGCATGCTATTAACTATAACCATGTATCTAAGCTGAAATAGTACAGTATTCCTTTATCTGTCTTGCATTAAATACCACACATCTTCAAAAGAAATGGCTTTGAAAACATACCGATTCATCCTTCTTGCCCTTTCCAATACTTCAAACATATGCTCTTGAAATAAATCAAGCCGCCGGTAGCGATTATTTTCAACATTCTTCCTAATAATGTCAAAAGTAAGGGGAGGTTTGTTAGGAAAAGTGGGATCCACACCAGGAATTTCTGCTAAGGAATCACTGTAGCATCGTCCCTCATCATCCTGATGACTCATGACCGACACAAAAAGATTATGGATAAGCTCTTGAATCAGCAAGGTCACATTTGGGACATGAGAATCCTCATCTCCCTCCAGGTCTCTCCGAGTTTCAAGCAGGACTTTATGTAGGACAAGGGCATCTTTATAGATCAAAGACTCAGGCTCATTGTATGTACAGGCATTATTAAACATCATGACGAAGTCCTCAACCATAGAGTCTATATCTTGGTACTTGTTGGCCATCATATGACTTCGAATTTTTTCCATGTCCATGGGCTTTTTAATGGTCAGATAGTAGTCAGGCAACTCAGATCTGGAAGGAAGCCTCAGAAATATGGCACTGAGGCGGCGACCTCTTTTATCAGTATAGTTCTTTACAGCTTCATAGACTTCATTTAGTTTCTGCTGCATTGGAGTCATGTATTTTGATTTTTTAGGAGAAACACCACTCTTTCTACCTGAAGAGAGATAATATAAATACATAAAATAAAAATAAATGCATATTTGTATGGAGTTGTTAGTATAACCCTAAGAAAGAAACTATTCCAAATTACTTATAAAACAACAACAAAAAACCTTGAAGAAAATCTTATCTATATTCAGTAATCATATTTTTAAAAAAATGTTTTATATATATGTATATATTTTGGTTGTAGGTAGACATAATAATACCTTATTTTATTTATTTATATGTGGTGCTGAGGATCGAACCCAGGGCCTCACACATGCTAGGCAAGCGCTCTACTGCTGAGCCACAACCCCAGTCCAATAATCATATTTTTGATGAGAAAATAAAACTGTTGTGTTGAGGTAACTGGGTAAGGTGGAATGAGGCAAATAAGTAGCTATTTAATCTAACTGTGACTTCATCACCTCTAGAATCCCTGAGAACTGAGATTTTCATCATAGGAAAAAGAGATAGATGTTAAAATAGGGAACACATTGATAAAAACTTTATAGCCTGAATCTCAACTGAAAATATCAATTGAGTTTATAATATATTTTATCTTTAAATATCCAAACACTGAAAATCCTACAAACAATAACCAACTTAGTAGCACTAATCTCAAACTATAGTTTTAAAATGCTAATATCAAAATAGCCCTGACCTTTAAGTAGAAACACAGAAAAGATTAGAATTTGAAAAATGGCTGATTCTCAGTCTGGAACATCTTCAAATCACAGAAGTAAAGAATTTATCAATAACTTCTAGCCATGGTCATGTTAAAAGAACACAGGCACCACCCTGATAGAAGCTAAGCATAAATAAGGGCAATTACAATGGGTTAAAACTCAACATTGTTTTAACCTAGTAATTCTTAATGATACACACAAACAAAAAACTGGTAAATATTGGAGGATGTTTATAAACTAATGTATTATTTTGAAAACTTGTTTAAAAAAATCAAGCTTTTACCATTTCAAAAACAAACAAAAATCTGTATCAATGGATAGCCAAATACTAGATAAAGCAAGTTTCTCTATGCAAAAGTAGTCCACCTATTAAATGAGCAAGGAAGGATAAAATTAAGCTGAGTATGGTGGTGTACATCTGTAATCCCAGTGACTCAGGATGCTGAGGCAGGAGGATCACAATTCCAGGCCAGTCTCTGCAACTCAGAGGGACCCTGAATCAGGAAGGGATAGGGATGTAGTTCAGTAGTACAGTGCTCCTGGTTTTAATCCCTAGTACCACAAAAACAGAAAAGAAAGTTAAAACTGTCAATATTTTATACCTCTTTAATGAGTTAAAGAAGCAAGCATCAAGATTTGTTAATAGAAAGACTCAACCAGATATCATGTGCCACCTGACACATATCACCTATGAAGTTGGTTTTTGTATCAAAGGGAGAGGACAGGAGAGCCTGAATATGTTCAAGCTCTAATGACTAAAGTATAGAAAATAGAAAGTGATGCAACTAACAAAATACAGACTGTGAGAAACTATAATACAAATCCCATTTCTTTGACAGATAAAAAGGAAAGGTGAAAGTTTATAGATAAAAAGAAATATTAGTCAAATGCAATGTGGGCCTTATTTGGTTTCTACTTCAAATAGACATGATGCAAAAGTAAATGTGGAAAGCCTTTTATAAAGTGTTCTTGTCAAGCTGTAACTAAATAGAATCAGGGCTTTAAAGTTAACCTTTGTTTATAACAAATAGAGGGGGGATAAAGGAAAATGTTAAATGATATCACAGAAACAAAATGATGTGGGACACTGTACAAGGCGACCTGGTTTCTTCAGTGCATGAGAAAAGAAAAGAGGAGACTGTTCTAAACTATGAGGTTAAGGGCATAGCAATCAAACATAGGGGGCTTAGGCAGAATCTTGGTGGTAGAGCACTTGCCTAGCATGTGTGAGGCCCTGGTTTCAAATCCCAGCATTGCAAAACAAAACAAAAACCCCTGAATGATCAAATCTAACACAGTTAACTGAATTAGATGATGATTTGAGGAAACCAACTGTAAAAATACATTTGAGACAATCAGTAAAACTTAAAAATTTGTGAAGTATTAAGTGAAACCAAGAAACTATTGCTAATTTTGTTCGGTGTGATAAAGTCTTCATGATTAAGAAAACTGTCTGCATGTTTTAGAGATATGCTGAAGCGTACAGAAGTAAAAACAACACCTGGTTTGATTTGCTTGAAAATAATTCAGGAAAAAAAGACATAAGGGATTGGGGAAATAAGTGTGGTACAATCTTGTTAAATGATGAGTAACAGGTATATATACAAGGGTTCATTATGCTAGTCTTTACATTTGTGTATGTTTAAAATTTTCACAACGGAAAAAGAATTAACACTCTACATTAAAATTCCCTTTCCCTTTGATATGCATACGTCTTTTTTTATATTTAGACATATTAAACTATTATAAATCAGGGGCTGGGGTTGTGGCTCAGTAGTAGAGCACTTGCCTAGCACGTGTGAGGCCCTGGGTTCGATTCTCAGTACCGCATATAAATAAAACAAAGGTCTGTTGACAACTAAAATAATATATATACAAAAAAGATCATTAATCAGCCTTCCAACTCAATTTATGAAATCAATTCTAGTTTTTTTGTTTTTATTTTTGTGGTTCTGGGTATCAAACCCAGGGTCCTATACAGGTCAGGCAAATGTACTACCACTGAGCTACATTTTCAGCCAAATTCTAGTTTTAAAACATATTTTGGTCCTACGAAGTAAAATAAGTTTTAAATTTCTGCACATTTTCTGTATGCTTTTACAATTCCAAGAAAAGATGAATGCCTTAACAAAAGAAATCACTGCCCAGCATGGTGGTGCACGCCTATAATTCCAGAGGCCTGGGAGGCAGAGACAGGAGGATTGCCAGCCTCAGCAACTTAGTGAGACCCTGTCTCAAAAAATAAAAAGGGATGGAGATGTAGATTCATGATAAATTGCCCATGGGTTAAATCCCCAGTACCAAAAATAAAAAAATTTAAAAAAGAACCATCACTTAGCAGTAAATAATTCCCAAAGCAATTGTGAAATTCAGTTTGTAGTCATTTCACATAAAAAAAAGAAAAAAAAAAAAAAAAAAAAACAGATTCTTGCTTTCTTCTTTTTCAGTAAACATGGCTCTAAAGAATATCTGATAACATCACTATTATTTGTTTGGTATTTTATTTATTATTTTTAAGTAAGGCAAAAATCTTTTTAATGGCATTAATTACTTTTGCTGTCTCTTCTTTTCCCTTACAACTTTCAAATAAAACCACCAGGCATAGAGTGCAGTTAACTGAGAGCTGAGTAGTACATCTCTAATTTCAATTTCTGTCCAGTAGGAACTGCTGGAATTCATTGCTAATTCTAGGAATCACAAACAAACAAAAAACCTGCCACCATATTCTTCCAGGCATTAGAAACAGAAAAAAATATTTATCTTTACTTAAAACATGGTAAAATAAGACTACTTGAGAAGAGGGAAGAAACTTCATGCTGGAGTGCCACTGAGTTAAAATATATTCACCATTTAATTAAATATTATTTCAGAAAACCATCAATTTCCTGTTGAAAGGCTACACTAAATAACAAAGAGTGAGGATGCCTTACTCAGTTTGAGTTTGGGAGATGTGATGTCATCATCATCAGGCAGCGGCCCCAGCTCTTTCCTTTTATCCTTGAGTAACTTCTCCAGGATATGGGCATCATTGTATACCTAGGGTTCAAAAATATATTTATTTTCTAAAAAAAGTTTTATCAAGGTATAATATACAGCTGTAAGGAAATTTTAAAAATATGGTTTAGGACAGGTGGGAGTTAAGGGCCTACACAATAATTTGTATGTTTTTAAGCTTCCTAAGTGATTGTAATGTGTAGACACACATGCTAATGATTGAGAGCCACTGTAGTAGAAACCCTGCAGTGTTTTACAGAAGTTCCAAACACATTTACATGTATGTTTTCTTCAAAAATCTCTTTTCTACTAGATTTTCAAGGTAATGGACTTAGTCCAATGGAAACTAAAGATTAAAAATATTTCATGGGATCTGGGTATGGTGGCACACACTTGTAATCCCAGTTACTTGGGAGGCTGAGGCAGAAGGATCCCAATTTCAAGGCCAGCCTTGGCAATTTATCGAGACCCTGTCTCACAATAAAATAAAAAGGATTGGGAATGTAGCTCAGTTGTATAGAACTCCTGGGTTCAATCCCCAACAGTGCATAACAAAATTTTTAAAAAAAATTAAAAGAACCTGATGTTTGGAGAAAAGTGTCTAAACTATTGTTAAATCCCAAATCTGAATTCAACATCCGGAATCTAATATTTAAAAAAACAAACAAACTTCTGCTTAGAGATTTCTCTTTAAAGACTGAGCTAAGGTTTGTAATATGTACTGAAGAACAACAAGGGTATTTACCTAATGGCCTTGCCCCATAGCTGCCGCCTTCTTTCTCAGGAGAGGCTATGTCCTCCCTTAACTACCCACCAGAGCAGAGCAGCTGAGCAATTAAGTAACCTCTCTTCTTTGGCTACCTCACTAAGGGATAGCTTTTATTCCCATCAGTGATACATGGTATAACAGTCAGTGATATAGTATAAACCCCTACTATAGAAGGAACTACTTCTTTCATCTATCAGTATCCCCAGCACATATTTTATTTTATATTCAAATGTAACAGAAGAAGGAAAAAAATGGTTTGAAAATATTATTTTGTTTCTGGGAGATTTAAAGTGTATAAAAGACATGAAACAGAAAAAATACCAGAGAGGGAAGATTGTGCCTTACCTATACTGATAAAGAACTGAAAATCATGGGCTGCGGATATAGCTTGGTGGTAGAGCACATGCCTAGGTAGCATGCACAGAGACCAGCAACAAAACAAAACACCAAGATGTTTTGTATCCAAATCAATTATTTAGAGGCGCTTTTATGGAAGCATCACACTGACTCTCACATAACTGTGTAATTCCATGGGGTGTCTTTACAGAAGTATGGCTGTTGAGGATAGTAATAATAATGATGCACCTAGGGATGCAGTTTGGTAGTGGAGCATGTGCTCAAGGCCCTGGGTTCAATCTCTAGCACCCCCCACACCCCCCAAAAAATGATGAAAAATTATTCAGATTCAAGCAGTCTTCTAAATGCTCAATATACATTATCTCTTATAAATCCTATAATAACCCTGGTGCAAGTATTATGATCATTCCAAAATTACAGATAAGAAATCGGAGGCCCAGGAGGATAAGTTTCTCACACAGGGACTGGCAAAGCAGGATTCAAATCTAGGATGCCAGCTTACAAAGTATGAAGTTTTAATCTTTGTATTGTACTGTCTCTCATTTTAAACAATTATGAGAAGACAAAGTATTTATTTAGCCACTAAGAATAAACTAGGTTAAGCCTAGAGCTGGTCTCTCAAAATGCATTATTCTACCAGCACCCAAAAGAAAATGTGTCTACTTCAGAACCCCACCTGTTCTCACCTGGGAGCCCTCTTCATTGTAGTGCCTCGCATTCCTGAACATCAGCTTCATGTCTTCTATCATTCCCTCTTCACCTGCATATTTGTCATTGCGGATATTATGCTCAATTATTTTCAAATCCATTGGCTCTAAGATGATTTTATAATAATCAGGATAGTCCTTCTTGGACGGTTTAACCATAAATAGATCACAAAGTCTTCTGCCTGAACCTGGCTCTCGAGCTTCAAGAACAACATTGAATAAGATTTTCATTCGCTGTTTTCTTATGTTCTTTTTACTGTTGAGTGGGGAGGTAGAAGAAGGGAAAAATGACAACAGGTTCAGTTTTCTTTATACAAGAGATGAACATGAAATAAAACAAATTAATCTTGTGGGCAGGTGCTTTTTAATGATTACAATTTATTTATTACATATGCCACAAACACAGTAAACATGCTGGAAGCTATAAGCAAATAGAGGAAAAATTTCCAAAACAGTTAAAACATAGTAACCCTGGCTGGATCAACCAATGAACACCAGACAAATCTGTTTAGAATATCTCATGAAATGCAATGTTTGAAAAACAAACAAACAAACTTGACTAACACCAAAATAAATATAATTCTAAAATCAATCAAAATACATTTTAAAAACAAAACAGAGCCGAAGTGAAATAAAGCTAGTTATTTCCTATTATTATTAACAGCTTCACTTCCAAGCACAATAAACAAAAACAAAACAAAAAACTAATAAAGAGAAGTGTTCTTTCTTTCAGGATAACCACTCTGAACAATAGTATATTCTGGTTGCCAGAAAAAAAGAAGACTGTCTGCCTGGTTAGTATCTATAGTGGGTTCAAGGCTTTCTTAGATTGATCATGCCAGGGTCAGTCTCCTCTCTTTCTCTGATCAGCACTGCTGTACAATCCCAGCTTAGCTTAAGAAAGAAAGTCTAGACACTGGTTCATCTAAACCCTCTATAGAGTAAATTTTCATCTTTGAGCATGAATTCCCATTTGGTTCTCCAAATTCCCTAAGTGAAGTACAATACTGAGAAATTGATATATGGAACACAAGGGCCCCAGATTCAAAAGGGGTCCAGGATGGCAAATGGTCTCATGTCCTATGGAAAACTGGCTCAGAGAGGCTAAATGACTTGTGCAAGGTGAGGGGCTCAGTAAATTATTAGAAGAGATGATCTTTCACTATCACTTTTGCTCAACGTTCTTGTCTTCAGGACAGTGGTAAAGAACTTCTAGCCAGACTCTAACCAGTAGTTTCCAAGAGAACAGTTGGATAGGTAAAAGCAAGAAATGACTTCTGACTTAGTTCCTATTCAGCAAACACTCCTAAGCTCCTATAACATAGCACTTAGATGTAACAATGTTTTATCTGTTTCCTATCCTGCAAGGGAAAAATAGTTCATTCCTGAAACAAACTATATGGCTGCATGGGCCTCTTAGTCCAGCCCTATAACTTTGTTTTTAATTTGCTTGTTAATGAACAAGCCAAAGATATTTTCTCTCCAAGATATGTTTTTCAAACACAGAAACAGAATTCGAATAAAGAACAAAAGTTAAGAAAATAGATATCCTAAATCAGCCTATTTTCTTAGTATCATGGAGCTTAAGGCAAATAGAAAGTGATCTAAAAAAAGAAAAGAGCCTGTTTCCTAGGGTTGGGATCATTCTCATCACTTGCTTAATCTTTTATATATATATATATATATATATATATATATATATATATATATACCTTTATTTTTATGTGCTGAGGATTGAACCCAACACCCGGCACATGCTAGACATGCACTCTACCGCTGAGCCACTATCTCAGCCCACAACTTGCTTAATCTTAACTCTGATAGTCAGCTTTCCTTTGTGGACCTGGGATCATTCCTGCCAATGTGTCCCACCCCCCATTCTTTTTTCTCTGTGTACAGTGAGTATTTATTAGATAATCTAGAAGATTTTTCATCTGGTGGGTATTATTTCTCCAAAGAGACATCCTGGAGTGATGATATGAGAGGAAGAATTCTCTAATTCTAGGTCTTTGGCATGTGGATATTGGGACAGAATTGGAACAAAGCTTCAATAGGGCACAGTTCCACATCTGGGCACAGATTACAATGCAGATGACTTTAACCTTCAGGAAGTCTTTGAAGAAAAATCTCAGAACTTGAGTTTGATATCACAGAAATTCATATCTAAACCATTCAGATCAGATATGGTTTATTTAGGTTTCACATGTGTGGGTTAATTTTTTGGTACTAGTTATGGAACCCAGAGGCGCTTTACCACTGAGTTCCAGCCCTTTTTATTTTTATTTTTAGTTTGAGACAGGGTTTCACTAAATTGCTGGGGTTGGCTTTGAACTTGCGATCCTTCTACTTCAGTCTCCCAAGCTGCTGGGATTACAGGCATGTGCCCCCATGCTTGGCTGTATGGGCTAATTTTAAAAGGAAGACACAAAGGGCTTTGGGCTAAGGCTCAGTGGTAGAGCCCTTGCCTAGCATATTGCAAGACCTGAGTATGATCCCTAGCATCAAAAAACCAAAACTAAAACCAAAACCAAACCAAACCAAACCAAAGACACAAGAACTCAATTTGAAGCCATGAGCTTAAAAAAATCTCAATTGACCCAGAATGAAAACAGTCCTCATTACCAGAATTCTAGGCAGCCTAACAGTCAAGGCCCTGACCCTTATCTAGGAGGAAATCAGCCCTACTGCCTCAGCACATCACTCCCAATAAACCATTAGAATTTTTCTGTATGAAGCTACAAATACTCTGGTGTGGGACTGAATCTAGGGCAGATTTTTAAAGAGAAGGAAAGTTTTTACTTGAAATTTGCCAGCAAAGTAAAAGAAGGGCAAGTCCATTTTTCCAATGCCAGTAACTCTTGACACCACCAGACAGTTCTGAATGAAATATACCCAGGATGTAAAATCTAGTTGTATATGAGAAATTTTTCTGATAACTATAATTTATTATTTTAGTAGTCATAGTACAAACAGTATCCTTTCTCCATTTGTATCATTTACTCTAGAGAGTGATATCTAATTGTTTCCATCCTCAAAGGCAAACAAAACTTCTGTATTACTAGGGTCTTTATAATCTTCTTTGAACAAATTCAGGTTTTTATTTTCTTTACCTTTTCCCAGATCCTTATATCGAGACTGAGAACCATGGTCCACTAATTTTAATTTGGCTGCCAGAAAAAACTAAGAGATAAACTTCATACTGTTTATAACAGTTGTATTAGCCTGGCCGGCTGATATGTTTGTTTATCTCTTTCTAATAAGGACACTGAAACTTATCATATCCATGAATTCTGAAATCTTCAAATACTTTTTTTTTTTTTTTAATTAACCAGAGATTGAATCCAGGGGCACTTAACCACTGAGCAACATCCCCAGCACACGCGCGCGCACACACACACACAGACACACACACACTGCCCTCACTTTTCAATTTTGCAACAGGGTCTTGCTAAGCTGTGTAGGGCGTCACTAAATTGCTGGACCTAGCTTTGAACTTGTGATCCTCTTGCCTAAGCCTCCTTACAGGTGTGCACCATTGCATTGGCTCTTACTTTTTGAATAAGAAAAACTCTACATTATAAAAAGCTATCATAGTCCACTATTTGATACTTTCTAGCTACTGTTTTCAATGTCACTTGGCTTTTCAGATTCTTCTTAGAACCCCTTTACACATCCTACTTCACTGCCTTCAATTCCTTAACTATGACTGCTTCTCCATTTTGGGAAAAGTACATAAAACTAAATGCCACACCCTGTAACTTGCACAATCATTTTTAAAAAAAATATATATCAGCATCTTTGAACATAGAAAGTAAAAATTTATCTCAAGGGAATCCAAAACCAAGGCTGTTAATTACTGTGCACTCAAGGAAGGGGCCATATTTAAGTAGATACTAAGTTAGAGATAACAGATACTGTTGTAATATATATACAATTTTAGAATTTTACAGATGGGCAATAAAGAGTCCTATCCTAACAAAACCAGTGTATTATAGCAAATTTCAAATATATGAAAGAAAAGTGTCTTATGAAATTGGTGCGTTTTCTAATTTGTACAAAGATTATGTGCTAGTAGGGGCTCTGTTCTGAATTCCTTATTTTCTAGGATCAACACTATCCTCCTGAACCCAATCCAATCTGAAACATCAGAATCATAACCATTTTTGCTCTTCTCGGCTTATCAACAATTTCCAGAAGACTTCACAGACCTTCTAGATCTGATATTCTTTCAACTGTTCATACATGTTTTAGTCTCAACTCAATCTTTGTAACTGACCACTTTCTCAAATTTCCTTACCATTATTCTTTCTCTGAAGCTATTATTTTTATATGTACTCAATTTATAGTTAAAACAATTATCACTTCTATCATGCTAAATACTATGTACTGTAATTTAAGCCTCAAACTCTGAGATTCAGGTACAATTAATTATTAACTATGTAGAAGTAAAAACTGAAACCTAGAGACCAAATGAATAAGGCCACATAGTGAATAATCAGAACACTTCAATCAGATAATATGTGGCTTTCATCATGTCCCTCACTTTCCCAAAAGCTGGCTGGCACTAAAAGCCTCATTAATCACATTTAACCAACAGGCTTCAAAGTCTCCTGGCACTTAGCTCCCTGGCTTGAGAGTGTCAGTGGTGCTTGTTAAACTAAGTAAATCAAAGGTTCTTTTTTGCAATATTTGGAATTGAATGCAGGGGTTCATGCATGGTAGGCAAGCAATCTACAATTGAGCTACATCCTCAGACATTTTTGTTTTTGGAGAAAGGGTCTTGCTAAGTTGTCAAGGCTGGCTTTGAACTTATGATACTTTTGCCTCAGCCTCCCAAGTAGCTGGAATGTACCATCATGCCTGGCTACAGGTTAGTTCTTTTATAAAGCATACAGAAATTCATTCTAAAGTAGTCAAGGCTTTAGAACAAAACGTTTCATTCACATTTTCCAATGAGATTTGGAAAAGAACAAAATGAAATCTACCGTGTCCTAATATCAACAGGCACAACTTCCAAAAACAAACCTATATTTACTAAGAACTCACTTCATATAGGCCCAGTTGTAAGTTTTACACATATTAACTCAGCTTTACAACTGAGTCCTCACAGCAATCCTATGTTGGGATTGTCACAACTCCTTTTTCAAGTAAGGAAGTTGAAATGAGGCTTACATTCCAGAGCTAATAAGAACAGCTGGTATTTGAATTTAGGCACTTGGTCTCTAGAGCTTAATTCATAACACCATCCCATGAGGTCCCCTATTTCTACTTCCAATAACTCCTAGAGCTTGGTGCCACATATTATGAATGATACAAAAGAATAGAGCCTCTGGTATTTTTAAAAATTTATCATCTCATAAAAAAAGTTTCTTAGGGAAAATCCTGGGTGGTATATGCATGTGTAGACATGTAAAATGGATTACATATGGCAGTAACATGTAGGCAACTTTAGAATAGTTAGCTTTCAAGGAAAAACAAGGTGGGGAAATAACTTTCCTAAAACTATCTAGGCAATCAGGACATTTTAAAAAGTATACCTACATAGTTGTATGCACTATACATAGTTGTATGCACTATACAGTTCTTTTACTATGCTGATTCCACTCAGTTGTTTTCAACCTGTCTCCTTCCCTGGCCACTAAGTCCCTGGCAAGTAAAATAAATGACTAAATGTTCTCCTTTATGATCTGTAACAGCAGGGTCTGGTGTTCTGTAAGCAAATGACACTGAATATCAGATGGCAAACATGAAAACAAAAGCACTACACGATTATCATTAGCAATGTGACATGGCAATTCATAGACTTTAAAATCATAAGTATCATGCAAAGGAATGGAGAGTTTTAAAGAAATAAGACATGGACAGATCAGAGACTGAGAAAATGTATCCATGCTCAAGAAGCATTAGCCCAATGCACAAGTGCCCACATGCTCTGACTTCATCTGGATTATCATTGTTAATTTTGTAATTTTGATTCCTCCACCACTCCCAATCACTAAAAAATGTCCCTGAAAGGGAATCAGCACTAGTCAGTCCCTGTTACAAATAATGCCACCTTACGTATTAGCAATTTCTACCTTTTACTGTAGCACAATGGTTGGTGAGGAGGCTTTTTGGCCCTGGCAAAGCCAGCAACAAATTAAGGCTAGTATTGAACATATCTAGGTTAGCCAATTCTCATCTTATTTATTAGACTTCTAGACAGTGTTTCTGTATTTGTAAAATAAACTAGCACCCCAAACACTTTTGTTACATGCTTAAGGCTTCACTTTTCACCTTTAGTACTGACCATGACACAGAAGAATTATACTTTTAAAAATATTTTTACACATAAAAAAGGACTGCACACCTGGATAGCCTCCTGAGACCCAACATCTCACTGTCATGAGTGTTCCTGGGAAAGCAGAAATAAACATTACATGTGTAGAGAAATAAAACAAGCAACATTGGAGGGTCATGCACAAACCAAATATGGTTGAGAAAAAGAGGATTATTCAGTCCAAAGCATAAAAGATCTTAATACTTGGAACATTTTAACATGGAAGACAGAAAATAGATTTTTAGGAAGAGGAATGGGGAGGTGGGGGGGAAGAATGCACTCCCAGAATAAAGAGAACACACCCATAATCATTTTTTCTCACTCTTTGGTATTAAAAAAGAAAAAAAAAAAAAAAAAAAAGGCAAAGATAGAATCATACACAATACTTAGGAGTCAAGTTGCAAAAGTTGGCCCTGAGTTCTCTGGCCAAGCTTTACTCAACCTTCGAGGCTACAGTTTGCCTGACTTCTGGAGAAGTCTATTTCTTATTACCAAAGCCTCTCAACATAACTACATTCTGAAAGACTCATCACTTTATTTCCTTTGTTACAGACCAAAGTATAGGACTTAATTCTCTCAATCTTTTAAGGTACATTCATGCTTTCATCTTAAACCCAAGTTTGTTCTTTCACTGCTTTGGTAGATGAATTATAGTTGTTCTCTTATTTCTGTCTTTCACTTTGTCATACAAAATACTTCCTAGAAAACCTGTTCATATAGAGACTTTTTGTCTGAAATGGAATGGAATCTTTTTTTTTTTTTTTTTGGTGATGGTACTGAGGATTGAACCCAGGGTGCTTCGCTGCTGAGCTATATCCCCAGCCCTTTTTTTATTTTTTAATTTTAAGACAGGGTCTTGATAAATTGCTGAGGCTAGCCTCAAACGTGCAACACCTCCTGCCTCAGCCTCCCAAGAAGTTGGGATTTTAGGTGTGTTCCACCACACCCTGCCAAGGGAGTTCATAATTGTAATAACATAATGCTTAAGTTTGTATTTTACAGGAGGTTTTAGGATAATAACTTTCATTTCATCTACTTGGGTGTCCCACAAACTACAAGCCACAGAGATGTAATTTTTAAAGACTGGCTTGGATTTATGCTTCCTTGGAACTCTTCTTCTCTTAACACTCAACTACTTAAGAGCTCTCTTTTCATCCAGTGCTGGCACTAACTGTATCATCACTTTTGCCTCCATTACCTTCTTTTGCCTGAGAAGTTTTTATCTTTGATTGGTGACTGATCTGGAAAACACAGGTGATGCTGAAGTAGAGTTATATAATTACACTCAAAGATGTTCTTGATTTGATGTCTCTGATCTGGTTTCACATTTTTCCTCCGTAGTCCCTGGTATAACAAGGAATTAAGAACTTGGAAGGATGAAATTCATAGGCTAGTGACGGAGGAGACTCACATCTCAGGGCACACCACTCAATTTAGTTACCATGGCATAGCATTGCAAAGTCATTTTCAGAGCTAAAAAAATTTTCCCAAATGTCCTTTAAAAGAGGGAAAGACAGGATAGCTTCTATTTTCTAAACCACTTTTAAAAATCTTCTGATCTTAGCAGATCTTTTAATGTATGTATGGAACTGTGTCTACAGCTACTAATGACTTCTTCATTCAGTTTTGACTCTGTCAAGCCCTGCTATCAGAGTAGCTTATTCCTTGTTTAAGGTACCCTCCCTAGACTCACTGCTGCTGCAAAGACTGTAAGGCAGTAGGGTTTAAAGAAGACTACAGTGTTCCACAATGATCAGGCCACAGAAACTCCATGTGCATGATTCCTTATAGGAGCCCAGTTTCAGAATCTCACAATAAGATCCCCTTCCACAAAACCCATGAGAGGAAGAAAGGGTTAGGGAAGTTGAAAGAAAGATTAAGAAGAAAACCAAAAAAACATCCAAATATCTAGCTTAACATTTTATGAACTATAAGAAGTTATGATGGTATTACACAATCTGACATTCTTAAAATCACAAATAAAGATCAAACTAAAAAGGAAAAATAAAAGGTAAGGAGCAATGACTTACTTCACTGTAGCAGTAGAACTGAATTCTCCTTACCTTTCCTAATTCATATTACATCTTTGTAATTCACTATGTAGAAATTACCTAAATTAGATTTAAGTGGCAATCTTAAAAAGCCATCTTTCTATCTTTATCTGGATAGTAAAAATTACATGTTTGCCAAGGTGCATATGTAGGTATCTTTTTTTTCCCCTGTGTCATCTAAAAGCAATGTGGTACTTAAAGAAAAATAATAACAACTAATTATCCAATTTATAAATGAATTCCAAAAGATGTTATCAAATATTTCAAACTTATAATCAATACTTCACCACTTAAAAAAATATTTTTTCTGTACTTATCTAAAATAAACAGGAACTGAGATAGTTCCAGCTATGAGAAGATCATATACCTTTTTCTTTTGGCACTACCAGTATCAGAGGTGGCTGAAGAGATCATGCTGTCTCCATCCTCTATGTCATCTCTTCTGGCAAGCTCTTTCTTCTTTGCCTATAACAAAGCAGGTTTCAGGAGTCAGACTTACTCCGTTGAACACATGTATGAATATATGAATGTTAAAGAGCTAGACATGTCAGATTCATTCAGAAAACACCACGTAGCATGCACAAAATTAAAGATTCATTAAATATTTTTAATAACCCAGTTTAACAAAAGCCTGCATGACAGAAAAGTAGGTTAAAAAAATGGATCCAGAGAGTTAAAGAATCAATGTTAGCTACAGCATTTAAGACTACAAAAGGATTTAACTGGTTAAAAGCACTAAGGCAAGTTGTAGGACACCTTGTTTTGGTGGCCAACTCGAAGGTGATCTCTGGCACCCATGACTTCTAAAGAGACAGTGAAGTTAAGAAAAAAGTTGAATCTTTGAAAGGTGAAAAGAGATCTACTTTTCAACACATGCATTTTTAAAGATTTTCTGCCAAAGAGAGATGAAAGTCCAACCACAACAGGCATGGGAAATATACACATATACACACACACAGTACTGCGGAACAAACGCCTGACATTCACAACACTAAGAAGTGCAATATTGATTATACAAAATGAAGAGAACCTATGAGTGCTTTAGTTGCTTCCTTGTGTTAAGACTATCTTTCTAAAAAAGATTCTACCAAAAACTGTGAGATAAATTCAGTTTCTTATCTACTATTTTGTCTTAAAACCCCTAGATGGCCAGTGACTTCAGATGCCCCCAAAGGTGTACTTTCAGGGAGGATCTGTTAAAACTTTTGGGACATTATACAATGAATAATTACCTTTCAGATGCCTTTTCTTCTAGACTAGTCCCATCTTAACAGAGACAAAGTCTAGAACCAAAAAAATAAAACCTAAATGACAGAATATCATCTAGGATTAAAGGGTAATTTTCCTACAATCCTAAAATTACTCAGGAGATTCCTCTATTCATGAAGCTTACTCCTTTCTAAATTATTACTTCTCCTCAAAATGGTCCTAACAATTCTAAAATAATAGTTAGCAGTACTGTGGTTGAAATGAATAACTTGATAATGTTGGGGGAAATCATTCATCTCAAAAGAACACACTCAATAAACATAATACTATTTTGATGATACATACAACAAATTTAGCAAAACTAAGAAATCATACCTGCATGACTTGCTGCAATTTTAGAACTCGTTTATAGATGGCTGAATTGGGAACATTATAGCGCTTGGCATTTTCAAACATTAAATTCAGATCACACTCCAAATGATCTAAAGTTTCATATTCTTGGTTCTTTAATTTTGTTCTGTGAAAGACAAATAAATGGCTAGTACGATCCACTTTGAAAATGATGAAACACTTTTTCTTCCTGAAAGTACAATGCAAAAATCCTTACAAGCACTCCACGGTATCTTCACTAGTGATAGTGGTTAGAAGCCTTGCAAGTGACTGTGTTAAGATAAAAAGGAGGGGGCTGGAGATATAGCTCAGTTGGTAGAATGCTTGCCTCACATGCCTAGGGCCTTGGGTTCAATCCCCAGTACCACCACCAAAAAAAAAAAAAAAAAAAGATAAAAAAGGAGGCATGCCAGGCCTGGTGGCACATGCCTGAACCCCAGTGACTTGGGAAGCTGAACCAGGAGGATTTCAAGTTTGATGCCAGCTCTGGCAACTTCGTTAGGCCATCTCAAAACAAAAATAAAAGAGCTGGGGATGTAGTTCATTGGCAGAGCATCACTGGGTTCAATCCCTAATGGAAAAACCCTGATCATGGATAACAAGTAACTTTAAGAAGAAATAAAATTAGAGTGATTTTAAACTACCTCAATGAAGAATCATGGAGAACTACCCATTTCTGAAAATAAGAGGACATTTCAACCCGATATAGTGGTGCATGCCTATAATCCTGCTGCTGAGGAAAAGGATCACAAGCTCTAGGCCAGCCTTAGCAACTCAGTAAGAACCTGCCTCAAAATATAAAATAAAAAAGCTGGGGGTGTAGGAGGTGTAGTTCAGTGGTAGAGTGCCCTGGGTTAAATCCCCAGCATTGGGGTTAGGAAAGAGGCTGAATATTTTAGTTCATGCAGATTAAAATAACAATAATAATAATGGCAATGCCATGAAGAAACATCTGGAAAGATATTTACTCAAGGAAGATATAAAAGGATAGCTTAATTGATTTTCCAATGGTAAATGAGAGGTAAATTTGTCAGAATCCATTTATTGCTATCCTCCAATATAATTTATTACAAACTATGATGGCCTAAGCTGAGGTTTTTGCTTATTTTACTTAAAAGTCCTAAGTAAAAAGATAGGTTAGACACTACTGCTATTAATAATACCAGTTCTTTGAAAGGCCTTATGTACTTTGTGCTAAATGAAGAATCACTATTTGCTCTAACTCTATATGGACAGAATAAACTTTTTTTTCTTTTTTTTTAAGGATAAACTCTTAAATCTTGATTGAGGCACCTGCATTTTAGTCATCAAAATCACAAAAATATTATTAAAGAACCAAAATGTGTGAAAACAGTTTCACTGAATGGAGATTCCAAACTTTCTCTTAGAACAGAATTGTCTGTTATGCATATAAAGTTTTACTTAAAATTTAACAAAATACTATTCAGATTCTGTGTAGCACTTAAGGAATACGAATATTAGAAAACATATCTGAAAGGGGGAAAAAAAGCCAAAAACTAAGCATATATTCAGTCCTCACTACCAGCTAGCACCAGAGTTTATTAATCTTATTCCTGCCAAATCAAAGGATGCTAAGTGTTCTCAACACCTAAAAGAATCCAAATTTGCAAACAACAACTTAACAGATCTTCAGAGATTTATCAAACTAAAGCTAATCAATTGAGACTTGGAGTGAAGAAAGAGAGAAAATGGAAATAAACATGGGGAAAACAAATCCCAGCACAGTGAAAAATGGCATGAGGTACCACACTAGCTCCTATTCACTTCTGTGTGTGGGCCTGGGGATCAAAGCCAGGTACATGTTAAGCAAGTACTCTACTTTTGAGCTATCTCTCAGCTCTAGTTTTCCATTCTCAAACTTTTTTTTTTTTTTTTTTTGGTACTGAGGATTGAACCCAGGGGTGTTGTACCACTGAGCCACATCCATAGCCCTTTTTAAAAATTTACTTCTATTTTTTTATCTTTATTTATTTGCTTATTTATTTTTATGTGGTGTTGAGGATCGAACCCAGGATCTCACACCTGCGAGGCAAGTGCTCTACCACTTAGCTACAGCCCCAGGCCCCTTTTTTAAATTTTTGAGATAGGGTCTTGCTAAATTGCTTAGGGCCTTTCTAAACTGCTTAGGCGGTCTTGAGCTTGCAATCCTCCTGTCTCAGCCTCAAGAGTAGGTGGGATTATAGGAATGTGCCACTACATCTGGCTATCCATCCATTCTTTATTGCTTTTGGGGACACTCAACTATCTTCCTTCTGCCAATTAATCTTCCTAGGACTATTCTGCACCATATTGTAGACATTAGATGCATGTGGCTACTGAGATTAAATTTAAATACAATTTAAAATCAACTTCCTCAGTGGCACTAGCCTCATTTCAAATGCTCAACAGCCACACATGACTAGTGACTATCATATTGGATAACATAGGCAATAAAACATTTCCATGTTTGCAGAAAGTTCTATTGGATAGCACTGCCCTACACTCCACTGCTGCTCTACATAGCATACATAGAAGGGAGTCCAGGCACAGCAAGTTTCTTATTAGGCACCATGGGTTCTGTGACCCAAGAAGGGATTAGACATCCTACATATTGACCCTTCAAAATGTTAGTGTACTAACATCTAGGCCCAAATCACTTCCCTATTTCTCACCCACTCCTACTGGAGTGTCCACAAAACTGACATGGCGGGCGGCGTTGGGGCGGGGGGATGTGTGTGCTGAAATAGTGACTTAACAAAGCAAAGTTTACACCAGAAAATTCCAACTTGGAAGAAGGCTATTTTCCATTGCCCATTCATGTTGGTGCTGAGTACCTACAAAATGTGCTGCAACTTCTCAGGGATCACTACAGACACAGTGGCAACAGCAGTAGCAGTGTCTAAACCTCCTATGGAAGCCCTCTATTCTCTCTCACTTTTTGTGAACCAGGGATTCAACCCAAGGCCCCTTAACCACCAAGCCACATCCCCAACCCTTTTTATTTTTTATCTTGAGACAGGGTCTCATTAAATTGCTCAAGGCCTCACACTAAGTTGCTAAGGCTGGCTTTGAACTTACGATCCTCCTGCCTCAGCATCTCAAGCTGGGATTACAGGCATGTACCACTGAGCCTGGCCCTCTGCCTATTTTTTAAATTGGGATTTTTTTTTTTTTTTAACTGTTGTTATGATTTCTTACCATTGTTAATGATACTATAGTGGTTTAAGTATTCTGTCTGGCTGAATTGCCAAATGATCATTTTCTAACTGTATGCATGAGTTCAAGATCTGCCTGGGTAACAGAGTAAAATCCCATCTCAAAAAAAAAAAAAGAACAAAACAAACATTTTCTAAACAGGAAAAGGAATCCAAGATGGAACCATCTTTCAAGTACGGTTTCAGCTAATAAGTTCTTCCAGAATTGACTATGCTTATTCTGATGATTCAACTATCAATATAAAATTTAAATATGGTTTAACTACCATAATTAAAGTATCAATGAAAGGTGTAAGCAGGAAAGTTTTTGTACTTTGTTCTTAATCAAAAGACAAACAAATGGTTAGGTAAAAAGTTTAATTTTAAAATCCTTATCCATTTTAGGAAACAATAATATATATGCAGGCTAGACCATAAGAAAACAGATTTACACAGAAGTAATACAGAAAAGATCTTACCTAATCTGTTGTAGTGATATGGGCATTTTAATTTGCTGGTAATAATCAGGATATTTCTTCTTTGAAGGCAAATGGAAAAAAGGTTCAGCTATTAGTTGCCCTTGGTTATTCCGACAGCTCCTAACTGTGTCATACAGCTGATAAAAGGGATTTGAAACATCCATGAAGGAAGTGATGCTCTCAGCTTCTGACTCTCCTTCTTCATAACGTGCAGCTAGAAAGACAAAAAAACAAGTATTCACAGGGGAAGAAAGTAATAAAGCATGAAATAACCATATTTTATAGCTCCTTCAACAGACAGACATATATATTTGAAATTTTTTAAAAATAGTCTATAATCTCCATTAAAGATGATGCTAAGGATGCATGCTTAGAGAAATGTTTCATAGAACTATATGTTTAGAGAAACATTTCACAGAAATAAAATGCTAAATAGTAAAAGTTATACTGGTTATAAAAGGTTGCAAAATAGTTTTTCTTTCTGGGCTCTCCTCAGAGACTCCTTGGCATGTATGGCCAAAAGAAGGAAGAAATCTTTCAGAGACTTCAGAACTAAAATAATACCATGAAGTTCAGGGCTACAGTTTGGATTTGAAATGTCCCTCAAAGCCCTATGTGTTAAAGGCTTATCCCCCAGAGTGGTGCTATTGAGAGGTAGTGGAAACTTTTAACAGGTGGAGCCTAGTGAAGTGCTACCTCACCACGGGTCTGATCATAGACTAGAACATCCAGAACTGTGAGCCAAAATAAAGTATTTTCATAAGTTGATTATCTCAGATATTTGTTACAATAATAGAAAGCTGCTAACACATTTAGAATAGTATAAATTTACATTAGGCCGATAATGTCAGACATGATTTAACCTTAAGTCTCTGTGACTTTGCCCTATTGATTTATACCATCCCTGATGAATGATGTATTCCTTATAAAGGGAATTTTTAAATAGATGCTAAATCATAAAAACACCACAAAAAGTAAAACACAGAATCATCTTCAGATTTTGCTCAGTTCCCTGATTTCTTATTTAGTGCATAAAGATCACAGTTTAAATTGTTTTGGCTGGATCACCATAATTGCTATGTACTCCTCCCAGGTAAGACCAACAATCATTTATTAAGTACTTAAGTTGGGCTAAAAACTTGATAAGCATAAGCCTTAGGCAGTCCTAATACCACCACATGAAACAGATATTGTTATTATTTTTTCAAATGAGAAAACTGGGCAAAAGAGATTAACAACTTATACAATGTCATTCATCCTATAAAGCTGTCAGATGAGATTTTAATACAGTCATAGAGCTAGCTAGAAGCAAACAAGGATTTGAAACTAGTCATCATCTCTGATATTTCCTATAAAGAGTTTACACATCTTTTGTTGGATATATACCTAATTTTCTTTTTGTGCCTTATTCCAGAGAAGGATTTTTGTGTAATGATCTTATATCTGCAACTTATGATTTTTTATTCATTTTAGTAATTTATTTGAAGAGTTTGAGTAGAAAAAAAATCTGTCAACTACAATATGTATGTATCTTTCTTCTTTTCTGATCCTCATACATTAACTGTTGTAACTGTAGGCTGTGTAGTACTTTTTCACTAAAAAATGTAACAGAATTCTTACCCTATTTCTACACGGCTAACATTTCTCCCTTAAAAAGAGAAATGCCTTTTATCAGCTTAGGAAAAATCTCCTTAGTTTGCTAAGAATTTTCATCATGAATGAGAATTGTAGTATTTATCAAAAATATGTGATGAGCCAATTGTATTTTATTTAATGTTAATGCAGTAAATGGTACTTTATCTTTTCTAATGTTGAACAAACCTAGTATTTCTGGAATAAATCCAATTGTGTCATCATGTATTATATACACTGACAGATACAGTATGCTTCTAATTGGTTTTGATATCTAGGTTATATTAGATTCACAGAATGAACTGGAAGCTCATTTCATCTACTGTGCAGATGTTTTAATAAAATTCTGTTGTCTAAGAGAGTGAAATGCAGTGGTAGAGTGTGAGGCCCTGGGTTCAATCTCCAGCACTGAGGTAAAAATTATAACTCTTCTTTCTTAAATGTTTGGCTTGGTGTTTTCTATGTGGGAAGGTTTTTAACTGATAATTTAATTCTTTACTGGTTCTATGAATAATCTCAGCCTTTAAATTTTTTTTTTTTTTTTTTTTTTTTGGTACCAGGGATTGAACCCAGAGGGCACCTAACCACTGAGCCACATCCCCAGTCCTTTTTATTTTTCATTTTGAGATAGGGTGTCCCTAGGTTGTTTACAGCCTCACTAAGTTGCTGAGGCTGGCTTTAAATCTGTGATCCTTGGGCCTCAGCCTTGGGAGCAATGTGGAATACAGGCATGTGCCACCAAGCCTGGCTTAATTTTTGAATCAGTTTTATACATTTAACATTTTCTAGGAATTTTTTCATTTAAATTTTTAAATGTATATGCTGTAAATACATTTTCATTTAATCTCTATATGTCTCTCTCCTCCCTAATATTATTTACTTACCTTTTATGTTTTTCTCTTGATAATTTCAACATAAACTTATTTTATTAATAGTCTTAACAAAATAACTTTTCACCCCATTAATTTTTTCCATTATAAGTTTCTTTTTTAATGAATTAAATTTCTGCTATTAGCTTTATTACTCATTTTTCTAACTTATCTTATTAAAAATTATCTTATTATTTACTAATGTTGGATGCCTAGCTCATTCCTTCAGGTGCTTTTCTAAAGAGAAGCATTCAGACTTATGAGATTCCTTCTGAATTATCACTTCAGCTACACCCAATTAGTTCTGATGCATTATTTCATTGTTGCAATTGTTCAGTTTTAAGTATTTTAAATTTCTGAGATAATTCTTCTTTTAGCCTATGTGTTTATTTTAAAATTTCTGATGTTTAGACTTTTAAATTCTATTCATTGTTAGTTGATGTCTTAGCTGCACTTATCAGAAATGGGGACTATATAACACCTAATCTTTACTGAAATTTGTTTTGAGTAGATGGTCAGTTTTTATAAATATGAACCTAGGAAGAATGTGTGTTCTCTAAATGTAGAATACATATGATAAGCTGAATAATAACTACCAATATATACTCATGTCTTTGTCAATAGAACCTCTGAACGTTACCTTATATGCCAACAGGGACTTTGTGAATGTGATTAATAATCTTGACATGAGAAGATTAACCTGAATTAATCTGTGAATTATGTGGGTGTGCCCTTAAATGTAATCAAGAGGATCCTAACAAGAGGGAAGCAACAAGGTCAAAGCAGCAAGAAGAAGGGACAACAGATGCAGAAGTTGGAAAGATGCAGTTTGAAGATAGAGAAAAGGGGCCACAAGCCAAGTACAGATAGTCTTCAGAAGCAGAAAAAGCAAGAAAATACATTCTCCCCTAAAATATCTGGAAAACTGGCTTGCTGACCCCTAGATTTTAGACTTCTGATCTCCAGAACTGTAAGAAAAAATTTATTTTACACCACTAAGCTTGTGGTAACTCATTTCAATATCATCATACTTATGAGGAAGTAGATTCAATTTTTCTACTTATCTAGCAAACGAGAGAAGAGGAATTCTGTTGGACGCGTATTGTTTTCAAATTCTCCATAAAGTTCCATCTTCTTGATTTACATATTTGGAGCTCCTTTGTAATTCATCTTCCCAATGAAACAAATGTTTTACTATTGTAGGCTGAATCTTTTTTTAATCTTTTCACTTATCTCCGAAAGTTCTTATCTGATGTTAATATGGCTACCTTTTGACTATTATCCGTTCTACATCATTTTCTCTCTTTCATGTTTTTATATTTACCCAGATATGAATTTTAACCAATATCAAGCAATAAGCTTTTGATAAATCAGCTGCCAACTAAGGGGTGCAATCAAATGGAACCAAATAGCACATTTTCCAAAAACCAACAAACTTCAGGCTAGACCAACCAAAAGGATCCACTTTAGAAGGCATTTAATTTAGCCAAAAGCTAATGCCTACCAGCTAATGCAGCATCCTCTTCACTTTCTGAGCCATACTGAAGTGCCATGGTAATTGCTGACAAACGGCCCCCTTGGACTGCTCTTTTATTACTACAAAGAAAAACAAGACATTGGAAGACATTAGGAGCTGTTAACAAAGTACTTCATAACAAAGAAAAATAATTTCTTTTGCTTTTAAAATTTTTTTTTTTAGTTGTTGATGGACCTTTATTTTATTTATTTATATGCGGTGCTGAGAATTGAACTTAGTGCCTCACACGTGCTAGGCAAGCGCTGTACCACTGAGCCACAGCCCCAGCCCCAGAAAAATAATTTATATTAACTGCCTCTTTATCTTTTTACTACTTAATATTCCTCATCAATGTTATCCAAGAAAAACTAATTTTTCCTCTAAGAAAGTGGCAGTGGTAGTAGAAAGCCTGGAGTGGGCAACTTGTAATCTGCTTTTTACTTAAATGTAGATCTACTCCTTATTTTATAGAAAGTAAAGACTCAATCACCATCACCGGTTATTCTCTTCTAAGATGCTCATACTTTAAAATAACAAAAAAATTCTATTCTAAACACAAAACTTATTTATTGCAAATAAGTATTTAAATCTCACATTTTATTTATAACTAATACTAAACACTAACTGGTTAAAGAATCCTTAATCATTATTTGAGAGGTGAGGTAAAACCTACTACAAGTATCTCAACCTTTTAAATAAAGCACTTGATAAATAACTCTCATAATCCAGAAGTATGCTGGGATCAGTGGCACATGCCTATTAATTCCAGCAACTTGGGAGGCTGAGGCAGGAGGACTGCAAGTTCAAGGTCAACCTCAGCAACTTAGTGAGACCTTGTCTCAAAAAAGAAAAAAAAAAAATCATCCCAAAATATTATTTCAAAATAGCCATCAGACAAATATTAATATGCCTACTGTCATAAGTATGGGCCAACTCTCAGACTAAACCCTCTTTTTCTTACCGATAATACTTGCTAGTGGTATTTCTCTCTTCACCAAGGCTGCCTTTACTGTGCGAAGGGCCTGTCAGCCTGGTCGCTGACAAATTTGATGGAGTCCTAGTCAAAGATAAAAAAACCTCAGAAACTTGATAGCTAATCAGAATTCTGGATTTAAAAAAAAAAAAAAAAAAAAGACATTTTCTATTTTTTTCCTAATAGAAATGTTGAATTTTTCTGAGCCTCTACTATGCAGCAGGCTCTTCTCCAGGACCATGGGAGTCTGCAGAGGACAGCAGACCACAGCCGGTCCTTGAGAGATTATGGTCATTGTAGAGCCAGAGGAAATGATAACAAAATAAATGTGAGAACCAGGAGAGAGCTTTGAAAATAATCACCCAACCTTTTCATTTCAGGAAAGAGGAAGCAGAATTCCAGAATTAAGATTTGTTCAAACTTAAAGTTCTAGGAAAGGAAAAACCAACTAGAATGGTACTTCAGATCTTCGTATATTGCAAATAAATGCTACTGCACATTATATCCAAGTACCATAATATTGTATTACACCAATATGTATTTATAAAGGTAAGAGGAGGATATAGTGGTGTTACCTTAAGTGTTTCTTATTAAATAAAGCCCTTCAGCTACAATGAAGAGGCTAGATAAGCTACTCTACTCTTTTCAGAATCACATTATTAACTAAATATAATCTTGAAATGTAACATAAATCTTGTTTTCTACTGTATTGATTTTATTAGAAAATTCAGCAAACACAAAAACACAAAGATCTTGGAAATTTTTTGAGTAGTATGTGGTGGCACACATCTATAATCCCAATAATTTGGGAGGCTGAGACAGGAGGATTGCAAGTTTGAGGTCAGCCTCAGCAATTCAGTGAGACCCTGTCTCAAAAGAAAAAAAAAAAGGCTGGGAATGTGGCTCAGTGGTAAAGCCACCCTAGGTTCAATCCCCAGTACCACACCAAAAAAAAAAAAAAAAAAGAAAGAAAGAAAATTAATAAAGATCTTAAATATTTCTTAACCTACCTCATTCGAAGACTTGACTTAGCCATTTCATGATGTTCAATTTCTGCCTTTTTCATATAAAATATTTTTTTAATTGAATTTGCATCCTGTCAAAATAAAGTTACTCAGCTTAAAAAAGGAATAGAAAAAAAATTCCCTTGTTCACACACTGGGCACCTTTCATGGTACTCTTTCCATTTGGAGCTGACATCTATTCAACATTCACAAAGCTGCATCCTTTAACTTTTCTGTAAGCTTCTCAAACATCTTCATGAAGTTGTCACTAATTAAATGCAAAAAGCTTCTAGTTCTTTCACAGTTAGTGAAGTAATATGCAAAGATCTGATGGTAAAATACAACAAATCCTAGTTGTATACAACCTAAAAGTCAAATCCAAGGTTTTCTTTCTCTTGAAAAGGTTTAGAAAAATAATTAGATTGAAAAGTAAAATTTTTAACTGTATCAACTAACAATCAGTAATATACTACCAAAATGTCTTATCCAAGGACTAAGAACACAGGACTTCAGAATTCGTTTCCGATTTTCACTCAAACTTTCTCAAAAGATGAAAGATAGAGTTAACATTAACTAGCAATAGCAATAGTATCTGGGTCAGGGTTCAGGAAAATCTAATGATTTTACTACTAAAAGATTTTCTGAGCATTCTTTCCTAAATTCCCAATGATATGTGATTAATTCAAGGAATTTCTACAAGCAGGACTACAAAATTTCTAAGAGGGAATTACAGAGCAACGGAAAAGCTATTTTACATTGTATTTACACTATAAATGTTGCTTTTTATTATTTATGAAATTTAAATGTAGGGAATAAATCAATATTTAGCTGAAAAAAAAAAGGATTAAAAAAACCTTACTTTGACATAAGAACAAACACTTAAATGAACTGAACAGAACCAAGAATACAGAATTAAACTCCTACATCTTGGTTAAATGATTTTCAACAAGGGTTCCAAGATGATCAATGGGGAAAGAAATCTTTTCAATATGTAGTGCCAGGATAATACCCCATATAAAAGAATGAATTTGAACTATTACCTATTAATTACAAAAATCAATTCAAAGTGAATCAAAAATTTAAATGTAAGAGCTAAAACTATAAAATTCCTAGAAGAAAATATAGGTGTAAATCTTTATGAACTTGGACTGGGCAGTAATAACCTAAAACAAAAGCAACCAAAGAAAAAAATACATAAACTGGACTTCATCAAAATTAAAAACTTTTGTGCATTAAAGGACACTATCACAAAAGTGAAAAGACAAGAGAATGAGAGAAAATATTAAAAAACCATATATCTCTTAAGGGCATGATATCCAGAATATATAAAGAACGCCTACAACTCAAAAATAAAGAGAGAAGTAACCCAATTAAAAAAAGGGCAAAGGATATGGATAGAAATTTCTCCAAAGACATACAAAGGGCCAATACACACATGTAAAAATGAATTATTATTCATTACATAAAGGCAAATGAAACCATAATAACATACTACTTTACACCCATTAGGATGAAAATGGAAAACAAGTGTTGGTAAGAATGTAGAAAATTTCAACACTTGTACATCGCTAATGGGAATGTAAAATGGTACATCTACTTTGGAAAAGAGTTTGCTGGTTCTTTAGAAAGTTAAGTATATAGTTACCATGTACAAAGACAAAAAGATGGTGGTTCCCTAGGGCTGGGGATGGTGGGGGGGGGGGAAAGAGTGACTGCTAACTCTGTGAATATACTAAAATCCATCAAATTGGGTCTTTTAATTTAAATGGGTGAAATTTGAGCCAGGTAAAGTGGCGTATGCCTGCAATCCCAGTGGCTCAGGAGGCTGAGGCAAGAGGATCTCAAGTTCAAAGCCAACCTCGGCAACTCAGTGAGACTCTATCTCAAAAATTAAAAAGGGCTGGGGATGTGGCTCAATGGTTAAGCACCCCTGGGATCAATCCCTAAGTAAATAAATAAACAAATGGGCAAAATTTATGGCACGTGACATACCTCAATATGATTGTTATAAAAATTATTGAACCTAAATTAAAGTATTTACTATTATCAATGAAAATAACAACAACAAAAAACTAACCTTGAATACTTGAGAACCAGGCTCATTATAAGTTTTGGCATTTTTTGCTAGGAGATCTATATCTTTGGCCATTGCATGAATACTTTTGTAGCTTCCATTCTACAGTAAACAACAAAACATAACAGTTCCTCTTAATAAATGTTAAAAAATATCAGTAAAACCTTCAATTAAAAAAGAACTCCACATATTTTAAAATTGTCACCATAAGTCTAAGACTTTATTGGAAAGTATATATGTGAACAATATGTAATTTTCTTTCATAAATTATTCCTACTACCCATTTACAAATAAGTTTTTATAATAGGTAACAAAACCAGAACTACATTATTTTCATTAAAAAACTTAATTTAAAAAAATAAGTAAGATAAATGTTTTAGTTAGCCAACACATGCTTACAATGATCCAAGCTCTGTTCTGGGTGCTTCATGAATACTAATTCACTAAAGTGGCCTTAACAGTGTGAAGGAAAACTCCCTTGAGTTATTAGGACCACCTCAGGTAAATTATAAAATCAGTCCAGCATAGAGGTTAACATTTTCTATGTACTATTTTTGTGCCAGAGCTGTCACATCTTAAAGCTCACTTGTTCCAAAATAACCTAGAAATACTCACATAGTTGCCTCAATTTACAAAGGAAAGGAGGGAGGAATGCATGCTAGGTAAAAGACACACATATAATGTGTATACATGTACTTAATGATATAAGTACACAGGAAGAAGAAGTTCTAGAGAAACTGAAAGAAACCAATTTAAGTGGGGAGGGTGGGGAAGGGTACAACTGTAGCACAAAAGTGTATGGACAGGCAAAGGCAAAATAAGGCAGAATCCAAAAAAAGCAGGCAATGTAGATTGGATGGTTATCTGTTATGTGGAACTAACACTTTTGAATGCCTGTCTTATTTGGAAGGAATCCTAGAACAGGTGACAGGGAGGGCCCTACTTCCCACCATGAGGGTGAAAGTGGGCAAAAGTTTGCTTTACCCACAACCTATCAGCAAGGCAAAGGGAAATAATCACGGACAAGCTAATTTGTGCTTGGGTCTTCAGTGACTAAAGCAATGGCCAGGGAATGGCAGGAATTCTTACTGACTCCTGCAGAGGAAGAGAATCTAAGCAGGGCCCACAGTGGCAAATGACAGTAGTAATAACAACTGTACTACAAGGAGGTTGTGTGTAATCTTGGCAGTACCATGACATCCCTGAGTTCTATTTATTTTCCCAAAAGTAGTTCCCCAGTGTTTCATTCCAACAATTTCATAAGCGATCCTTTTTCATAAATTCCTTTTCTGCTTATGGTAGCCAGAGTTGATTATTATTATGGAACTGGTACAAGTTGTTGTGACAAGTGACATTAAGTTTCTGAGCTGTGGAATAGTGGGAAGAAAGCCAGGGTTAGGAAGCAAGATATAGAAAGTGACTAGAGAGCTTTTTGATCAGAGAGGTAGGAAAGATTATTCCAATAATTTGGAAATAAGATGACAAGGATCTTGATCAGGATGATGGCAAAAGAATATTATTTTGGGAACTTCAGAAGAAAGAACAAGATGAGGCAAAAAGGCAAAGAGAGAAGACTGGGACTGACTTAGAGGTGTTTAAAATCTGATTTGATTTTCAGTATTACGAAAACATCATTCCCCCTAGATAGATGAAGACCAAGGGAATCAGAAAGTGAGCATTCTGTGCACTTATTGGGCTGCCTCAAAACCAGATGATAATTTGGTTAGTCCCAATTTTAACATTCTGTGAAAATGTATCTATGGAATCAATAATTACTACATTGTTACTCTTTAATTTGTTGCTGTCTTAAAATTTAGAGCCAAGGAAATTTCTCTCTCTTAGCAAACCACCGTGCCACACTCTCATTACTCAATAAGACTAAGTAACACATTGTTCTCCTTTTTGCTTTGTCTCCCAGGAGTAGTGTAATCTTCTTACCCTGGGAAGATGAGTGATTCCTAGTGATTATGGGCTCATCTAATAGTTGCTACATGAGACAGTTTACATATATCATCACAGCCAAGTGGTTATACTATACCCAATATACAGCAGAGGAAGAAGACAGTCACATGACCCAAGTGATACAGCTAGTTAAGATGAAGAGCTAGGAAAAGAAGCAAGATCCACTCTAGAAACTAGATTTCTGGAAGAATGTATATCTTTCTGCATTCACCTACCTTAACATATAATCATCAAACCGCAAATCCTAATCATACATTCACAATTAGGTAATACTTATTTAGTACCTATTTGGCTACGAATCTCCATACTTTAGTGTTATAATATTTAAAATGGGAATAACAGGATCTACATCATATAGTCATTGTAAGAATGACTTAGCCAATATACCTAGCACTGAGCTAGGTATATAGCAAGTCCATATGGGTGTGAACTACATCTATCATTTCTAGGGAAACTGAGTGGGAAAGAGGTGAAGAAGGTTAAAGAAAGCATAGTATTTATTTGCACTTGAAATTCTGTTGTTTATTTTAAGATACCCTAAAGCAATTTTGTTCTGTTTTGTTTGATGCTGGGGATTCAACCCATAGCCTCCCCAAAACATGCAAGCACTCTACCACTTAGTTATACCCCTAGCCCTAATTTTTGTCCTTAATCCAAAACTGCAAGTTGTACTACTTTGTTTATATTATTTGATAATACTAATAACCCTTAAAGAGATATCCACTTCCCTGCTTTCTAAAATTCTCTAAGTCCATAGGCCAATCTGCTCCAAACCATATATGATTACATATGGCCACCTTCATACCTGTATCCTCTGTGCAATGGTCTTGAGATCTATAGGCTCCTTAATTATTGCATAATAGTCTGGATATTGCTGGAAGACAAAAACCCAGGTTTGCTCAATGAGTGAAAGCAGCTAGCTAATGAAAAAACAAGAAGCATACTGACAATATGTTGTCAACCAAGAAACTGAGCAGCTTTGTGACATTCACAGATATAAAGACATACAGTATATTTTTATATCTGAAACAAAATACAATGTTATTTTAAGAAGCTTCATGAGCCATGTGCAGTGGCACACACCTGTAATCCCAGAGACAGGAGACTGAGGAAGAAAGATCTCAAGTTCAAGATCAGCCTCAGCATCTTAGTGAGACCCTGCCTCAAAATAAATAAAAAGGGTTGGGATACAGCTTAGTGGCAAAGCATCTCTAGGTTCAATCCCCAGTACTGGGGGGGTGGGGGTTGGGAAGCTTAATGAAATATTCAACAGATATACAACAGCAAGTTGTAGGGTTTACTCTTATTGACAGTTACACATTCTACACAATTAATACACTACAATTTAACATAAAATTCTAAATTCACAGAATCATAAATGTCTAAATTTAAGGTCCCCAGATAGCAATCAAAAAAGTTATTTTTTGTGTATGTGTGGTACTGGGGATTGAACCCAGGGCCTTGTGCATGCAAGGCAAGCACTCTACCAACTGAGCTATATCCCCAGCCAGAAAAAAGTTCTTAACGGGCCTCTTTATAAGCTTTTTAAATTTTACAATATAAATAACAATTATATAATATTTCATATAAACTTCCACAAGGAACTATAAGAAATCATAAAAATTTGTTGCTTCATGTTTAACTTAATGCTTTTATTAATGCTTTAATCAAAGTAAGGCTTTTCAAAATAAAATATTTTTAAATGAAATTATATGAAAGAAATGAAGCAAAATTATAAGTAATTTCTAATTTATCAAATACTAGTTTATCTCCAGGGGTTGGACATGTTGGGGGATACCACTGAGGCTTTCACAATGCCTAGAATCATTCACTACCCTCAGGCTCTCGTGCAAGTTTTGTGCCTTGAAGGAAATAACTGCAGTTGCAAGAGGTTCAGAGGAAGTCGGACTGTGCTTCTCCCCTCCCCTACCCTCATAGCAATCACCATTCTACTTTTTGTCTCTTTCACTATTCCAAGAACCTAATACAAGAGGAGTCATACATTATTCATCCTTTTGATTTGTTTATTTCATTGGCTTATGTTCAAGATTCATCCATGTTGTAGGATGTTTCAGAATCTCCTCCCTTTTTAAGGTTGAATAATATTCTATTGTTTGAATAAACAATTTCTTTGCTTATTCATTTGTCTATTAATGAGCATTTGGGTTGTTTCCAAGATTATTCTTTAATGATAAAATAAACACCTAAACTTTTTTATTTGTAAAAAAGGAAATTTTCTCTTTCCTCAGAAGGCAAGGTGAGAGGAAGTTCTTCCTCCCTTAGCGCTCCTTGATTTCCTAGAGAGCTGATTACATATTTTGCCTCGCATACTTTCTCACTCTACAAAGAAGATTTTCTAGAAAGTGAAAGCTTTTAAAGGATCAGAAAGAACCCTTTATAGTTTCACATACAAGAGACAATTAACACGGTTACAGATGTAACTCATATCATTGCCTGTGAAACCACAAAAACTTTCATGGTCCCAGAATTCTAATATTTCTAAGTAAGAGTATATTTTCAGAAGGTCTCCACTATAGATTTAACCCCCACTGTGATCATTTCTTCTTTTATCCACCTCCACTACCTGATTTTCTAGAGAACAGGGACCATGCCATATTTACCTTTGTGTTACTGCCATGTAGACACCCAACATGTCATAGATACGCAAGAAGTACTTGCTGACTGATGAGAGAATACATCAGTCACTGATAAAATTGGTTATTTAAAGATGCATCTTCAATGGCCGTAGGACAGTTATGACAGAAAGCAAGCGTATGATCACTGCTATTCTAGGTGTGGATTTGATTAGAAAGATATAATGATTACTTTCATTGTATGATTTAAAATTTTAAGAAAATAATATGGTGATTCCTCAAAAAAGTAAAAAATTACAATATGCTACAGAAAATTTTCCTATGGGTAAATATCCCAAAGTGAAAGCAGGGTCCTGAAGAGATATTAGTACACCCATCTTCATAGCAACATGATTCACAATAGCTAAAACATGGAAGCAACTCGTGTGTCCATTCACAGATGAATGCATGAACAAGATGTGGTATACCATTATAATGGACTTACTCATCATTAAAAAAGAAGGAAATCCTAACACATGCTACAATGTGGATGAACCCTGAAGACATTGTGGTAAGTGAAACAAGCCAGTCAACAAAGGGACAAACACTGTATGGTTCCTCTTATATAAGATCCCCTCAATAGTAAAATCATAAAAGACAGAAAGTAGAATGGTGGTTGCCAGGGGCTGAAAGAGTAGGGAAGTGGATTTGTTACTTAATGGGTAGGAAGTTTCAGTTTTGGAAGATGAAAAGTTCTGCAGATGGGCGGGCAGTAGTGATGATTACACAACAATGTAAATGAACTTAATGCCAAAGAACTGTACATTTAAAAATGGCTAAAATGGTAAGTTTTATGTTACATATATTTTATCACAATAAATATAACAAATAATAACAAAAAAGAATGGCAATCAAAAATAGCCCATGAGTTTGAGACCAGCTTGGGCAACACAGCAAGATCTGGCCCTCCACCCCCAGCGACAGACAGACTGACAAAATCATTACCTTTTAAAAAACAACACTGTGTTCAAGTAAAATGACAGACCATGTTCTCTGCTTGCTGCTGAGGTCACGAGGAGGATATCCTGGACACTTCCAACATGTTCCTTTTAATCTTACTCTATTCACTAATAATAAAATTCTTGAAATACTTAAAAAAAATTTATCACCTTAATTCATCTGTGTTTAATCATATCACTTACCACTTTAGAAGGCAGTTTCTGAAAAAGTTCACTAATGAGCCGTCCTGATGGATTTGTGGCTACAACAATGGCTTCAAGAAGCTGTTCCAGGATCTCTTTAAGGTAACTTGGAGAAGACTAGGAGACGCAGGGAGAGAGAAAAATACTTTGTAACAGAATCAATAAATACATGCCAAAAATTAAACTGCTTCTAAGATTACAAAGTAAATTCAAAAGATCAACTTTTAAGTTCAAGTTTCTAGAATACCACAGAAATGCTCTGATTGATGGACATGGGTTGTATCTCCAGAATGGCCTGTAAGAAACTAATGAGAATAAATTTCTTAAGTCATACGATCTGCCCAGATTGAGTCAGGAGGATATAGACAACCTAAACAGACCAATATCAATTGAGGAAATAGAAGAAACCATCAAAAGACTACCAACTAAGAAAAGCCCAGGACCGGATGGGTATACAGCAGAGTTTTACAAAACCTTTAAAGAGGAACTAATACCAATACTTTTCAAGCTACTTCGGAAAATAGAAAAAGAGGGAGAACTTCCAAATTCATTCTACGAGGCCAACATCACCCTGATACCTAAACCAGACAAAGACACTTCAAAGAAAGAAAACTACAGACCAATATCTCTAATGAACCTAGATGCAAAAATCCTCAATAAAATTCTGGCCACTCGGATACAAAAACTTATCAAAAAAATTGTGCACCATGATCAAGTAGGATTCATCCCTGGGATGCAAGGCTGGTTCAATATACGGAAATCAATAAATGTTATTCACCACATCAATAGACTTAAAAATAAGAATCATATGATCATCTCGATAGATGCGGAAAAAGCATTCGACAAAGTACAGCATCCCTTTATGTTCAAAACTCTAGAAAAACTAGGGATAACAGGAACATACCTCAATATTGTAAAAGCAATCTATGCTAAGCCTCAGGCTAGCATCATTCTGAATGGAGAAAAATTGAAGGCATTCCCTCTAAAATCTGGAACAAGACAGGGATGCCCTCTCTCACCACTTCTGTTCAACATAGTTCTCGAAACACTGGCCAGAGCAATTAGACAGACGAAAGAAATTAAAGGCATCAAAATAGGAAAAGAAGAACTTAAATTATCACTATTTGCAGATGACATGATTCTATACCTAGCAGACCCAAAAGGGTCTACAAAGAAACTATTAGAGCTAATAAATGAATTCAGCAAAGTGGCAGGATATAAAATCAACACGCATAAATCAAAGGCATTCCTGTATATCAGCGACAAATCCTCTGAAATGGAAATGAGGACAACCACTCCATTCACAATATCTTCAAAAAAAATAAAATATTTGGGAATCAACCTAACAAAAGAGGTGAAAGACTTATACAATGAAAACTACAGAACCCTAAAGAGAGAAATAGAAGAAGATCTTAGAAGATGGAAAAATATACCCTGTTCATGGATAGGCAGAACTAACATCATCAAAATGGCGATATTACCAAAAGTTCTCTATAGGTTTAATGCAATGCCAATCAAAACCCCAACGGCATTTCTTGTAGAAATAGAGAAAGCAATCATGAAATTCATATGGAAAAACAAAAGACCCAGAATAGCAAAAACAATGCTAAGCAGGAAGTGTGAATCAGGCGGTATAGCGATACCAGACTTCAAACTATACTACAGAGCAATAGTAACAAAAACAGCATGGTACTGGTACCAAAACAGGCGGGTGGACCAATGGTACAGAATAGAGGACACAGAAACCAATCCACAAAACTACAACTACCTTATATTTGATAAAGGGGCTAAAAGCATGCAATGGAGGAAGGATAGCATCTTCAACAAATGGTGCTGGGAAAACTGGAAATCCATATGCAACAAAATGAAACTGAATCCCTTTCTCTCGCCATGCACAAAAGTTAATTCAAAATGGATCAAGGAGCTTGATATCAAATCAGAGACACGCCGTCTGATAGAAGAAAAAGTTGGCTACGATCTACATACTGTGGGGTCGGGCTCCAAATTCCTCAATAGGACACCCATAGCACAGAAGTTAATAACTAGAATCAACAAATGGGACTTACTCAAACTAAAAAGTTTTTTCTCAGCAAAAGATACAATAAGAGAGGTAAATAGAGAGCCTACATCCTGGGAACAAATCTTTACTCCTCACACTTCAGATAGAGCCCTAATATCCAGAGTATACAAAGAACTCCAAAAATTAGACAATAAGAGAACAAACAACCCAATCAACAAATGGGCCAAGGACCTGAACAGACACTTCTCAGAGGAGGACATACAATCAATCAACAAGTACATGAAAAAATGCTCACCATCTCTAGCAGTCAGAGAAATGCAAATCAAAACCACCCTAAGATACCATCTCACTCCAGTTAGATTGGCAGCCATTATGAAGTCAAACAACAACAAGTGCTGGCGAGGATGTGGGGAAAAGGGTACACTTGTACATTGCTGGTGGGACTGCAAATTGGTGCAGCCAATTTGGAAAGCAGTATGGAGATTTCTTGGAAAGCTGGGAATGGAGCCACCATTTGACCCAGCTATTCCCCTTCTCGGTCTATTCCCTAAAGACCTAAAACAGAGCATGCTACAGGGACACTGCTACATCGATGTTCATAGCAGCACAATTCACAATAGCTAGACTGTGGAACCAACCTAGATGCCCTTCAATGGATGAATGGATAAAAAAAATGTGGCATTTATACACAATGGAGTATTACTCTGCATTAAAAAATGACAAAATCATAAAATTTACAGGGAAATGGATGGCATTAGAATAGATTATGCTAAGTGAAGCTAGCCAATCCCTAAAAAACAAATGCCAAATGTCTTCTTTGATATAAGGAGAGTAACTAAGAACAGAGTAGGGTCGAAGAGCATGAGAAGAAGATTAACATTAAACAGGGATGAGAGGTGGGAGGGAAAGGGAGAGAGAAGGGAAAATGCATGGAAATGGAAGGAGACCCTCAGAGTTATACAAAAGTACATACAAGAGGAAGTGAGGGGAAGGGGAAAAATAATATAAGGGGGACAAACGATTGTCAGTAGAGGGAGCAGAGAGAGAAGAGGGGAGGGGAGGGGAGGGGAGGGGAGGGGGGATAGTAGAGGATAGGAAAGGCAGCAGAATACAACAGACACTAGTATGGCAATATGTAAATCAATGGATGTGTAACTGATGTGATTCTGCAATCTGTATATGGGGTAAAAATGGGAGCTCATAACCCACTTGAATCAAATTGTGAAATATGATATATCAAGAACTATGTAATGTTTTGAACAGCCAACAATAAAAAATTTAAAAAAAAAAAGAAAACACCAAGGAAAAAAAAAAAGAAAGAAACTAATGAGATTTCTACATTATTTCTGAAACTAAATCTCTTGGATCAGTTCCTTTCTGACTCTTCCACAGTAACACTTTCTTCTTCTTCTTCTTTTTTTTTTTTTTTGTGTGTGTGTATTATTGGGGATCGAACATGGTGCTCTAATACTGAGCTACACCTCCAGTCCTTTTTCTATGAGAAGAGAAGGTCTGAGTTGCTAAGGCTGGCCTCAAACTTGCAATCTTCCTGCCTCAGACTCCCAAGTAGCTAGGATTACAGTCGTGCCGACTCCACAGTAACATAATGAAAGCAAATTTCAAGTACCATAGGTATGAATTGATCAAAATGCATCTTTTTATGGTCTGAGCAACTGAACTTGGGAAAATATGCCCCACAATACTTAGCCATTTATACATCTACTGTTCACATCCACTAGAGTCATGGTATTCCAGTAGCACAATGACTACATATTATATAAAATTATGATTACATGCTATTAACCACTGGGTTCTCCACCAGGACTAACAATTGAATTCAAGTTATATCAAAAGTGAATGGAGCTAGGCATGATGGTGCATGCCTGTAATCTCAGCAGCTTGGGAGGCTGAGACAGGAGGATAATGGGTCATAGCCAGCCTCAGCAACAGCAAGGCACTAAGCAACACAGTGAAACCCTGACTATAAATAAAATACAAAACAGGGCTGGGGACGTGGCTCAGGGATTGAGTGTCCCCAAGTTCAATCCCCAATACCCATCCCTCCAAAAAAAAAGTGAATGGAGGCTGGGTGTGGTGGCACACACCTGAAATCTCAGTGCCTCAGGAGGTCAAAGCAGCCTCAGCAACTTAGCAAGGCCCTTAGCAACTTAGTGAGACCCTATCTCAAAATAAAACATTAGGGGGAAAAAAAAAAAAGGGTGACGATATGGCTTAGTGGTTAAGAGCCTCAGGGTTTAATCTCTGGTACCCCTCACCAAAAAAAAAAAAAAAAAAAAAAGTGAATGGAGATTAAACTGATTCATACCATTTCAGCTCTTAAACAGATTGGTTTATACCTAGCTTAGTTACTGTTTCAACACAGGCAAGTATACATCCCAAAGAGTAATTGGCCAGGTAAAGTCCAAGTTTGAAGTAAGTTTCTACAGTCCAGGTTTATATTAAATAGTACTACAAGTCCAAACCATATTTTGTGCAGATGAAATATTAATGGTTATTATGGTTTAAATTATAAAAACATTTGGTATTTTTGTCCAAAACCAACAGAAACCTTTTTTATTCGGTGTGGTCTCAATTTGACAGAGAGGGCTCTAAGTCACTCAGGCCTGGCAATAACAAACACCTGGAAAATATTTAACATGTAAGATGTATGATTTGGTCAAAACTTCCAAGTATATAAGCTCAGAGAACCATCATGATCCTGCTGAAAGTAAACTGAAATTCCCGTGTTTAAGCCATTTGTGTTGTGGCTGAACCATGGTATCAGAGTTTGCTTCTAACAGGAATGTTTTGTTCTGTAGTTAAGAGACTCTTTTCCTCCCATACAACCTGCTACTCTGGATATTGCTGATGACAAATGAAACGAGGTATGTGAATATATTCATATGATCTTTCCAACAATCAGGAAAACTCCAAGGAAATCACTGATTGAAAAATTAGAAGCTTGAAGATTCCTTCCCTGTTCATAAAACCCTTAGGCTAAAAAAGTTTGGAAAGCATAAATATAAATGTGCAAGATCCTCCAATTTTTCATCTATTATACAAATAAAATAAATAAGTAACTATAGGCACTTTTGTTTTCTGACTAGAGCTGTGGATGCTGAAGTAAGGCTGGGCTTTAGAAATCAAATCAAATGTTCAGCCCAAGAAAGCCTGGGTTAAGTTGCTTACCCTGTACACACTGCAGAAAGTAAAATTCCAGGGAATCCCTATTATTAACTGTCTTCTATATAATTCCAATCACTTAATTTCTTCAAAGAACTTAATGTGGTACCTTGCAACTTATTTTGAGACTCTAAGTAGTAGTTTTGAGAACTTCGGCCACCACTGCTTATTTCTGTATTGGAGTTTCAACAAAAGGTCTATCTAGGTGACTTATAGAAAAAGTGGAATGCTCTGTGTTGTGCATTTTTTTTTTAATTTTTTTTTTATTGGTTGTTCAAAACATTATAAAGCTATTGACATATCATATTTCATACATTAGATTGAAGTTGGTTATGAACTCCCAATTTGTGCATTTTTTTTTTACAATACAGTTGCAGAAGAGAGTTCTAATTCCCCCCACTATTTTTTCCCCCTTTTTGAATGTTTTCATTAAGCAAATATTTACCAGTATCTACATGTCAGGCATAGTTTTGATGCCAGGAATAGGTGAACAAGATGCTACCCTTTGTGGGGCATGGTGGTACACACCTGTAATTCTAGTGGCTCGGGAGGCTGAGGTGGGAGGCTGAGGTAGGAAGAGCAAGTTCAAACCCAGCCTCAGTAAAAGCAAGGTGCTGAGCAACTCAGTGAGACCCTGTCAAGTGCCCCTGAATTTAATCCCTAGTACCCGCCCCCCCCCAAAAAAAACCCAAATGCTACTCTTTGATAAGTTATCATTGTACTTAGGGGAAGACAGAAAATAGACACGTTAACTAATAAGTTATTTCACATATAGTAATAAAAAGGGAAGAACACAGGAAATAACAATGAAACATTGGGGCAGGTGAGGGTGAAAAGAGAGAATGTACAGCGATTTGGATGGGGGATCAGGAAAGTTCTCTCTTGGTTGACACTATTTTTAACTAACATTAGAATAATAAAAAAGAGCCAGTCACAGGGAAAACCAAATGAAGCACAGATCAATTACGGAATTCATGAAGCAGAAGCACTCCTGGCAAGTCCTAAGAACAGTAACCACTCTAACCCATAAAAGTATTCCTAAGGTGATTCTATTGATTTTTATAATCAAAACAATGACTACCCTACATAATGTCTTATGTCCAGCAATGTTGGATTGGTCCTCAATAACACCAAGATTCTCTTTAAAACTGTGCATAAAACATGCATTAATATAAAAGCAATTCATAAAAACAACCATGCATGAAACACACTGTCCAGAACATCCAGGATCATTTGAAATTGGAGCTGGGCTCTCCACCTGAGAGAATTGTCCATTTACCCAGTTAACTAATACAACAAAACAGCACAGGAAGTCAGTCCAGCTTCCCACAATGGCCCAGAGGGAATCACAGGTAAGTGCCCCATCCACCTTCCCACAGCCCATCCATGACTGGTTCCAGCTATACACTTACTCCTTCAGTCACTGCGCCTTGATTGTCTTGTCCATCTTCATCATCATCTTCATCATCTGCTTCTCCTTTCTGAACAAACTCATTTCTTGTTCGAAGATACAAATCCCAGAGTTTGCAAGCAGCTTTATATTCAGGAGAATCCGGCTGTACATTAGCAAAGAGGGAAAAAACAAAATCACTTTAGTATTTTACTATAAATCAATTGCTACCTTTAAAACATCTTGTACCAGCAGAGGCTAGTATTTTAAGGCACAACTTTGAAAACTCTATAATCACACATTTTAAAATTCTTATGATTAGAAAATATGAGAGGGCTGGGGATGTGGCTCAAGCGGTAGTGCTCTCGCCTGGCATGTGTGCGGCCCGGGGTTCTATCCTCAGCACCACATACAAAGATATCGTGTCCGCCGAAAAACTAAAAAATAAATAATAAAAAATTCTCTCTCTCTCTCTCTCAAAAAAAAAAAAAAAAAAAAGAACTGTATGAGCTTCCTTTAAAAAAAAAAAAGAAAAGAAAATATGAGGGCCTCAATCCCTCTTCTGAGAAATTAAGTGTATGGCTATATGGGTTTGTGAATAACTAAAAATTCTTGAATTCTACGGTTTAAAGAGAATGTATAAATTACATCTCATTCAAAAATATAGACTGATAAATTTGATTACATTAAAATAAAAAAACTTCTGTTCACCAGAAGATACTATGAAAATTAGGACCTGGGGGTGTAGCTCAGTGGGAAATTGCATAGGGTTCAATCCCCTACAACCCAAGAGAAAAATGGGCAAAAGACTTGAGCAGATACTTTTAAAAGGAACAAGAATGCCTCATAATCATTAGTGTTCAGTCTCTACTAATAAGAGAAGTATGAATTCAACCATAAAGAGAAAGCACTACTCAACGCCAGACTGGTAATATTAAAAAGCTAGGGAATTACCAAACTGAATAGTTTCCAAATTTGATGCTTTCTTACCTTATAATAGGCCTTTGCGTTGTTAAAAAGCAGTTGGAAGTCAGCAGTCAGCAGATTAACATCATCATACTCTTCCATTTTTAGTTTCTGTTGGATTTTCATCAAGTCAATGGGTTGAGAAACCACTTCATAATAGTCTGGTTGATTTCTGTTATAATTTAAATTTTTTTAATACTATTAATCCAAAAGTATACAAAAAATATATTTCAAAACTATCTGTAGTAACTTCCAACATTCTAAATGACAGACCAAATTAGAATCTGACATCAATCTCATTCCCATTATTAGAATAAAAGGGGAATAACAAAAGCAAGATGCAGGTATGCTCCTTTTTAAATATATTATTAATATAAAAACCTACAGTAATGTCCATGATGAATTTTTATACAATATTCATTATAAATGAAATATCTAAGGTTTAGGGTTCCAGCCCTAAACCCATGTAAATGGTATTTTCTTATAACCTTTCATGGTGTTTCAAAGTAGCTGGGAAAAGACACATTTCAAAACTCTCTACACTTAAAAAAAGGCTTATTTTTCTCTGGTTAGTGACCACAAAATTTTTTCTTGTCAATAACTAACAAGTATCTGATACCTATGTTGCTTTAATATCAACCACTTAAGTTACAAAGGAGAAAGTTGGCTTAAGGATAAAAGGATAGTAAGATCCATCTAAACATGACCAGAATGTTTTTTTAAAAAAAAGGTATGAGAATAATAACCCCAAAATTCAGGATTATGTATATACTGGACAGCAGGGATAGTGAGGGACACAAAGGAATTTCAAAAGCAATTATGATGGTAAATCCCAAGGTAATTTCTCAGATTTAGATTCATGGATGTTTATTATTACTTCTTGATTTTTTCCATAATGTGTTTCATAAAACAAGTAAACTTTCTGAAAAATAATTTGGTTTTCTCAATTTTTCCCACAGGGCTAGGATGTAACTCAGGGATAGAGCATTTGTCTAGCATATATAAGGCCCTGGGTTTAATCCCCAGTGCTGGTTAAAAAAAATTCTTCCACAGGGGTATTTAGCTCCTTTCTAGAAATGTTAAGAGATGAGCTGTAACATACAAAGAATTTCATGATCATTGAAGCTTTAATCTCTCATGGGACCTTGTTTAACATGTTATAATCCTTTTTGAAAAAATATTTTTAGTTATAGATGGATACAATACCATTTTTCTATTTATTTCATTTATTTTTTTAATATTTATTTTAGTTTTAGGTGGATACAATATCTTTATTTTATTTTTATGTGGTGCTGAGGAGTGAACCCAGTGCCTCATGCATGCTAGGCAAGCACTCTACCACTGAGCCACAACCCCAGCCCCCTATTTATTTTCTCACTAAGTTGATGAGGCTGTTCTGAACTTGCAATCATCTTGTCTCAGCCTTCCAAGTCACTGAGATTACGGTGTGCGCCACCATACCTGGCTTAGGCTTCTATTTTCTATGTCCTTCTGACAAGTTCTCATCACCCTATGAGCACTTGCGTATTTCCTGGCACAATATAATGTTCCAGGTTCATTTTGCACTTCCTCTGCCCCATCCCCTGGAAATCAACTGTTTTCCCCAGGGAACTCTGATTCCTATCAATGATACATAGCATTTAAAAAACAAATCTGAGGACTAGGTTGTACTAACTTGTTCATTGCTATTGGGGTGTTGCTGCTTCCAAGTTGTCTCATGACACGGAGCTTGGGAAAACACACACACTTATTTACATATTTTGGAACCCATGAATTCATACCAATAGGAACAATTCCAATCCAACTCAGAATTCATTCCAACTACAATTAATGTTTAAACCAGAATACTGAGAAACAGTGGCCCTGATGTGCAGAGCCTGCTCAAGTCCATTTTCCCTTCTAGGATGATACTGCATTCTTAGCTGCTGTATGGCTACTAAAGACAATAGCCTTCAGCTTCACTACAGCTAGGTTCTGACAAATATAAGAACTGAAGTCTGCCAGATTTGGTAGTACACACCTGTAATCCCAGCAACCTGGGAGGCTGAGGCAGGAGGATTACAAGTGTGAAGCCAGCCTCAGCAACTCAGCAAGGTCCTGTCTCAAAAACTAAAAAGGAATGGGGATATGACTCAGTGGTAAAGCATCCCTGGATTCAATCCCAGTACTAAAAACAAACAAACAACAACAAAACCCCAAAGTATGCCACATTCTTATTAGACCACACAGAAAAGGGAGATACCCCAGAACAGCAGAACAAAGAAATAGTACTTGAGACCTTAAGACTTCAGAGAAGACTTGTACACAAGAAATTCCTTTTGTTTCAACTTTGTTAAATTGAATGTACAAGTAACCTAATATGCTAACCAACACTAAGTCTCAAAAAGAGAGTCACAAATTATGTACCCTTAAACAATTAATTAATTAATTATTTAATCTCCCATTAATGTCCGAGAGAGCATGCATTCCAGAGACACCCAAAGCACTAGCCTGCTGGTTGAGAGCAGGCAGCAGCCAGGAGTGGTGATGCACGCCTATAATCCCAGCGACTAGGAGGCTGAGGCAGGAGGATTACAAGTTCAAGACCAGTCTCAGCAACTTAGCAAGGCCCTGAATTACTTAGCAAGAACCTAAGTAGCAACTCGAGAGCCCATTGACACAAGAATAAACAAAATGTGATATTCATACACAATGGACTATTAGTAGGTCTTAAAAAGAAAGGAAACCTATTACATGCTACAGTGTAGATGAATAGTCTTGAAGGCCTTATGCTAAATGAAATAAGCTAATTATAAAAAATACAAACACTGTATGATTCTACTCATAGAAGTATCTAAAGTAGTTAAAATCACACAAACAGAAAGCAGAATGGCGGTTGTCAAGGAGCTGAAAGGTAGGAGAAATGGGAAATTGTTTAACTGGTATAACGTTTTAGTTTGGGAATATGAAACAATTTTTGGAGGCTGTTGCAGAATAATGTTAATATACTTGACCCTTAGTATGTACTTAAAAATAGTGAAGACTATAAATTTTATATTATGTTTTTTACTAAAATTGAAAAGCCTTACTATATCCTGACAACTAGGACTAAGAATGGACTCCCATATCTTTTAAGCCATTCCTTCCAAAGGAAAACTCAATCATCAAACAACTTTAAACATGGACCCTCCAACAAATCCTCCCAGTGTACTGATGTACTTCCAACTCACCTTCGCTTTGGTGCCCTAATGAAGAGCTCACAGAGGAGTCTGCCCTGATCATCCTTATAGTCTCGGATGGTGTTGTAGAGTTCATGGCAAACAGCAATCTACATGTACAAAGAGGAAACAAATTACCAAAAAATAAATCAATTACTCTTCAACAAAAACACACCCACAAAGGCAAATAGAGAAGAGGAAGGATAAATCCCCAAATTATCAGATGAGAACCCAAAGGTCTTATATGCCACGGTTGAGTGAAGCTCACCAGTCTCCTCCTACCTGACCATTTTCATTTTTTCTCTTCCTTTCTTCATGTACTAGGGATTGAACCCAGGGACTTGTTGCATGTTAGGCAAGCACTCTACCATTGAAGTACATGTGCAGCCCTTTTTAAAATGTTTATTTTGAGATAGGGTCTCACCAAGTTGCCCAGGATGGCCTCAAACATGCAATCTTCCTGCCTCAGCCTCCAAAGTAGCTGGAATTATAGGTGTGTGCCACTGCACACAGCACTCCTTTCCATCTCTCTGTAATGACAACATATCAAACCTATCCCTGGTCCTGCCACTCTGCAGGATTGGTACCTGCTCATCATAGAGAATCCTCCAGAAGATTCGGGCCAAAACAACTCCAACCACCCAAACATTTCTTCTTAGTATTTATCACTACTATGGGCATTTACTTGTTTACTTGCAGAACAATGTTAATATGTAAATTCTGCTTCTCCTATATTGAAAGCTAACTAAGCTCTACATGAAAAATGGGCTTGCCTCACACAAAAAAGCTATAGCCCAATTACCAGAACAGTACCCATCACATAGCAAGCATTCATTTTATTAAATGACATAATGATACTCAATGTTTCACAATACTAAATAATATAATTACCAATGAACTTGTGGCTAAACAAATACTTTTCATAAGAGAAAAGTTAAAAGATGAAGCCAGAGGAAAGAAGCAGAGAGGAATCTGAACTATTTCACCATAAAAGAAAGAGTAAGGAAATCAGGTAGAAACTGTGTGACCCAAGTTACTCACAGGATCTACAGTTGGAAGATTAGAAAGTCTCCTCCTTTTCCTGCTTGGGCCTGGTGTAGACACAGAATGATGCCCGTCATCAAAGTCCCCGCTGACACTGCTGGAAGGGGAAGTAGCTCTTCGTCTCTTGGAACCCATGGAATCCAACTTCTTCTGTAAGAAATAATTTCCATGTTCTTACATTTAAATTTTGACTCTGCCGACAAGCCCCTCAACAGGCTGCCTACTATCAAATTACTGCTTCATCTAAAAGGATATTTTAACTGAGGCAAAGGAGTTTAATTAGCTATAAGCTCTTTTTCATTTTTTTTAATTCAAGTCCTGGACTTCACCGTTTCAGCCTCTTTACTTACCAGAATGCTACACTTTAAACTTTGATGAAAAAATTCAACAGAAGTATACTCATTTGTATATCACCCATTCTGAATGACTCAACCACTTCTGGCCCCAGATTTACTCTGGACTGGAGTTTTCCAATCCACCACATAGAGGTACAACAGTGTACTAGAGGTACTGATCCCTGAGCCTCTGAGGCAGCTGGGTAGATCTGGGGTACAGAGGCCCCAATGTCATCCCTGCTGGAGGCTACTTATGATTATTCTCCAAATGGGCCACAATGTGGAGAAGACTAGAAAGTAGTGCCTAAGGCAAATGAATAGTATAAAAAAGGCGGGGGGAGAAAGTAAGGGAGAGAAGACAATTATCTTTCAAGCATTGCAGATGTATTCAGAAATTAATAACCCAGAAAATGAATTTTTCCCATTTGTTACAGCAGGACCCACAAGATATACCCCTGCTAATGCTGTTAACGTTACTTGTCATTCCTGAAGTAGCAAAACTGTGCTGTGAAACCCTTCTAGTAATCCAGACTAACCTCCCTTTCAATTATATGACATATTCTAAGCCTCAAAATTTGAAATCAAAGCTTTATTCTCATTAAATTATCTGGAAAAGCACCTCATACATGAGCTTTTAAATCCTGCTTGAAGGTTCAGAAACACATAAATATTTACTCTCAGTTTCTGACCAGCTGCTAAGAAACTAATCTTAACACAACCTTACAAATATGTTAATTTGACTATAACATAAGAAATACAACCATTAAAATGATCTGATATTGATACACGGAAAGGTTATCCATCCAAGAAAGTTCTACAATGCTTATACAATTTAGCAACAGTATCTAACAGCACATTATGATTTCAAAAGTCTTTTACTAAAGCTAAAAGAAAAAAAGATCCCAGTTTTACTCATTAACCTTCCATTTCAGGAAACCATGAATGAATAGGAACCACAGAGCACTGGCTGCCAGTAGTATGGAGAGAGAAGCCTGGGATCTTCCAGAAATAGAAAATAGAGTAAAACAAAAAATCCTGGTAAGCAACAGAGACAAATAGAGTCTCATTTCTTCCTCTAAAGAAGTTCTCCTGGTATTTAAAACAGAACCTACTGTGATGATATTCCTTCCTCTAGGCTTTTGTCTATTATATGGGATATCAGAGTTTGAAGTTGGCTAAAAGTGGCTAAAACCTCCCAAAAGCTTAGGCCAAGAAAAATCAAGTTGTGTTTGATTTTTGTTCATTTTATAAAAGGCTGATAAACTGGCCTCAGTTCTTTTAAGTAGAAAAAATTAAGAACCAATCCTTTGTAAATAAGCTATGACAAGGACACAGGTGAATTTCATGAACACAGGAGGGACTCTTTTTGGAAAGGATTTAAGAAAGGTGGAAGGGAAAAGGCAAGGAACAAAAGGAAAAGGGTTTAGATGATCAGTAATTTACCAGCTTTACCAGAGCACAACCAGCGCCTCGAAAAGCCAGTCTCCTCATTATGTCTGAAGGCCAACTGAAGCCAGTGAGAGAAGGCAGGGCTTTAGAAGTGCTGATTCAGTGTTAGTATATTCAAAACTGAAAAAGAATAAGGCAGAGAAAGGGGAAATAGAAAAGAAGGGTCAGAAAAAGTAAAAATGAGTACATAGAAAACATTCAAATAGAACTGCTATAGAAAGATAGAGAAAACAGGCATATCAGTTGTCTGACACCTATCAAACTGCTGCAAAGGCTCAGGCACCAACAGTACCTGACATATCTTCCATCTTAAAACCAAATGCTTTCATATACTGAAAGATGTCTCACTGAGACTCCCCTTTACTCACATGGAACGACTGTCAATTCCAGGAATGAAGCATGTCTGCCCAACTGCCCCCTAGTCAATAAGAGCAGAGTTCAATCACAGAGCTGGAATGGAGAGTGAACACATGTGGGAGGCTCACATGTGACACCAAGTGTTGGTAAGCTGGAACAAACCCAGAATGGCTCATGTGAGCAGAATCTAGAAAAATGCCCCACTGTCCCAAAATTCAGAGAAAGACAAATTTTTCCTGAAAGTCCTATCTGTATTGGAAAGACATCACATGAATTTAGTCTTCAACTATTTTGATAGTTCACAATTACTTTTATAAATTATCCATTGAGATCAAATGACCAAAAAAAAAAAAAAAAAAGTAATTACCAATGTATGTAGTTTAGATAATGCAATATCCAAAAATCCTTGAATCATTATTTGGTAAGATACGAAAATGGCAACTGAAAGATAATTTAAAAACTTCTTTTAATCCAAAGAGTAATTTGGAAGTTTGGTAACAAAGGCAATGTTCTAAGGTGGAAAAAGTAACAGGACCTATGCTGAAAGATTAGGTGTCTCAGATCTTCCACCTCTAATTATGTTTGATATTGCCTGAGTCACAACCTTTCAGATCTGTTTCTTCACTCCTAATGTGAGAACAGTAAAATATATATGTGTGTGTATATATATATGTACATATATGAATTATTAAGACCATATATACATGAAATCACCTTGACACTTCAAAGCTTAACTCTAGGATTACGGAGTCTGCAGGCACAAGAGCAGGGTCTCCTTTATTTTTGTAATCCTGTCCTGGAGAATAGCATTGGGTACAGGCTGGACGCTCAATGTACCTTTTTAATAAAAGTATTTAAAGTGGAGCTTAAGCAGGACCTTTAAAATTAAAGTTTATTTGAATAGTTTCAAAAGGTCTGTAAGCATTCCTTCAGAAATTCTTTTTTCATGAACAGGAAAGAAAGAGATTCTGAAGTTAATTCCAGGTTTTAAGATGGCCTTGTTTAAGTTACAAGTCCAAAAGTTTTACTACCAATGATAATTTATAGTGGGCAGTAAAGACTATAATGTACACCTGGGAAAATATTAACTCAGTATAATCAAAAAGTATATTTGATAGTTTATAAGACTCTCAGTATTCTTCTGTGCTTCTAGTGATATTTAGGACTGTAATACATGCCTAAAACAAAATCTTGAAAAACAAAATACTCAGGTAAAAACCCAAAACACCTTCAATTCTTCTACTCAGAGAAAAACCACCCTTCTATTGGCATTCAGAGCTTTTTGTATTTATCTATGACTTAGTAACCTTTAAAAAAAAAAAGTGTTAACAAACCATATAAATTATTTTGTAGCCTGTGTTTTAACTTAGAATAGATTCTTCAAAGTCAACATTCTTCTTTGTGATATTTGATGGCTTGATCACAGCTATTGTATAAACAAACTACAATTTGTTTACCTTGCAGACTTTGGTAAAGTATTCTTATTTGTGGTATACTCCTAAAGCCAAACAAAGTGGTGAAGGCCCTTCCATTCACCCACACATATTTGTAACTGTTTTAAGAAGTTCTAAAACACTTCTTAAAAAGATACTTTCCAATCTTCCATTTTCTCTTAAATTCAAAATATGGTCGATGTGTAAACAATTCCTAAAGCAAAAATTATACTCCTCTGTCCAATTTACTTCCAAATCATATTTCAGAAAAAGATTACAACTAAATAAAAAAAAATATCTAGAAACTTTTTTTGTGGAGTCTGGATTAAAATGTTTTGCCCCAACATATGCTTTTATAGTTGAGAATTTCTACATCCACTCTAGTATGTATTATTCCTCATTTGTAAAGCCAATGTTATTTTTTATAATAAAAGACTATGCTTCCCTTTCAGAAAGTAATGAAAACTCTGAGATGAAAAAATATTTTAAAACCAGCAAATAGTTTACAAAACCTCGATTCTTTCTGGTGTTGCAGATGAGAAGCTCAAATATCTGGCCTTACTATAAAAATAAGTCCCACTAATAAAAGTACACGGTTTTGAACAATTATACGACAAGAAAAGTCATTAGAAGAGTTTGTGTCGAACAGTCAAGACACAACAAAAAAAAGAAGGCCCTGAAAGGCGGAGAAAATGAAGGACTTTCCCGACCTGTCACTCGTACCGGGGACTAAGGGAAACGTTGACAGCTTTGAAGCTGCCTGGCGACGAGCGGGAAAGAGGGGCGCGGGGAATTTCCGGGCAGTGGCGCGCCTTTGTCCCGGCCGGCAGGTGCGGCAAGGCTCCGGGGCCCTTCCCGAGGCCCGCCGCCGCGCCGCGCCCCGCCCCGCCCCGCCCGCGCCCGGGTCGACCGGCGCGTCTCTACGGCCGGGGCGGGGCCTCCACCGCGGCTCCCGCCCGCCCGGGCCCACACAAAGGCCCGGCGGCTGGCCGAGGGGAAACGGCCCCGCCCGTCCCAGGCCCGGCCTTACCCAGCCGCTCCGCCGCCTGCAGCCCCGGCCGCGGTCGCCGACCGCCGCGCCCCGCCCCGTGGCCGCCACGGCTGCTGCTATTGCTCCTTCGGCCGCGGCCGCTGCCGTCTCCGGCACCCGCCGCCCTCACTGCCCTCACCCCTCCCAGCGCTGCCGTAAAAGTAGCCCGCGGCCGCCAGACGAACCCAATTCTGCGCGACACTGCGTGCGCGCGCACGCGAAAGAACGGCGTCGCACTTTACGGCAGTAGCATGAGTGCGTGACGTTCGGCCGTGGCCTCAGTTAGCACGTGGCACTCGCGGAGTTACGTCGTTTTCTCGTGTCTCTGCGGCGGCTGCTGTTTTGACCGGCTACACTATGAAGCGGCCGAGTGAGTGGGGTCTCCAGAAGTGGGTGAAGAGGCCCCTACCTCTGGTGATCGCCGAACTCTCCAGGGCGTTCTTTTATGACTTGGTCTCTGGGGAGGTGGGGGGGGTGGACTATGGAGGCCCTGTTCCCGCGTTCCCTCGTAGAATGAGGGTTGCAAGGCCCCAGTCGATCCTGTTAACCGTGAACCCACTGTCCACAAGGAAGGCTTGGCCCGAAGGGTGGAGAAGACCAGACAAGTGTTTTCCCTTCTGCGGCTAAGAGTGGAGAGCCGCCTTCCAAACGTGCTGTTCCTCCTGCCTGTGATTGGTGGTGCTTGATCCGAAGTGGCTGTCTTTCGGGGTCTCACGTTCCTGTGTGTGACCTCATTCTAATGTCGGAAGAGTAGGTGCGGGGAATGGCTCCATTTTTTATCTATTGAATCCATTCAGTGGGATTTGAAAATGGCATGTACGCTTGTATTGATTCCCCACATAATTATTAAATGTAGGTATAACTAACGTCTTAACAGAAAAAAAGACATGCCAGCATAGTCTATTCAACAAAAACTAAATATACTGATCATTTGTGGCTATTTCATTTTAAATTTTTTGTTGTTTTTTGTAGAGTTGAAGAAAGCAAGTAAACGCATGACTTGTCATAAGCGGTATAAAATCCAAAAAAAGGTAAGAAGTGTTTTTCTTGGGACAGGTGTACTAAATGTATTGTAAATCTGATTTTTGCCCCATCTTCAGTTAGGAAGACTGGATTAAATATTTAGAAATTCAGATATTCTATAGATACAAACTCTTATGTATAAGGAGTATAGCTATGGAAAGTACAATAATTTGGTAATAAGATCTGTAAACATGATAATAATCCTTACAAACAACCTCCTTGTGACATTTTCTTGCTGTTTTAAACATATATTTGTTGTTTATATGATTCCAATTAAACCATTTCTTTAGGACATTTTTAAACTGAGCTGCAGCCAGGCTGGTTTTTCACTTAAATTCTGTTCAAGTAGAAAGATTTTTTTTTATTAAATGGAATTTTTTTTTCTTAATAGGTTCGGGAGCATCATCGGAAATTGAGAAGGGAGGCTAAAAAACGGGGTCACAAAAAGCCTAGGAAAGACCCAGGAATTCCAAATAGTGCTCCTTTTAAGGAAGCTCTTCTTAGGGAAGCTGAGCTAAGGAAACAGCAGGTAAGTTATGTTAACCAAAACACTTCCAAAATAAAGAAGTGTTCCAAAATAAGTTAACAACATTAATCATCACTGTCTCACTCATTTCTCATTTCTCTTGGACACAGCTGGAAGAACTAAAACAACAGCAGAAACTTGATAGGCAGAAGGAACAAGAAAAGAAAAGAAAACTTGAAACTAATCCTGTTGGTGAGCCATCTGATGTGGAACCTGTGGAGGTAGGATTACATCTTTTTAAAAAGTAAGAAATGACAGGCTGGGGTCATAGCTCAGTGGTAGAGCACTTGCCTAGCATGTGTGAGGTACTGGGTTCTATCCTCAGCACCACATTAAAAAATAAAATAAAGGTATTGTGTTCACTCTACAATGGAAAAAAAAAAAGAAATGAGTTGCATATATACAGGTTGGTGGACCTTTTGGGAGGAAGATAACTTGAGTTCAGACAGTTTTCAGTATTTTAAAAAATTGGGGCTCGGGTTGTACCTCAGAGGAGGAGTGCTTGCCTAGCATGCGTGAGGTTCAATCCTCAGCACCACATGAATATAAAAAATAAAGGTATTGTGTTCACTTTCAACTAAAAAATAAATATTTTTGAAAATCAGGGGTTGTGGCTCAGCAGTAGAGCGCTCGCCTAGCATGTGCGAGGCCCTGGGTTTGATCCTCAGTACCACATAAAAAATAAATAAACAAAATAAAGGTATTGTGTACAATCAAAAATAAATACTGAAAAAAAAGTCAACTACACTGATCATAATCGTGGAAAATACAGGTTACAATTGCCATATATCTAATTTTGTGTCCTTTCATCCTTATTATATTCTCTAGGAATTGGAACAATGCAAAACTAAGAAAGCCAAGTTGAGCAAACAGCACCCAAAGAAGTTATATTGTCAGGAACTTAAAAAGGTACCTTAGTCTAGGTCAGTGTCAAAAAATGGTATTGATTCAAAAAATTAGACTCCTGGCACCAGCCTTATAAAGGTAACTCCAAGATCAACAGGGTGGTATATTCTAGGTGTAGTTGTTCCCAAGGCTAAAAGGGCCTATCAGACTACATAATTCAGTGTGGGTGGTGACATATTCAGAAGATGGGGGTATTTACACTTTAAAACCCATGCTGTTCAGAGGTTGCTGAGCAAGCTATATGAGAAATGATGAATGTTCTCCATTCTAAAATGAAGACATGAGCTCCAACTCTAAGCTTACCTTGTTGCCAAGTAGATAATCCCAGTAGACTCGTGATAAGGATATTCCCAAAACAAGGAGTGCATTATGATTATTTATTCCTTGACAGGTGATTGAAGCCTCAGATGTTTTGCTAGAAGTGTTGGATGCTAGAGATCCTCTTGGTTGTAGGTGTCCTCAGGTAGAAGATGCTATTGTCCAGAGTGGACATAAAAAGCTGGTACTTGTATTAAATAAATCAGGTGAGGAAAAGGGATGTCTTTGATCCTTTTTTTTTTTTTTTAACCTGCACGAGTGAGGTATGAGGAAAACATCTGAACAGTCTTGATTGTCACTGAAGACTGATAAGATCCAACTCTGACCTCAACAAAGCCAGAGCACGTGCACTCTAGTTGCCAAAGATAGCGCTCGGTGGTGGGAAGTAGGTTGTTTCTACAAGTGATAGGACTGTTTTTTCCTATTCTTTTGCTATTTGGTACTTTCATGTAAAGAACTGTTGAGATTTGGGTGCAGTGGTGCATGCCTTAATCCCAGTGACTTGGGAGGCTATGGCAGGAGGATCATGAGTTCAAAGCCAGACTTAGCAACTCAGTGAGACCCTGTCTCTAAATAAAATACAAAAAAGGGTTGGGGATGTGGCCCAGTGGTTAAGCGCCCCTTAATCCCTGGTTTTCCCCTTCAAAATGTAATGACAGTGTTCAAAATTCCTGCCACCTGCACAATGTTGAGTATTAGCTCAAAGCAAGTGAAATTTATGTGACAGATATTTAAATGAAATAATTGTCTAGGTTTGAGCAGTAGAAGGGTGAAACCAGAAAGTAGAAACCAGAACAGAGACTCTTTGAAACATAAAGAATAGGATAAAAAAAAAATCACTGTTAAGGTTAGAAACCCAGGTTGTTGTTAATTAATTGAGGGTAAATCCTGGAAATAACTGTAGGGTATAATGCAGAGGTTGACTTCAGTTCTGGAAGGTTGAGCTATACAGGAGAAACTGAAATACAGAAGTGTAGATATTAGGATGAGGGCAGCTTGCCCTTCCCTCATTTTCCATTTAAATCCTTTTGAAAAAAGGCAAACAATAGTGAAATCTATGGTTTACCCATTTAATAAATTCACCTCAACAGAATGACTAAATTGAAGTATATGTCATATTTGTAATTCCTATCAGATCTAATACCAAGGGACAATTTGGAGAGCTGGCTAAATTATTTGAAGAAAGAATTGCCAACAGTGGTGTTTAAAGCCTCAACATACCTGAAGGACAAAGGGAAGATAACCAAGGTACACTTTACTATTAGTGGTGAGAAGTGTGGTTCTTTCAGATTTTCAATGGTTGAAATATGATGAGTATGCAAAATGTTGATTTTAAAAAATGAAAGATAATAAGATCCAACTCTGACTTCATCCAGAGATATCTGAAAGGCAATTGTCTAGTGATGCCAGATTTCTTGGGTTTTATCTATTGTCAGAATAATTAAACTAATGTGTTTTTAATTTTAACATGTCAAGATGAAGAAGAAAGTTGTTCCACTCAAACGTAAAGTGTGCTTTGGCAAAGAATGCCTCTTGAAACTTCTTGGAGGTTTTCAGGAGACTTATGGCAGAGCTATTCACGTTGGAGTAATTGGTGAGTTTCAATTCACCACATTCTACCTTTTTTCTTGAGTCAAGAACTACTTAGCAGGTCAATATGCTTGTAATCCTCAGCAGCTCAGGAAGATAGGAGAGTTCAAAGCCAGTCTCAGGAATTTAGCAAGGTGCTAAGCAACTCAGTGAAACTCTGTCTCTAAGTAAAATACAAAATAGGGCAGGGGGTGTGGCTCAGTGGTCTAGTGCCCCTGAGTTCAATCAAATTTCAAGATCTACTTAGCTGATATTGTTAGAACAGGGTTATGAAATAGTTTGCTCAAAAATTAGCTCTTGCCCCATTTACCTCCACACAAAAGAAAAACTTACATAATTGCTCCTAAGTTCAGTTCACTGTAGTAAGTTGGTTCATGGTAGATATGGATGTAGCTCAGTGGTAAGAGCACTTGTTTTTCATGTGCAAGGCCTTGTGTTCTATACTTAGCACTGCAAATGAATACATACATACAGGCATACTCCTTCTTTATTTGCATTAATAGTATTTTCCTGCCCTCTTATTACTTCTGTAAGGAATGAAGGAGCTAATTATTGGTCCTAGTGTTGCGAAGACACTGAGATCCAACTCTTGCTCTAAACATCAGGCAAACATAAAATTGTGCAGAGGAAATTTCATAATGATCAGTCCATACTGTGTTTTATATTTGTGAATTATTTATTTATAGGTTTCCCAAATGTAGGGAAGAGCAGCATCATTAACAGCTTAAAAAAAGAGCGGATATGTAATGTTGGTGTTTCCATGGGTCTTACAAGGTAAATTATGGTATTCTATAACAAAGAATTTTTCTTATAGATGAGTAAATATGATTTTATTTTATTATCCCGAGGATGGTAATTTCCTGTTCTTTAAAACTTTCAGTAAAAAGAAGAGGGTGGAACCAGCGGTGTGCTTGGGGAAGAATTGATTGGAGTGGGGTGGCTGCCTGCAATATAGTTTTAAAGACAAATTAAGCAACTAATTTGAGAGAGAAAAGAGCCGCCTCGGAGAAAGTGATGTTTGCACCTGGCTTTGGGAAATGAGAGACAGGTTGCCAGGTAGAAAAAAATAACAGTATTTAGGGTAGAGGAAATACTTATGTGTTTAGGTAGGTATATGAACTACAACATGTAGTTCTTTTCTCTAAAAAGAAATGAATATACTGTTAGGCTTTCAGGTAAACATGAAGCAAATGATGATAAATTGGATCTGACTCACTGTGTTGAGTTTGTTCAATCCAACCCTGAGCTTCGTGTTCTCTGTTGCCCTCCAGATATAACCTGTGCCCCTGGTGATTCTATTTCTTTTCTTTCAGGAACATGCAGATTGTTCCCTTGGACAAACAGATCACAATCATAGATAGTCCAAGTTTGATTGTGTCACCACTTAACTCCTTAACTGCACTTGCTCTGCGGAGTCCAGCAAGTATTGAAACAGTAAAACCAATGGAGGCTGCCAGTGCCATCCTGTCCCAGGCTGATGCTCGACAGGTAAAGAACTCCTTCCCTTTCTGTTGAGCTCCTCATCACCATTTTGTAGTATAAGCATTTTAAATAGATTTTTTTTTTCATTTACTCAGTCAAATGAAATTTCCTATTTTGCTTTAAGGTTGTACTGCATTATACTGTCCCAGACTATAAGAATTCTCTGGAATTGTTTACTAAACTTGCTCAGAGGAGAGGTCTGCACCAAAAAGGTGGAAGCCCAAATGTTGAACGTGCTGCCAGACTACTGTGGTCTGAGTGGACAGGGTAAGGATTCTATTGGCATTGTTTGTTTGGGTACTAGGGATCGAACCCAGGAGCTCTCCACTGCTGAGCCACATCCATCCCCAACACATTTGTGTGGGTATGTGTGTGTGTGCCAGTAATTGAACCCAAGAACACTTAGCCACATCCCCAGCCCTTTTGTTCTGGGTTTTGTTTTTGTTTTGTTTTTTTGAGGCAGAGTCTTGCCAAAGTTGTTTAGGGCTTTGCTAAGTTGCTGAAGCTGACTTTGAACTTGGAGTCTTCCTGCCTCAGCCTCCTAAGCCACTGGATTCACCTGGCAGTAACTGTTTTTTTGATAGATCTTATTTTTAATTTCAGTGCCTTGTTAAGTTACTATTGTCATCCCCCAACTTCCTGGACTCCTCCTCCACATTTTAATGAAAGTATTGTGGCGGGCATGAAAAGGGGCTTAAATCTTGAGGAACTGGAAAAGAGCAATGCACATAGCATAGAAGGTGAGAGAGACTTTTGTTTCACTGCTTATTTTCATCTGCTTAAAGACCTTTATTAGGTCATATCTGTTTATATGGTCTTTTTTTTCCTTTACTAGCCATCAAGGGCCCTCGTTTAGCCAAGAGCATACTTTTCCAGTCTTCGGGTCTGACAAATGGAATAATAGAGGAAAAGGACATACCTGAAGAATTACCAAGACAGAGAGAAAGAAAACAGGAGGAGGGGAAGGACAATGAAGACATGGTCAGTGAGGAAGAGATTGTTGACTATGAAGAAGCTGATGTAAGTGTATTCTCTCTATGAGTCAAAGTGAGTTTTCTGGTTTGTAACAAGTGTACATTCAAAGACTACTAAATTACCTGCATCATTTCTTTATCCCATAGGAAAAGATCTCAGACATGCCTCCTATAGAAGAGAAAAGAGAGCCACCACCACCTGAGGAATCTACAGCAGGTGAGCTTGAGGCTAAGGACTTCTAACAAAGCAGCTCAAGCATAGAATTGCTTTGTAAACCTCACTTTATTTTTCTCTTTCAGGTGAATCTGCAAGCTCTTTAAACTTGGATAAAATGACTCAAGAAGATGATGCTTATGATTTTAGCACAGATTATGTGTAACAGAAACTTGTCCTTTTATAAGGATTTCCTTAACATCTTAAGCAAACTATCAAAATGTTCTGTGTATAATGTGCCAGTTTTGCCATGACAAAGTGTAAATTTTGTGAATATGTGTTATGATGTATACATTAATACAAATACAATTTTAAAAATATATAAAAAAGTCTACATTGAACTCCTCTCTTAAACAGTGAATGGATAGAAGTATTTATCTGAAAGCAAAGAAGTCTACTGAAAAATGTAGGTTTATTTACAGATTGGGCCACAGGTTTACAAAATTAAAACCAAGCAGCAGTTTTGAGCTAGCCATACCAGCTAGCTGAACTGGTTATATCAGTCTTATCAGTTCTTTCTTCTGGCCAGTCAGCACTGTAGTAAGCAAACAGTTGGTAAGACAGATGGAGACATATTTTTAGTCTATCTGGGAAGCTGACTGCCAGACAGGGCAATTTGTCATCTTTACTCAGCTGAAACATATCTTTTTCCATGGGTTGCAACAAATAGGAATTGAGGCCTACCAACTGTTACTTCCCACACTGTTACTTTCAAGGATTTCCTGAGAAATGCTTATAGTTTTAAATTCTAGTTTACTTTATGTTTGCGATCTCCATATGTCTTCGGATTAGGCTGAATTTGCCTGTTGGATCTGGAATATACCATTTTTCCCAAATATCAGTATATGAAGCAGTTCTTCCCCATGGTTTAAAGTGTCCATTCCAATGGAGTAACTTGGCAGCCTTTACAAACTGAGGTGAATACCGTTTTCCAGCACTGGAACCTTAATATTAAGAGAAAGCCAAATGATTATACCTGTCAAACGCAAGGCAATGCCATGCCAAACAACTTGAAAGAGTGTTAAGTCCAATTCTTAAAGGTGGTTCCTTCCTTGGACACTTAATCCTTTATTAGCTTAGGAGTTGGTTAATTAATTACTTACCAAGATGACGGACATTCCACATAGGATCAATGGTGGAATGCTGCTGGTAGAATACAATAAGCAAAGGTGGTGTTGTGATGCTGCCAGCCAGTGTTCTGCTGTACAATCCCTCTCTTGGTGGGAAAAATAACAAATGTCAGTGAAATACTGACCAACTTCTGTTACTCAAAATTCTCAGGGTTGAAATAAGTTTTTGACTAGGTCAGTTATATACTTACTCAACATTGAGTTTCATCCATTTTTCCAACTGGTTGGTTATATTCTGTCGTTTCCATTCTGTCAGGTTTGCAACGAAAACTCCGGGATTAAATGAGCAGGTACTGGCTTTCATGGAAAGTTTACGGATTCTTTCCTTTTTATAGTCAAGATAGCCAATGTAATTGTACTAAAAACAAATGGAATACATACTCTTGCTGCTTCAAACAGAAAAAGATTAATAATTTTATAGCCAGTTAAGAAAACAGCTTGTTAAACTAAGACTTCTAAGATAATTAGCCAATAAAAGTGAGGTTGAGGTTCTAAGGCAATGGGATCTAGATACTGATATTTCACCAGATATTCAAAGAGAATTGTGTTGTCAGGTCTATAAATCTAGAAAAGAACGCTTGAGTTGGGGTTGAAATAATTGGGGAATGTAAACAATGGAAAAGGATGAGCTCCTTCCTTTTTAAACCTTTATGGAGGGGGGGGGATTTACTTGGTTCCCTGCTCCACGGATGACAACTTTAGTAGAGGTTGAATCACAATCTTCTGAGAATGCAGCTGCATGTCCTGGTTTCAGTGGTGTATTGTACAGGGCAAGAATATCACCTGAAATGGATATGGTGTTAAGATTAACATTTCTGGTTGCCTTGGGATTCCCTGTTCCACTTCCCCCTATGGTGACCTTTTATTAAAAATAATAATAATAATATACATTGTTTAATTGTAGATGGACACAATACCTTTATTGATGTAGTGCTGAGTATCAAACCCAGTACCTCACACATCCTAGGCAAGTGCTTTACTACTGAGTCCCAGCCCTAGCCCCAAAAGACCATAAATAAGACAAACACTACAGCCCACAATCTGGAGAAAAGCTCTCATGGTAACATTATTTGGTACCTTGCACAATTACATCATCATCCATGTAAATGGCCTTCTTTGCACTGGGAATGAAAATTGGCAAGTAGAACCTTGCAAAGGTTAGCTGAAAAAGGAAAGAAGTGTTGGCATAGGGTAGTGCCTATGCTTTGCTTCTTTTTTGGGGGGGGGAGTACTATAGATGGAAACCAGGGGCATTCTACCACTGAGCTACATCCTCAGCCCTTTTGAGACAGGGCTGCCTTGGCCTCCCAAATCGCTGGGATTACAGGTACCTGCCATCACACCTGGCTTCTGCTTTTATTATAAAAGGTTCTTAGAACCCTTGGCAGAAGATAGCCAAAGGACTCTTAGAACTGTCCAAATTTGGTCCCCTGGGCAAAACTTGCACTAAACCCATAGTTATCCAGGAATTCTAATGATTTCCTGATCCTCCCAAGTATAAACAAGGATGCATGGAACTCACTGGTTTCATGGACTCCCCCTGGTCAGGATCCTCCTTTACTTTCCCTTCCAAAAGTTTAGTGTCAAAATTCACAATTTTGTACCTGATGTTTTTCAGGGAACCACTTTTCAGCCAGGACCTGATTTAAAAACAAGAAACCATTTAAGTTAAATATTGATGTTTCCAAACAATAGCCTTACCTTTGCTTTCCTGATGAGAACATAACGTTTTTTAAAATATTTATTTATGTATCTTTAGGTAGACACATTTTGTTTTTATGTGGTGCTGAGGATCGAACCCAGTGTCTCATTCATGCTAGGCGAGCTCTCTACCACTGAGCCACAACCGTAGCCCGAGAACATAATATTATTGAGAGAGATCCTAAGGACTAAATGGGTGTTTCCAAGCTCCTTTAATACTTGGTTTCATCATCTGAAATAAGGTCTATTCCCACTAAAATCCCTCCCTGAACCAAGACATGGAAATTCTCTTGCAACAAAAACTACTATAGAAAAATGATAGAATTGAGAAAATCCTATCACCACATGAACCATTTAATTCTTAAACTTCCAAACACACTGAAGAAAATAAGCCAAAGTGTAATGGAGTGAAAGCTAATTATATAGAAAGCTAGTAGTCTTTACCTATAGAATGACTATTAATTCACTGTCATGATCCTAAGTAATATATCTACCCAAGTCAAGTAATTTAAGAAAAGCCAGTGTTTCCTGAAGTAATGCACATTGTTTTCTAGTCCACTCCTAATCAACATTCTGAAGACACTGTTATTTCTGTAGTCTATTTTAATGCAGTATTCTATATCTTAGTTGGATTCTGAGTTTTTCAAATATGAGAAAATCATAACTTTTCATTAAATATGAACCATGAAGAAAGCCACAAGGACAGAAATGTCTTAGAACTTTGACAAACGTTAATCTGTTAAGCTGTTTCTTGGAATAAACTTGACAAGTCTTCATTTATTTTCATGGATGAGACGCCATCAAATCGTGTTTCTTTTAATCACAGCAATGAAAATAGTTAATGACCATTTACTGAGCAATTACTATGTGCTAGGTGCTTGACATACCATATGCTGAGTTTGATGTTTTCATTCCAAAATTACAGATGAGAAAATAGCCACCCTGGACTAAGATTTAGGTCAGAGTCTGCTCACACCTTCATCCTACCATCCTGCCATTGTTCCCAAGTGTCTTCCCACTCTAAAAATACTCAGAGCATATCTATGAGATACGGAATTTATGATTAAGAAGCAGTAAATAACACTGCTTCTTTCTTTGAGAAAGCTGTGTTACCAAAAAAAATAGTAACTGGAGCTAACAGTATGCATGGTTCATTTACTTCCTGGCATAGCTCTATATCATTTCTGCTATCAGGGACATGATGCTTTTGATACAATCACATGGAAAAATGTACCATAGTTTATATGTGTATAATCCAAACTGTATAAATATACACACACATATGTATACATACATGTGTGTATATACATGTTTATATATTAAAACAGTCCTGGATTGGCACCTGGTCTACTCTAGAGCACCACTAGAGGCAGAATCATTAGGTAAGCAGAGCTCACCGGAGATGGTCTGCTGTATCATTGAGGGTAACAATGTAGAAAATCACACTGGAGCGAGTATTGTGCTGAATACTGTTCATAGCTGCAATGGCTCCCCCGAGCCTGTCTTCAGATGCTGCAATGACCACAGGAATCTCCTCTTGTCTCCTCTCAACTGCTTGTCGGGGAGCATTTGGAACAAAATCTATGGGCTGAAGCCCCAGAATTCCTGAATCTGAAAAAAACATACAGGAAGGCACTGTGATACAAACACAATCTTATAAACTTCTGATACAGAGTCCAAGACAAGGAAAGAAGTAAGGTGATATTATGGTACCAATTTACCTTATTCTCTCTCTCCCATTAAACTTGGAAGTATACAACCCAGAAATTGTTTTCCTGTATATAACCAAGCTTTTGCAAAAGTGGAAGATTTTAAAAATCAGGCTGACAACACTGATAGACTATTAGTAAGAAAGTAGCAGCACCTTTCTAGAATGTATTGTAGTGATTTGGCTCAAGAGCCATAAAGAGGTACATGGCCTTTGACCTAATCATTTCCCTTGCCACCCCTCTTAAGGACAAAATCTGAAAAGTAATCAAAAGTCACAATTTTAGTTGGGATATAGGTTGGTGCCTAGCATACACAAGGCTCTAGGTTTGATTCCCCAGCACCACACACACACACACACACACGAAAGTCACAATTTTATTCATAGTTGTGAAAGACCTAGAAATAAACCATAAATGTTTTTCAAACTACAAATCATTTAAGTAGGCATGAAATCAGAATTTAATGAGACAGGATCCGAATGTTTTCTGTGATGCTGGGGATAGAGTGCAAGGCCTTGCCCATGATAGGAAAGTGTTTTACCACTGACTTACATCTGCAACCCCCTGATTAGAATTTTAATAGAAAAAGCTTCTAGATTGGAGTAGAAAATTGAATTAGAAAACAGAACGCATTACACCCAGTAACTAAAAGTATGATGTAAACCTTTCTTCTTGCCTTTTTGTACTAGTCCCTTATATCTAGTTGGTTCCATATCAGTGAATTCAACCAACCACATATCAAAAATGTGAGGAAAAAATTACTATACTGAAGAAGAGCCTTGTTTTTGTTGTTACTACATAAATATACAGTATAACAACTATTTATATACCATTTACACTGTAGAAAGTTAAATCTAAAGATGCTTTAAAGTATACAATAGGATGTGTGTACATTATATGCAAGTACTATGCCCTTATATGAACATCCAAAGGTTTTGATGTCCTGGGAAGTCCTAGAACCAGTCCCCCATGGATACAGAGGGATGACTGTATATTCCCTCATTTATTCCATCATATACTGGGTATCTATTATGTGATTGGCAATACATAGGCACTGGGGATACAGCCATGAATAAAACATACAAATCCCTACCATTGTGGAGAATGAGTAACAGATAATAAGTATATGTGTGTGTTGCATGTAATGCATTTGGTCATCATCTGGAAGTAACTATAAGAAGACGATTTCCTGTGGAAACAAGTAAACTATGCAAGTGAAATATTAAAGAGTTTCTGCCACCACGGTGAAATGCTTATGATAAAATCACATGGAAAAACATGTCATATATACAATTTAGTATAATCTCAACTCTGCAGGAAAAAATATACACAGAAAAAGATGGGAAGTTTATAGTAATTATCTCTAGGCAATGAAATCACTCATTCAACTAATATTTATTGGACACTTCCTTTGATCATCATTCTTAAGTATGGGAAATAAAGAAATGAACAAATTGCCTTCATGAAGCTTTTTTTATAAAATTTTTCCACCAGAAGCATGTATTACTTTTTATTTGTATATGCTATACATAAATATATACATACATATTACAAAACATGCTTACCAGGACAGTGGTAGGTCATGTGCTTAGTTTGAATAAGGCCATGGGTTCAATCCCAAGCACCAAAAAAAAAAAACAAAACCCACCAAAACAACATATACAAAAAAACTATATGCTATAAGTACTCAGTGAAAGGGGAAAGTTAGTATAGTCTTCCTCTGAATCAACTATAGTGGGTAGCAAGCAATACAAAAATGATTTTTGACTAATACCCTGAAGCCTTAAACATCCCTCAATACCAAGGTAGAAAAGTGCAAGCAATTTAAAATAACTTGTAATTATGCAATGATTTTTTTAAAATTAGCTGATAAGCTTTTATGATTTCTATTTTATAACTAGAGTTCTACTAATGTGGTTGCTCAAGTTAAAGTAACAGGTGAAGGAAAGTAACCAGAATGACACTCCTGGTGACCAAATCATGCATCAAATATCAGGGTCATGTGCCTGCTCACATCTTCTGAAGCCCTGACCTGCTGAAATGTCAGCAGATGGCAGTCCACAGAGGCCCCTCTAAGGCCTCTGTTTTAATGAAAAGGAATATTCTTGTCAGATAAAATTCTTAGCTAACAATTTGCTCTACAAGGAGAAGAAAAGTATGGGAGGACACCATAAGAGCACAATGAGTACTCACCATGCCTATTCCCAAAGTCTTTCCTAGTTTTTGTTAAAGCCAAGAAGCAAGCTCTCATTTCCTTATCTAAATTAGGATGTGAGATACAGGAAACTCCAGGTCCTCAACAAATTCCATGATATTAGTAAGGTTTCCCATACCTGAAACCTCATTCCTTAGTAAACTGCTCAGTCCAAGGAAGTTATGGTGCAAAACCAGTAAGAAGAGAACAACAGCCAGGACCAAAATGACGATGTTTACTGAAACAGATGGAAAAAACCTGTATTAAGATCTTTTTTACCTTTGACTAAGTTATAAAAAACAACATAACTTGCAGAGAGAGCATACCTTTACGGAATGACATCTTTTTCTTCTGTCTTATATAAATACTAGTTATTAGCCCTACAAAACAAAATCAAGCCCCCAAAGTCAGTAAGTACATGAAAATGGCCATCAAAATGCCAACACTTACTCAGGTAGAAAGAAGAGGTTTATAAGATATTCTGCCAGTAACTCATTTTGAATCCACAGTCTCCAAGAAACAAATTTGGGATCTGAAATCTTTATGGTAGTCTTAACACTTAAAAATAACTTAGAAATATGTAGCCTTAGCCTTGTACATTGTATGCCACCACAAGATGGAAAGCAAAAGAAGTTCTATCAAGAATTCCTAATGTGGGCTGGGGATGTGGCTCAAGCGGTAGTGCGCTCGCCTGGCATGCGTGCGGCCCGGGTTCGATCCTCAGCACCACATACAGACAAAGATGTTGTGTCCGCCGATAACTAAAAAATAAATATTAAAATTAAAAAAAAAATGTTTAAAAAAAAAAAAAAAAAGAATTCCTAATGTTGGGCTGGGGATGTGGCTCAAGCAGTAGCACGCTCGCCTGGCATACGTGCTGCCCAAGTTCGATCCTCAGCACCACATTCAAAGATGTTGTGTCTGCCGAAAACTAAAAAATAAATATTTTTTTAAAAATTCTCTTTCTCTCAAAAAAAAAAAAAAAAGAATTCCTAGTGTCTAGCTGGGTGTGGTGGTGTATGCCTGTAATCCCAGCAGCCCAGGAGGCTGAGACAGGAGGACTGAGGTGCTAAGCAACTCAGTGAGACCCAGTCTCTAAATAAAATGCAAAAATAGGGCTAAGGATGTGGCTCAGTGGTTGAGTGGCCCTGAGTTCAATTCCTGGTACCAAAAAAAAAAAAAAAAAAAAAAAGAATTCCTAGTGTCTAACCACTATAGAAACATTTCAGAATGAATTTACACTTAAAACTCCTTCTTAAATGACATGGGCTGCTGGGCATGGTGGTGCACACCTGTAATCCCAGCAATTTGGGAGGCTGAGGGAAGAGGGTCACAAATTCAAGTCCAGCCTTGGTAACTTAACAAGACCTTCAGCAATTTAATGAGATCCTGTCTCAAAATGAAGAATAAAAAGTGCTAGGGAAGTAGCTCAATGGTAAAGTGTTCCTAGTGCCAAAAAAGAAAAAAAAAATTAGATATGGACTCGGTTCTCTGTGCCATAGTGACCTGAGAGTTTACAGTGTTGTTCTCAAATATTAAAAATATGAGGGGGAAGGGGAGAGGGAGAGGGGGTGGGGAGAAAGAGATGGAGGGGAAGTGGGGGAGGGAGGGGCTGTATTCCCAGTGACTAGAGAGGCTGAGACAGGATGACCAATCAAGGATTGGTCTCAAAATGGAAAAAAATAATAAGGGCTAGGATGTAGCTCATTGGTAAAGGTCCCTGGTTAGATCCCCAGTACCAAAAAGAAAGAAAGAAAGAAAAGACAAAAAAATGAGAGAGCTTCTTTCTGGGCATATGTTGATTTTCCCCCTATTGTGTGAGGCATGGGTTCGATTCTCAGCATCACATACAAATAAATAAAATAAAGGTCCATCAACAACTAAAAAATATTTTTAAAAAAGAAAAAAAAAGGGTATCCAATATTGTCATTCTCACCTGGCTAGTCCTTCCCAGCTCATATCACCTTTAATTTTTCAAAACAAATAATTCCATGGAAACAAGATTGTAGGTGAAACTAAATTTATTAAACAATTATATTTTTACAACAATCTCTGTGAAATGTTTCATTAAGACAGACTTTATGTATCCAGGATAATGTGATTCTACATTTGAGACCTTTAACTCTTTTTTAACTTCATCTTCACCAATAATATGGTACCTTGTGTTTACATAAGGCAATTTATTTTTTCAAAGCACTTTGAAACATATTTCTAAGTATCAAAGTCTGAATTAATTTCATCATAGGTAAACTGTGTTGACTTCTCAAAGCCTTTCAAAAATGGAGAAATATATTGAAGTATTTAAAAACTGGAATCATAAGCCAGATTACAAATTTGGGGGAAAGTAGTTCAGACTCCTAAAGAACAATCTAGAACAAAAACACATGCTCACACACACCCATTTCTTTCTAGGGCAATATACATGAAGTATATTAATGAACATCTTCTCTAAAGAATACACCTTATATACCCTAAGCTATGTCTCTTATCACATTGTGGGCTAAGCCTTACTTACAGAAGCTGACAGATTGGGAGCTGTTCAGATAAAGACCTAACATCTGCCTACTTCAAGCCAACTTCTACCTTGACTGGATAAAACAATCTCACTCTAATAAATCTCTGATACTTACTGGTACAAAGGACAATATGTTACCATGTCAACTTTTATAACAGTAACTTATAAGGGAGCACAGTATTCGGACTGAGAGGCACATGTACTTGTGCTATTTCAGTTATCTGGACACAAGAAAAACAATTTCAGAAAGTATTTAATTACTTAAATAGATCAGAATGGCAGAAAACACTTGCTCCTAAAACTCTTCAACATGCAAAATGCCAGTTATCATAAGAATATGTCTGATCCCTATTTCTTTTCCTGGTAATAAACCTTCCTTGATTTGTTTAAAAGGACTTCTCACAAACTTGTATTTGTAATCTGGATGTATGATAGTAGCTATATTTTTGAAAGAGTACACAATTGTGTACAATTTGATCTATAATATTCCATTGTTTATAACAAAAATTAATGTTTCTTTTAGAAATTTCAATTAGAAATTAATAAACCTTCAAATTTCAAAAATCAGTCATAAAAATAAAACAACCTAAGAGGATGATGGGGGAGCATGGGAGGAATAGACAAACTCTAGATAGGGTAAAGGGGAGGGAGAGAGGAAGGGAGGGGGGTTTGGAGGTAGAAAAGGCAGTGGAATAAGATGGACATCATTACCCTAAGTACATGTATGAAGACATGAATGGTGTGACTCTACATTGTATACAATCAGAGATATGAAAAATTGTGCTATATATGTGTAATATGAACTGAAATGCATTCTGCTGTCATATTAGAATAAATTAAAAATAAATAAATAAATAAAACAACACCCCTATTCCCACACAAATCCCAGGGTAGGTGTCATTAATATGAAAGAAACCTTAAAAGAATACTTTGCCAGTTTACTTGCCGGCAACCTGCATTTATATGCACACTTCCAATGCTGTTCCTGTTTTTCGTTCTCTCCTGTCACTATAGCCTAAGCATTTCCATTAAAGTCCATTCCACTGGTGTTGTCTATCGTCTATCCTATAACTGTTTTCTTGGTGTAGTTTCATCAACTTCTTTCCCTCTCTGGTGGATCACTCTTCTCAGCATTCTAGTATGTTCAAGTATCTTCCAGATAATTAAAAAAAAAAAAAAAAAAAGACACCATTCTTTCCACCCCCCAGCCCCCAGTTGACCTACAGGCCCATTTTTCTGCCTCTCTTCACTTTAAACACCTGAAAAGGATTTAGTCTCTAGCTCCATCCCCACCCCCTTTTTTTTTGTCTCTTAAAATTTTTAATTAGTACATTATTATAATTATACATAATAGTGGGAATCATTCTTGCACACAATACTCTCCTTTTCAGCCTCCAAATCACACTTTTGTCCCTACATTCAAAATGCTTTGAGCTGGACATGTGGCACACACTTGTAATTTCAGCTACTTTGAAGCTGAGGCTGACAGAACAATCACAGGTTGGAGGCCAGCCTCAGCAACTTATTGAGATCCCGTCTCAAAATAAAAAAGTGCTGGGGATATAGCTCAGTGGTAAAGTGCCCCCTGGATTCAATCCCCAGTATGGCAAAAACAAAACAAAAACAAAAACTCTGGTACAGGCCATCAAAGATTAGTCATCTTTCTGACCGCCTCACCCCTTACTAATCCCTTAAGAGGCCATCAGGAAAGTTCACACCATTCTTCCTCCTTAATTATCAAATTGTCTTGTTTGTTTGATTATTCAGTCTTTCCTGACTAGAATGTAAGCTCTATGAAAACAGGGACCACAATGAAAATATTTACTGATATATCCTTGCTACCTAAAAAACTATGCCAGGCAAATGGTAGTCAGTATGTGATGTCTGTTTAAGTATCCTGCTAATCTGGGAGCAAGAATAGTTCTCTGCTCAAGAAAGAAACAGCATTTTTGGGTAAAAATCATGAAAAAAAAATTCCAACATAAGGAAAAACATGGGATTCCAATGGCGCTCTCTCTCAAAAGGAATCTAATAGGCAATTTCTTTTTCCTTTAATCTTTATAGTTCAAATACTTTAAGATCTCTATATGGCCATCCTACAACAGGCACTTTAAGAGACACAATGCAAAGGGATATTTCTATTTAAACGTAGAACAAGAAATTGTTCAAATACACTGAGAAATAGAGAGATCTATTTAACTCTTAAAAAGACCTGTTTAACTCTTGCCCTTCTCTGCATCTATCGGCTACAGGCGCCGGCTCCTTCTGAGCTTGGGAAAGTGTCAAAAGAGACCATTTACTGAAGGGTAGAAAGAAAGGGCAGAAAGTGAGTATATAGAGCCACTTTCTCCTAACCCTTCACTGGGGAGCTGGAATTTGACTTTGAGCAGTTATGGAACCTCCCAGGCCCCACGCTGATCTGCACCTCCCTGGGCTGCCACATGTCCTCCACCTCTTTCCCCCATTGCTAAGCCATCTGTCATATATTTCTGGGATGATGTGGCAGTATACCGTGACATATTTGGGGATCTAGGAAGGCAAGAGCTTGGGCTTCGTCGCAGTCGTGTGCTCAATGACGGGGGAGGGTCCAAGCTTTTGAAATACCAAGCAGCCTTGGAGGAGCCCGGGAACCCTTGGTCGGTCTCTACAGGGCGGGCCCAGCTTGGGTCTGCGAGGGCAGATGAAGCCCGCAAGCAGGTCAGTGGGCCGAATTTAGGTCCCCTTGGGCGCAGGCTCTTTCCATGCTATTTGAGGGGCGGCCCACAACCTGGTACCACTCCCAAGGAATTTCCTTTCTCTGGAGGACATGGCTCGGGCTACCTCCACTAAATTCTAGGGGTCAACAGGGGCCCCTTACGGTTAGGAGTGACGGAGAGGTGGTGTGAAGCTCCAGGGTTCCCGCCAGGCCGCTTTAAGACGGTCCGACCAGTCGTGCCCCTCAGCCGCTCTAGGCTAGGCTTACCTGCTGGAGGAGGAGGAGGAGCAGGAGGAGGAAAAGGAGGAGGAGGAGCCGACGCCCGCGCCCCGGCCCGCCCCGCCAGCTCAGCGCCCGCACCGCAGGCCCCGGGACCTAGCCCGCCGTCCGGCCGCCCGCGTGTTCTGCACTCCGGGTCAAGTCCACCTGCCCGCTGGCCCACGACTTCGATGGCAGCCACGCCGTCTAACAACCCCAAGCTGGTCAGCGGCCCTGACCACCAGAGCGCCACGCTCAGCAGGCGCCGTGGGACAGCCCCGCTGCCGGGGTCCTTGCCGAAAAAAGGCCGTCGCCATGGAGACCCAGAGCGTTCCGGCAGCAGTTAAGCCGAGGAGGCGCGGCGGACAGTTTGCCGCGCCCGAGCCGCGATTCCCGGGACTCAGCAGCACTGACGGCGAACCCCTCGCGGGTGCGTAATGCCTCAGCCCGGTCGTTGCCTCAGTCCTCGCGGACGGTGCGCCGGGCTGCGGCCAATTTGGAAGGCACCAGTCACCTAGCGATGCCGCGGGGCGGGGCCACGGTCTATCCTGGCTCGGCGGACACATCCGTTTCCGGGGCCGCAGCCATCACACAGCGCGGCTCTGTTCGCCCTCCGGGCGACACACGTCCTCAGACTCTGAAAGCTGCGCTTCAGTGTCCGTCGCTCTCGCTCTGCTCTCCGCCTACTGAGTCGACCATGCTGGAACATCTGAGCTCGCTGCCCACACAGATGGTGAGATGCTGCCACAGGATCCCAGCCCGCTACGCTAAAGCCGGTGTTGAGCGGCTCACAGCCTAAGGGGTTACTCTCCAACCTCTTTCGCGAATTGTGCCTCTCGGGTCCTCTTCCCTTCCCCAAAAAGGATTTCCCTTGTCGGTGTTCCGTTAGGACGCGCAAGCTCCCCCAGGAAACTCAAAATTTAAACCCCTGATCTTAGTGTTTGCCTTGCCGAAGTGGTGAGTTCCGGGCGCCAAGTGTACCTCCTCGGTGGTGGAACCAATTCCTTTTTTTTCCTCTCCATTACCTCTAGGATTATAAGGGCCAGAAGCTAGCTGAACAGATGTTTCAGGGAATTATTCTTTTTTCTGCAGTAAGTATTGGTTTTACATTTAATCTTTTTTAATCTCCCCCTCCCAAGCTTGTCTGTATTTAATATACTTTGTTTGTCTCTAGATAGTTGGATTTATCTACGGGTACGTGGCTGAACAGTTCGGATGGACGGTCTATATAGTTATGGCCGGATTTGCTTTTTCCTGTTTGGTAAGAAATTTGTGGATATTTGAGTGTTAGTAGCAACATAAGTTTTCTGAGTTGGGTTGCTTTGATTGCCCCTGAGAACCACAACCAACTCTTTTTCCATGTTTCCCATCAGTGTTTCTCCTATCACTGAAAAAGTGGAATGTCAAGTAGTGTCTGATTGTGTAAGCTGCATACAAAGGTACATCTTCCTTTGGCAGCTACTTCAGGCAAGAGTCAAAGCTAGCAAGAATTTTGCACAGTGCTCACATTGCCTCCTTAAAGTGTCTTGTCTGGACAATGTGACTCAAAACTTTTACAGGAATATCAGTTGTTGCCTTGGTTAGAATAGGCATTATTTTGGAACCAGGCATTATACATAAAAATAGTCTTTTAAACTTTTAATACATATAATTTATCCATTTTTCTCTGTTCTGGCCTAGCTGACACTTCCTCCATGGCCCATCTATCGCCGACATCCCCTCAAGTGGTTACCTGTTCAAGACTCATGCACAGAAGACAAGAAACCAGGGGACAGAAAAATTAAGAGGCATGCTAAAAATAACTGATTTGGGTTCTCATGACTTACCGCCTGCTTTTGTTCCAGTTGCTTTCATATGCAAACATGAGCTGAAATCACCTATGCTCTTACAGCACAGATGGGTGTAAATTTAGTTGTCATTTATATTTCACTTCTAACCCAGTTGTGTTTTGGTTTATAAATATTTTAGACCTTATCTTATTCTGAAATGGAGAACAGAAAACAAAAGTATGCAGTGTTTCTTTCAGGTATGCATAAATAATGAATAAATGCCTCATAAAAGTACAGTTTGTCGAAGTTTTATAATACATTGGGTCAAACTTTTTAAAACTCACCCATGTCTAAAGGGCCATTGGTTGTTTGTTCTGCAAGTTTATTAGTAAAACCTAAAGTTATGGTTCTAAAAATATAAGCACCATATTCTGTAGTTGGAAGTTCTTAGTTTACTATTCTTAACAATAGTAAACCCTTCTGAAGATTTACTAATGTAAATCTGTGGCAAAATGAATATTTTAGTAGCCCTAAAATAAGAGCTGTTGTTAAGCAGAAAACATTTAATCTCTGTTTTACTTAAAGGTGGACCAAAGTGAAAACCTACAAAGCTATAAATTCCTTCTAATGTGGGAATGGCAGTAGGAAGATTATTTAAAGTAATGTTATATTTCTCAGTACCAGGGCATAGGACTTCAAATTATGAGTTTAAGAAAATATCAAAGATAATACAGTAAAAATGAGTTAAATATTTTTTTTAAGGTAAGAAAAAAATCACTGGACACAGTTATGTACCCTACAAACTACTTCAAGCTACTGAGGAGGCTGAGATAGGAGGATCACAGGTTCGAGGCCAACCTGAGTCACTGAGACCCTGTCTTAAAAAGGGATAGGGATGCAGCTAAGTGGTAAAGCCCCTGGGTTCAGTCCTACTACCATAAAAAAAATGGGGGGGGGGATTAAGACAGAAATAAGAACAAACACATCATTAAGTATAATAAATGTGATTAGTTAGAAGCTCCCAGTTACCTCATGGTCTCAAAATGAATTCCAAAGTTTGAAAACAGGACAAAGGATATATTGGGCAGATATAAGCAGAAAGCAAGGTTAACAGTGAAAGAGTCTGAAATCCATAATTGGAGCAAAATAATAATAATCAATATACATTGAATACGATGTAAAGTATATAAACCACACTTAAATATACAAGAGTTTGGCAAAACTGCAGACCAATACTTTATCTTTCAGAATATGGCAGATCAAATAGGCTATATGGGAAGACTTTTCCACTTGTTCCCTGTTCCTGGAATGCCTTCCTTCAAATGCATAACTTACTTTCATCCTTTCACTGAGGTCTCTAACCAGATGTCACTATCTAAAAGAGCTTTCCCTACTGTCCACCTGAAACACAGTAGTTTGCCATACCTACTTAGTTTGCTGGATTGCGTGACATTTAATATATCTCACAACATATATTTGTTAATTGTTATCACTAGAACATTGGCTCCATGGTAACAAAGACCCGGAATTAACAAATCGGTTCCTTGATCAAACTAGCCTCAATTCAAGAGCTTAATAGCTATATATATATATATATATATATATATATTTATAAGACTAGTGGCTACCATATTTTGAACCATGCAAAATTTTGCTGAAATATTTGATAAGTGATTTTGCATATAACAATTTACCTTTATTGAATGCCAATAGGACCATTCCAATAATGGAAAAAAAATCCAAGAAATAGAGGTTAGGCTAGTACATGTGAGGCTTGCCTAGCATTGGGTTCGATCCTCAGCACCATATTAACAAAATAAATAAAGGTATTGTGTCCATTTACAAATAAAAAGAAATTTTTTTTAAAAGAGGTTAATGTAAAAAAGAGTATCTTATCAGTCTCTGAAATTCAGTCAAAGGTATAATCAAAAAAACTGATAGACTTAAAGATTGTTTTAAAAATTAATTAAGGATACCCAGTAGCTCAGGAAGCTGTGGCAGGAGGATCCCAAATTCAAAGCCTCAGCAACTTAGCAAGGTGCTAAACAATTCAGTGAGACTGAAATACTAAAAAGGGCTGGGGATGTGGCTCAGTGGTTAAGTGCCCCTGACTTAAATATCTGGTACCAAAAAAAAAAAAGATGATAAAAAGTGAATTAAATATTCAAGAAAAAAAAACAAAATAACCAAGACAGTAGGATGAAAATATTTTGATAAAAATAAACAACATGAGAATAAGAAAGTATGTATAGATGAGATTCTTTTGATTCTAAAAACAATTAGTACTACTTTATACCAATGACTATGGAGAAAAATGTGGATCTCTAAAACATGCAAGAAGAGGTAAGCAGGAAGACCAATAGTTTGCCAAAAATTGGCTCCCACCCAGGCACTGAGAGTAGATGGTCTTACAAGTTCTCTAGCAAACCCTGATAGTAAAAATAAGAGCTCTCAGAAACTCAACTGTGAGAATTGTAAAGGCAGGGAGTATTGTTTTATTCACCACGGTATCTCTAGCTCCTGGCATAACACTAGGCACATAGGTAAAATTAAATAAAAACTTAAGAACTAAAAGAGAACATTTTTATTGTGTAATTTTCAAAGAAAATAAGGCACATTTTTATAGAAATTGAAAACATCTGGAACAGTATTTATTTTTAGAGTCCCTTGAATGCAGAAGGAAAAATTTACTAATCAGAACATATTTGATGAAAACTATTTAATAGAAGAAGAGTATGACTTCTTATTAAACAATAAAATGTGATATAAAATCCTACATTTAAAACACGGAAAGACAACCAATACCTTGATATACACGAAGACAAACTTCCAGAGACAAATATTATATATATCCTTATGTATATCCAATTTAACAAAAAACTTTTGACTAGAAAAGTGATTAAGAGATTTTTTCACTGATGGAGAAATAAATCTAACAAAACTAGTATGTGAAAACATAATGATTTACAAAACCAAAATACTTTAGATTCACTTGTATACCCTAAGTGAGGCTCATGTTACATGAAAACATTAAACATCCATCAAAGTGTAAAAACAGGATCTAGCTGCTCAAATACCACATAGAACTTCGTTTTCTTTAAATCTACCCCCAGAATAGTGAATTGATTTTTTTTTCTTTTAAATAATGGCAACTATTCCCTAAAGTTATTAAAAATAGCAGATGTTATCACTGGACATATTATTTCATTTGTTTCTCTGTTGTTTTTATCACTATAGTACAATATAAAACTTCTAATCCAATGTTTTATGGTCCTGTGTTCAAGCTAATTAACACCTCAAAAAAAAAGTTATAGATATAAACTTTAAATGGTTTAAGGCTCAGTAAACAGTAACCAAAAAAGCAACATTTTCCCTCAGGAATATGAAAGTCAAAGATTTTTTTTCTTTTGTGAACTTGCTTCATATTACTCTGTTCCATCCAATTTTTTTCTAGTAAGAAAACCCCAGAGATATAAAAGGGTGGTGAATGGCTTTATGACAACTGTTACAGTTTGTTTTTAAAGCCCAAAACTTTGAAAATAGGTCTTTAGAGCTGGAAGATTAGAACAAGTTCTCAAAATTTCACATTTTCTTCAAAAAATTTCAACTGGCGAGCTTTCACACTATAAGTTGTATATTTTTCACCCATGTGCTCTTGTAAACGTACCTATTTTGGGAAACAAAAAGAAAATCAGTATGTAATAGTAAAAATAATTTCTAGAATCTTAGTAGGACTTTTATGAGCATGATACCCAAGGTGGAAACCATATAGGAAAATATTAATGGCTCTATTTACATAAAAATTTAAAAGTTCAAGATTTTTTAAAAAGTCATAATAAAAGAGCAAAGTATGGAAAATATTTGCAATGTTCATGCCAAAGGGTTAGTAACATTAACATAGAAGGAGGTCTGGGGCTGGGGTTGTAGCTCAGTGGTAGAGCGCTTGCCTAGCACACATGAAGCACTGGGTTCAATCCTCAGCACCACATAAAAATAAATAAAGGTATAAAAAAAGGAGGGGTTCTTAGAATCAACAAACCCCAATAATTCTAGAATACCAGAATTGATAAAAACTCAATTCATTTATATATGTATATAAATATAAATCCCATACATTTGTAGAACAGTCATACAGGTAACAAATTAGCCAATACATAAAGTTCAACCTATTGGGTGCAGTGGCACACGCCTCTAATCTCAGTGGCTCGGGAGGCTGAGACAGGAGGATCAATTCAAAGCTAGCCTCAGCAACTTAGCGAGATCCTGCCACTAAATAAAATATAAAAAAGGGCTGGGGATGTGATTCAGTGGTTAAGGACCCCTGGGTTTAATCCCTGGTAACAAAAACAACAACAAAAAAGTCAACCTGATTAATAATCAAAAAAGTATTGTTGGGGCTGGAGCTTAGTGGCAGGGTGCTTGCCTAGCACACGTGAGGTATTGGGTTTGATTCTTAGTACCGCATACAAAAATAAGCAAATAAAATAAAGGCATGCTGTCCATTTACAACTTCAAAAAAAAAAAATAGTACTGTGTGTGGACTGGGGGTGTGACTCGGTGGTACAGTACCTGCTTGAGGCCCTGGGTTCAATTCCACACACACAAATAAAAGTATGATATGACTTTTAATGTATATCTATTCAAAGAAATGCTTGAAATTAAAAGAACAGTAATGTTAAGCAGGTATCATGTACCTCTGATTCAGTGTACAGAGGACACATGATTTTTGTGATGCTCCTGACAAAAATATATAACTTCAATGCATTCATGAGAAACCAGAAAAATCCAAACAAATTGACATCTCATAAAGCACATGGGCTATATTCTTCAGCAATGTCAAAATCAAAAAACAGACACAAGAAATCTTCCAAATTAAAAGACATAACTAAACACAAATGAAATCCTGATTGGCTCCACAATTCACATGAGAGCATAAGGAACTCTGCAGATACTCAGTGAAAGTGATTAAAATTATTTTAAATAAGTCATTTAAGGTCTAGAAATGGTTCTAGGGCATACAGCATATGAAGAAACGTTTATTCAAGAAAATCTTAAGTCTGTAAGAATAGTGAGTCAGTGGTATGTGAATTGAGACCAACCACCATTCTTCCCTTCCCAAAACTATTATAGACTGATGAAGCCAAGAACACAGGCCTCTTTCCCATCAGCTCCCAGTTGAAAGGCTCTATCTTCCTGGGCTGGGCAGGAGGACATTGGTCTATCTCATGCTTCTGCCTGTTGTTGAGGCTAAAATTCATGAAAGTGCAGCCAAGAAGTAGGAGCTCTTCCGCCCA